GCACACGTGTTATTTATGCAAAAATAATTTTCAAATGTTTCGCATATTTGCAAAGGTTTCGGTCCGCATATTCATAGCCTCAGTTGGCCAGCTGAAGCCGCAAAAGCGCGCTTCCTGTCAATTCCCCCGCTTTTCCTTTTCCCCTTTCCCTTTTCCCCTTGCGCTTTTCCTTTCACGAATCAAGAATCTAATAAAACTTTTCCCAGCTACCTGGCATACATCTGCTTATTTGCTTATCATATGCAAATTTTCGTGTTTCAAGTTGAAGTTTTCGTTTTTTTTTCGAAAAGGAAAATATATACACACACACCTGAATACTTTGTGTATATAAGTGTGTATATATATAGGCAACCCAAGAATGTTTAACAAGCTACCTGAGGGCGCTCATGAGCAAAAGTTCAAATAACAAAATTTTTGCTTTTACTTTTACCCGACAAAAAGTACACGCAAAAAACTCAGCCAGGTATTTCGGGCCCACCTTCGTTCAGATTATGATTGTATGTGTGTGTGTGTGCTCCTTTGATTATACAACTCTCTCTCTCTACTTCTATCTCTGTCTCCCCCCTTTACCTCTCTTTCCCACTGGCTTTTCCCCATTCGATTCGTTTGCTGGCTTTTAGCTTTTGGCTACGAATTTTCCAAGCACAACTACCACACCATCCTCTTCTGTTTGGCCAAGAAATTACTTTAAAATATCTACAAATTATGCATGCATCAGATTCTGCAAATAATTCTCTGGCAAATTTGCATAATTTGGGAAAAATGCACTCAGCCAGATAGTCTGCCAGCTAATAACAGGCCAATCAATGGGAGGGACAGACCATCTGCAATTACACGAAATCTATTTGAATAAATTAGCCACTTGAAGGGCTTTAGTTAGCCGTGGGTTTGCACAGTTAAAGAAATTTTGCAACGGGTTTAGAGCTTCAATAAGGTTTTCTTAAATTCAAGAATTAAAATATAAGAGGATTATCTTTAGATACCGATTTTCAAATAGAATGCTTTAGGAACTATAAGAGAGTTGCATTTGTTTCTTATACTAATTTTTTCTTTCTTTTCATGAGTTTCTGAATAGGAATTAAAATCGTTTTAAATAGTGTGTACAGTAATTTATTTTAAGAATCCTTTTTTCTTCGTGCACCTCTTTCAGTCACTCAAAGGAGTTGATTGGCAAGGGGAACCAAAGGATTAAGTGCGACGATGATGGGTTCCTTTGCCGGAGAGAAGTGAAATTCAATTACGGGGGCGCAGAGACAAAAGCAATTACAACAACAATGCCGAAAATGGCAGATGCCGTTGTGGCCATGTTAATATATCAGGCAAGAAGAAGTATGCAACAAAAAAGCCAGCGAGAGAGTAACAAAGAAATGGGCTAAGGGAAATGGAGAGGGGTTGGGGGGAGAAGTGGGAAAAGCGGGGTGGAGCATGCAAAACAAATAACACGGAAATGAAAAACGAACTCAACTGGAAAATTGCAAGAGCCCATCCACCCACAACCACACACACATACTTGCCACCCGTCCACCCACTCACACACACACATACATACACATACAACCACACCCATACAACAACCGGAAGTTGACTCGCCAGCCATGTTGCCGTCGTCGTCGTTTCCGGCAGAGCTTCACTTGGTTATTGTTGCTGCCGCCGCTTCTGCTGCCAATGCTGCGGTTGCTCTGCGCCGAGCTCTGCCTACTAAAAAATTTACTGGCGCTTAAAAATGCCAAACAAAAAGGGAACACCAGGGAGGGGGGAAATGCGGAGGGGGTGGGAAAAAGAACACAAGAAAAAAAAGAGGAAAAGCACCCAGAAAACACCAACTACAAGTGAGTGCACAAAAGACGAGCACAGAAATGACATAAAATATTTACCACGCTGAAAGACATTTTCATTTGCGGCACAACAGCAACAAGAGTTGGCCAACAACAGCAACACCAACAACAATAACAATAACAAAGGGTAAAAAGGACTCGGACTTGGCCGCAGCTCATTACGAACAAATTGACGGCTGGCTAACAAATAGTTTCTCTTTCAATATTTGCTGCAATTTCGCTGGCTGCACTCAAACAGGGAACGAAAAAAAGGAAAAAATAAAATAGAAACAAGAGAGGGCGAAAAAAATCGAAGGAAAAGCGGATACAGTAAAATCCACCCCTCAGCTTTTCCGCTTTTTCCCACACAGGATCGTTTACGAGTGTTTTTAATGCCACATTTTGGCTGCTGCCACTGAAGCTGCCACTGTTGCAGTTGTTGCAGTTGCTGCAGTTGCTGCAGTTGCTGCTTTTGCCCGGGAAGTGATTGAAATTATAGCCGCCGTCGGACACGTCGAGTGCATTCAATGCTCGTCTCGTTCGCTTTACGGCCATAGAGCTGGTCAGTTATTTTTGATACTTATTATTTTCATGCCACGCCCCCCAACAATTCCGCCCCTCGAATCTCGACTCCGGCGACCAACAAGTGTTAATAAAATGGCAAGGAGGAGGACAGCAGTGTTTGCTTTGTTCGTTCAGTACACTACAGTACAGTACATACATATATATTATAGCTCTCCCTGCACATCGGGCAATTACATAACAATTTGTTCTGCTGTTGGCGGGGAACTGTTCATATTGCCTTAGCTGAAACTAATCGTGCGCGTAGTGGACTTCAATCCCCGCCAAATGAGAATGAAGCACCGAGCGATTATTTCACAGGACCCCTTTTAGAGCAGGGAATTTATCCTGGGAGTGCTCAAATCAAGTTCATCCTGCGATAAACTGGTCTTTTTTCCCTTTGCTTATTCTTTTTTGGTCTCTCCTGATTGCAATTAAAATTGTGGCCCGCAGTCAATGTCAGTTTTTTGGCTTCATTATGCTGCCAACTCCGAATAACCAAAATGGAAGAGCAGCATTTGTGTAATTAAAACGAACAACAGTGGTGTAAAATTCATAATTTTTGGGTAACAAATTTAAACAAAAAGAATAATAAATATTTGTTTTCAATAGCAAATAAAAATTACGACCAAAATATGGTAATCAGTGCAACAATGTGTTTGTAAATAAATTGTATCCCTCTGTGAATGCCACGTTTGACCACTGATATCCCACTGTGCGGTTGGCCAGCATTTGTAGTCCTTCTAAAACTTTACCAGCAAAAAACCAGCGAAAATTCCATGGGAAAGTTTTGCAGTTTACATTTTTCATTAATGGCAATGTGAGCTATTTTTGGGGGCAGGACACGTCATCGTCTGGTTTTTATGGTGAGCACTGTTCAAACAAAAAGTTTATACAGACACATACACACAGAAACATATTTATATTAACAAATAGTCAGCAAATAATATTGCGCATACGCAGCGTTGACAGCCGCAGCAAGCCAAATTGTGGCCAGAACTGGGTGTGCGTACGTGTGCGTGAGTATGCGTCAGTGTGTGTGTGAGGGAAGTATAAATAATAAATAAATATAAATGGTCATATGGAAATGAAAATGAAATAATCTGCCAACTAAGAGGCGCATAAATAGCCCTCGAAATGACATTCATTTTGGTTGTCGTTGTTTATGTCGCCCATTTTCGTTTCGTTGTTCACTCTGTGTGTGCATGTGTGTGTGTGTGCCCTGTCGCCATTTTGTGTATGTGTCATGTTGCCCTCCCCGCTAATATTATTATTATTATTTCTTTCCATGCTGTTTTTGCTTTGTTCTGCGGTCAGTGACACGTGTTTTGTGCTGAATTATGCAGACGTCGGTATGTGATTTGATTTATTTCGGGGCGAAAGAGGGACACATTTTTATGAAATCAATGCGCAAATTACGTACATTTTACACATTAAATTAGCATAATTAATTTAGCCTCGTTGCTGAACCGTCAAATTGATAAATGTAATTGGCCAAAAACCATTCGCATTTCCCCTTCACAATATTTCTCCATATAAGTTTACCTCAAATTATGGAAAACTTTCTTTCCCTTTGCTTTTCCTTCTGACACATAAAATCTTTCGCACAAAACTTTTGCCGAGTTTGAGGGAAAAAACCCAGAACTAAAGACAGCAAAGTTTTCAGTTTTTAGTTTTCAGTTTACAGTTTTTCAGTTAAAAGTTTCGGCTTACAGTTGGTCGGTTGGCCTGGGCAAATCTTGAGTCGGCACAAAACCACTTGGTCAAGTGGCTGTTCGAGTTAACGAAAGGAGCTTAAATCCATCGAGTTGGCCATGAATTATTTGTAAATAACAATCAACTTGGCAGTGCGAAAAGATTAGTTTATATCGCATGAAGTTTTATTGCAATCAATCTTGGTTTCGTTCAAACAGCAAACAGACTTTCCTTCATCTCAATTACAAGGATCAACAGACCAATATTTACGTGTGATTATTGCTGGGTTAGATATTTCTCACATTTTTCCATCTATCTCAGGCACTTCCACTAATTGGCCAGAATGCCAGGGAATTGATTATAATTGCTTGTTTGTGCCTAATGTAGCTGTACACGACAGCACTTGGGAATGCCAGTTGGAATACGCTGGGATTTTTATGCATAAAATGCAGAAACGCATATTGAGTGGGGGGCAATTGTGGGTCGAGCTCTGGACTCGGGGATTGAACAATAACAAAAACGTTAAGCTCTTGTGTATGTGTGTGGCAGGCAGAAGACGCAGGAAGCGGAAGGATGCTTCAGGACACTCGCACGATGGCAGACATGCATGTTTGCGATGGTGTCTTGAGTGTTTGAGCCAAAGATTAAATGGTGTTTATGGCTGCACGCTGCTTTTGTGGCTGCTTTCTGATGCTGCTGCCCGAAAAAGGGAACAAAGCTCTAAGACTTTTGACACTTTTGCAAAATTTACGACTTTTTAAACCCCCCGTTTCGTTCTGTTTTCCCCAGCACAATTGCAGTGGAAAGTTTTCTATGTTTTTATGTTTTATGCTGAAATAATGCTAATGCAAGCAAGAACTATAGCAAAGCTGCACTGCCACTGAAGACATTATCCGCAACTTATTCGCATATTTATTTGCGCCTTTTCAGGGTTGGACCTGGCCTAAGATGGGTAGCGTGCTATTCGCAGCTGTATTCATAGCATTACACTTTGCCACCGGCGGCCTGGCCAACCCAGATGCTAAGCGACTCTACGACGACCTGCTGAGCAACTACAACCGGCTCATCCGACCCGTGGGCAACAACTCGGACCGCCTCACCGTCAAGATGGGTCTGCGGCTCTCCCAGCTGATCGATGTGGTAAGTGCCGGTCATTTCCTTACAATTTTCTTACAGTTTTCAGGCAAAATTCGGTTGTGAGAGATGGCGGAAGTGCTGCAACACGTATTCAACATAAATCAATAAGCCATTTGTCTTGATTGTTGCAGCAGGAATGGGAAAACTTTTGATATTATTGTTCGCAGGGGGATACGAATTCTGAATAATTGCATTTAAAGCTATGTACTTCAAAAGGTATTGGGTAACAAATAGTAATAACCTGTTAAATATCACAATTTTAAATAAATATGGTAAAATATAATACAATCTTAAATCGCAAGTCCATTAAATTATAATAAATGAACGGTAAAAATTGAAACTTGATATCTTCTAAATTTAGGCAACACATTTTAAATTTATGGTTTAATAATAACTTTACAAACTTTACAAATTTATCATAGTTTTTTTCCCAGTATTATTTATGTACTTTTTGTCAAATTGCTATGATAAATGAACGGTTGAATTCCAAAAGTAAGTTGAACCTTTGCCACATCTTCGAGTGGCCAAATCGCCTGCCAATCCGGCTAAATTCGCTGCTAACGAGGCTGCCAAACTAGGAAATCCATTTGTTTGACAAGTGTGCCCCACAGACGCTTCATGGGCTTATCAAATGACAATCATAACAGATTAATTCGCGAAAGCCCCGCGACGCCGGTAAGTAGGCAATGGAATTTGTTTAAGCCACAACAAACAATCGGCGTGCAATTAATAACTGTTTACCCGCCGATTAAAAAGCCAGGCTACTAAGCCGCTCCATTGTCTCGATTGTTGTTTGCATAATAAATCAATGGCTTGCCTCAGTTGATTGTTTTCTTGATTAACTGTGCAATTGCCAGTTGGAAAAGGAGGCGAATGGGCGGTGGTGGGTGTGGGTGTGTTTCTTTTTGGCCAGGGGGCATCTGTATTTGTATGGGTATTGGTATTGGCATCCGAAATTGGGCAACACCCCGGCATCCATATATCAACGCATTTCTGGCAATATCGAGGCGGTGGCTTAAATTGCAGCCGGGTGGAGATCGCTTCTGTGGGAAAGGCAAATGGCGCACAATCTTCTGCTCGGTTTGGCTGCACATGACAGCCGGAAATGGGAAGCCGGCTAACAGTTACGTGCTGTTGGCCACACAGTAGCCGAGCTTTGCGCCGTGCTCCTTGGCTCCTGAGCTTTGCTTTCCCCTACCCCTTACCTTCTACCATTCTGGGCTTAGGTTTTTTTCCAACCTTCCCTTTTTTTCCCTGCCCTCCTCTCCTGTTATAAATCACGCGCTAAGCACCGAGACCACTAAGGGGCATGTCAGCCAGGAGCAGCAGTCAGCAGCAGGAGCCGCACCACCAGGAGCAGCAACAAAAGCAGCAAAAGCAGGAACATCCACATGCACATTGGCACTGATCCTTGCAAAAATCACATTTAATAAAGAAGATAGTTTTAAAAGGGAGGATATTTATATGGAACGAGTTTATAAAAATGCATTCGTTTTTATACCCTTGCAGAGCAGAGGGTATTATGGTTTCAGTCAGAAGTTTGGAACCCAGTGAAGAAGACACCTCAGACCCCATAAAGTATATATACTCTTGATCAGAATCGAAACACGTCTGTCCGTTTGTCCGTTTGTCCGTTCCTCTTTAAACCAGTCTCTCAGTGTTGAAGCTATCTTGTTGAAACTTTCCCAAAAGTCCTGAAGATATTGCACGCAGCATATAAGTTGAAACGGGCCGGATCGGGCGACTATATCGAATAGCTCCCATACAAGAGAATGAAATGAAAAATTCTTGTTTTTGATCAGATCGACTCGATTTCTTCCAGATAGCGTTTTCTAACTACTATTGATTTTCGGATTTCATTATACCCTTGCAGAGCAAAGGGTACTATAACGCAGTGAAGGAGACACCTCAGACCCCAAAGAGTATTAATATTCTTGATCAGCAAAGGTTAAGCGAATCTAAGCCAATTGTATTTTAATTTCCAATAACACGCATGAGAATACATAGATAAAAACATTTGCGAAGCATTTTTAATTTGTCGTAATTGTTCATAACATCAACCTTATGATTACGAATATTGATTAAAATTCAGAGCTGGAGGAGTATAAATAAGTTTCCGGCAACGTTATCATATAGCTGCTACAGGAAAGATCGAAAAATATTTACAGAAATAAAGTAAATAAAATTATAACATCGTTGTTTTTCATCAGACAAGCAAGATTTTTGGAACAATATGAATATAGGCGAAAATATGGAAAATTAATAGAAAAATTATCTTTTTTTATTTTTTGGATTACTTTTACCCAGAGCAATTAAAGATTCGACGAAGCACAGCAAATTGAACGCATAACTGGTACAATTTTCAGAGTATAATAAATTTTTCTGAAAGTTTAAAATCCTTTTGCTTTTGTTTGTTTTGTTTTATTACATTTTATTAGTTTTGTTTTATTACATTTTATTAGTTTTGTTTTACTCGTCAGCAGTCAAGTTTGGTCTCCGCAAAGTCGTGAATATACTATTTTCACAGGCAAAGAATATTTTTCAAATTCTTAGCGGACCTTTGGAAGGTGTTTATCCTCTTCTGGGGGGTCGTTTTATTGCGTAGTTAATCATAACAAGATAAACGAAAACAGCCAACCACATCAACCTCATGATTACGAATGCTGATGAAAATCCAGAGCTGCAAGAGAATAAATAGGTTTCCCAAAAGGTTAGGCGAATCTAAGCCAATTGTATTTAAATTTCCAATAAAATGCATGAAAATCCATAGATAAAAACGTTTGCTATACATTTTTTCTTTTTGTTTTAATTAATTTTATTTTATTTTAACTTATCCCACTCCCTTTTGTTAGTTTGAGATTAAAGTTCGTTTAGTTTGTTTAAACCTTAGGGCTTTTAAACAACAAATTTAAAAAAATATAAAGAATAGGATTTATTTTTTTAACGAATTTCTAAAAATTGTGTGGCATAAGATATACAAACATATTTTAAAACGAATTCTCTAACACATACATATTATTCGTTAAACAACAAATCTCGGATAGTTTGTGTAAATCAATCTTTTTCTTTTTTCGGTTATTTCCTTTAGCCACACTCCACTGTGGGCAGGCATCTGGGCATCTGGCATAAGGTGCATATATCGAAATTGCTTTTCTGTGTATGCGAGTCCGTGCTCACACACACACACACTAATACTCACACGTACACACATCGAGAACAGAAATATCGCACAGCCGCCCTGTGTGCGCTTGACTGCTGACTGCTTGCTTGAAATATTCGCAGAATTTCTTTTATTGCAATAGTCCACTGGTAGTCCACGTTTCTCCCTCCCCTCCCCCACTTTTCCCCCTTCCCCTATCCCCTTTCTCACCCCATTTTCCCCTCCCTTCGGCCTTTTCCTTGCTGGCTTTCCCGGTGGCTGTTGTTGTGGGACACACGTGTTGCCTGCTTTTCCTTATTGGCATACAATTGCTTGTAAATTCTCCACACTGAAATCAGTGCTTGTAGTGCTCTTCGCTTTTCCTTTTTTTTATTGTTGTTGTGGTTGTTGTTGTGTTGGGTTGTGTTGTCCTGGAAATTGCAATCAACTGTCAGAGGAGAAGGGGGTAAAAGTATGTGAGGGGCAGCAACAAAGCAGCCGTGCGTTTTGGCCGTAGAATTTGTAATTTGCAATTTTCCATCTGCTTGCTCCCCGGTCGCCTGGTCGCCTGATCCATGGCTCAGTAGCTTGGGCTTATTAGTTGCATAACTGCTGCCCAACCAGGTGACATATAGTACAACACATACAGCATATAGCACAAAACTGAGAAAGGCAATTCCGGCTGGCCATCAAAAGCTGCATTGTTTCCCTGGTAAGACCGGCTTACGTTTTGCCACCGAAACGCATTCAAATGGCAAATGTTGCACATTTTGGAGCCAGTTAATTGCATGCTGCCCATAAATTTCGAATATTATTGGGGAAATTGAAACAGTAACCGAAATTGGCTCCGTTCAACTGGCAACACTCGAGCTCCTTTGTGTGGGAAAATTAACTTTTCCAAATTCTATATGTTCGCAGGGGTGCACAAATGTGTGACAATAGATTTTCCAAAGTGCAATTTAATTGAGCATTTCCAGAGAACACTTCCAATGTTACTTTGTAGCTTTGAGCTTTATGTTGATTCAGGCTTATTCACAATCCACAATCCGTTTGGCAAACAAACTTAACTGATGAATTCACACATTACAGGTGGGCTTAAGCCAACATCAATAATTACTCAGAGTGTCTAAGCAATTTCCTAAAAGCAAAGTATTTAAGGTAAATGGATTTGAGATTATAGCATTTATCAGGAACAAATAAAATAAATAAATATTTGTAATTAACGAAAGCTGTGCCAAAAATAATCCAAGGTTGACCAATTTCCCCACTAAATGAGAATCCTGAAACGAACCCGTATCCCATGATATTTTCGGAAATTAATTTACTGCTTACTCAGCTTGCAGCGCCTTTCAAATGCGGCTCCTGCTGCTGCTATGGTCACAGGACACTTTTTTGTTTGCCGAGTGGAATGCCTTTTGCCGAGTTTATTTACAGCACACAGGAAATTCGATTTAAATTGTAAACAAGCCCAGTCAGGCAAGTCATGGCCACAACGCCGGGCAATCCTCGTCCTGCTCCTTGAAACCCCTCTCTACTAAATGGATAAAACCTGACTCACACACACACAACCACTGGGAATGCAAATCCTGCTGCAGGACGACTGCTTAAAGCACTTGGCTTAAGCAATTTAAATGCTGTATATCCTGCATCCTGTACAGGATAATGCGACCCCTCGCACTTGCCACTTTCCAGTTGCCACTTGCCGCCTAAGTGCGAATAAGCGGTACGTGCAACAACGACAAAAGCAACACCAATTACACTCCGAGGTGCGAACTGCCCGAGGATGTCTACTCTGCAAGTCGGCATCCTGATTGCGAATTTCTCAATTTCTTATGAGATAAGCTGCGCAGCATCCACTGTGCTACACTAAAATAATAGTTAAACTACTTTATAGTTTAGTCATTAAGTTTGAAAGGGGTTTGAGAAAGTGGAAAGCGTTGGTTTTTTATGCACAAGAAGTTAAAAAAATTAAAGGATCTTTAGGTAGTTAGTATACATTATTTAAAACTTAAAATATTAAAAGTTGCATTTAAAAATTATAATAATTATTTTTCAAGAACAATTCCTTATCTGTTCCTTTAAGTAAATATACGTTTAATTAACCTTTTAGATTTTTTGAAATGAAATAATTTTTCATCAGACTCATATGATTTTTTGTATCGTACATCTAACTAATTCTCACTCTTTTGGACTTAGTAGTTCTTTTTTTTAAGTGCCTTGCCTTTGCCACTGGTTGCAACGGATGTCCCACATAAAGCATAAAGGACACCAGTGCCGCTCCTCTCCCCTCCCCCCTTCCCTGCATCCTTCGGAAGGCTCTGCCGCCTTCCCGTGATGCCATGCCGCACATTTTATCTCTTCCTTGCGCCGCACTCATCGCCTTTCGTTGTCATTGTGCCTGGTTCTTGGCTTTGTCGGTTTTATTGCCGGTTTTCCGCGACGCCCTCGCCTAATGACCTTTTTCACAGAAGGGCTAAGAGCCCTCTGAGCGGGTGATTACTGTACGGGGGGGAAGCAGGGAGACAGAGAGACAGGGAAACAGGGAAACAGGGAGCCAGCAGCCAGGAACCAGGAGTCGTGGGTCCTGGCAAAATCTATTAACACTGCGTGCCTCGACATATTGCCGCGGTCCCTGAGGTTTTCCACTCCCCCTTCCCCCTTTTCCCCCTCAACTTCCTCATCCTAAGTTTGCGGTGGAAAGAAATGCGAAAAACGCGTTACGGCGCATCATTATCGTTCTGTCGTTAATTACATTTTTCACCGCTTAAGTGATTTATTCCGCAATTTTATCGTTTTCTAATTTTTTTCTATTGAGTTTCCTCGCATTTAATGAGTTTGCCCTTTTATATTTATGAATGGGAAGGCAGTTTAGAGATGATCTGGAATTTAATTTAATATTGATAGTTAATTAAAGTGTACTTCGAGAGCTTCACTCAACTTTTCTTTTCAATTTAAGTTATCGAAAAACTCAAGGCTATTTTGAATATCGCCCCTTTGAGTTAGTTCGGTATCTCTCGATTAGCGGCTTACCGCAATGGTTATTTAAACTGTCTTTAAACCTAATACTGTATACCATAAAAAAAGGGAGGGATAGAATATCCTGCGGAACATAAATTGATTAAAGCTCAATGACTGACGGAGAAGAGGAGTGCAGCTCACTGGAAGACATCCACAAACAGATGCCACGATGCCACTCGCCCCAGTTTGTGTCTCCCCTCGACTTCCTCCCCTCGAAGCACTTTAAAATAGATTTGTTAAGCGACAAGAGTCGCTTCCACTGCATCTGAAGAGGAAGTGGATGTGGATGGGGAAGTGGAAGTAAAAGGGGATCTCCTGCCGCGGGGGGAGAACAAGTTCACTAAAACAACATTTTGCCGGCGCAGCGATTCCTATTTGATGGTCTCCGCCACTCGATGGAGGAGCTGTCAGAAAACCCCACTCACAATTCAATTCAGTTCCGCACAAGTGGGACGGGACTGTCAGCGTTAAATTAATGAAACTCTTGTTAACATTCGAGTCTAACAAATCTCTTCGCTTTGTCTCGTTTATTTGCAGAATCTGAAGAATCAGATTATGACAACCAATGTCTGGGTGGAGCAGGTAAGTTACTATCCAACTACAAAAAACCAAATGTGCACAAACAGAGATTGAGATGCATATAGTATGTATAAATTCATGCGTTATTCAGTGCGGGTTTGCTCAACTGTGATTTGGCTTTCGAGAAACATGAATCTACCATTTGCCATTTGCATGCCTCGCTGACGACGAATGCAAAATAATTTGTGCCCGCCAATTTCAACGCGCTCGCATTATGCCAAACTTCTAACTTGGCCAAGTGGCCCAGCTCCATTTCCCAGGACCGCTAGGATAACCAGGACCAGCAGGACCAACAGGACCACTTCCACTTCCAGTTCCTGTCCTCTTGCCACTCTGCATGTCCATTGGCTTTGCACTAATGCGGCCACCAGAAGTTAGCCAAAAAAAAACCAGAGAAAAAATCCAGGAAAAAAAAAGAGGACAAGAGGAATATCAATTGGTCCGAAATCCGACTTTTATCCCAGCTGCTTTTAAACACTCGCGCGATGGGGGAAAACAAAGGGGACTTTAAAGTTTTCCGCTTTTGCATAAAACATGCACAGCAAATTCATCGCACACAAAATGCAGTCAATAGTGCAAGCAGCTTAGTCAAAGTATTTGGTTTGACAATTCACTAAAACCCAAACCGAACACAATAACAAAAGCGGAATTCAAAATTATACATAAATTATGCATTTGCCGAGCAATTTGCGATAGTGTGCATCTGTATTTGTTTTAGCCAAATGCGAATCTACATAATAGACCTCATTATTGGGGTGTGCCTGTCACTTTGGGTACTTAAATTTAATTTAAAATGGAAAAGCAAAATACGTTCAGTTTATTTTATGCGTTATACGTTGAAAATAAGCTAAATTTTATGTTCAATATTCAGGAATACTTTCTGATTTTTGGAAGAGGTCATGTACATTATATAGGCATACTATTTACTTAATATAAATTAGAGTGACAGCTTATAAGTACTTAGGTACTATGTTTTGCAGTAAGTTTATGCCTTTAGTTGTTTTCGTCTTTGGTTTCGTGGTGTGCCAAGCCCATTTATAAATAGGTTGCATTCTGTCAATAAAGCCGCAAACGCTTGCGCACGTAGAACCATAAATGCTGCAGTTTATTTGGCAAACGCATTTGGGATTTGCACCCGAATTTAAGCAGACGGGTAACCGCAATTAAATGAGCAATATTTCCAATCGTATCGCTAGAAACTAGGTTATTACGTTTATTTATAGTCAAACAATTTCTATGTTTTCGAACAAGTGAGGTTCTTCTAAGATAAATAGCCAATTTTCTTTGCTCGAGAATCACTACTTGATATAATTGCTCGAATTCATGTAATCACAATTGAAACACGATTTCGTGTGTAAGTCGGATCAATATAAACCCGGTTGGGGATCCCGCTCTGCAATTATATTTGCAATTATCGGGAATTTCATGCTTGGTCAGCACGAAAGCGAGACTTCTCTTCTCTGTGGGCGTCCATAAAACCCCAACCCCGATATCAGCCATCTTAATCCCCAGTGGGATGGCTCCCAGTTGGCGTGGCCGTATAAATACATATATGGAAAGTGGCAATCAACATAATTACAGTTATGCGTATAAGCAATAAAAAAGCAAGTCGGGGAAAGGCTAAAAGATTCAAGACTAGCAGATACCCCATAAAATGGAATTGTAACTTTTATCAGCAATCTGAAAAAAATTCATTCCAAATGAAATATCAATTGAGCTGGTGATTGTCTGAAGAATAAGAGTATTATTTATCATCTTAATAAATCATCTTTATATTCTTATTAAGAAAACTCCCATGTATAGTATCTCGATAAACCAATATACCCCGCAGAAAAAACAATACTCTGTGTTCAGGCATAGAGGCCAACATTGAAGTACAATTGTATTATGAAAATGTAATTTAATGCCAACAGCTTAGCGACCAATGAATTAATGCATAATTAATGAAATTGAAATTGCAGCAATACACGAGTTAAACGCCCTGAACCGCACTATAAAATATTCATAAATATTCACAATAGCTGAGTGTGCACATATTTTCTAATTTTTTACCCTATCTGTTTATTTTTTCTATTATTCATGGCAATCAAGCATGAATAATGGCCATTTTCATAGCTGTATCTTTGTTGTTGCTATTATGCTATAAGGCTTTACAATGTGCATTTTGCAATTGCAGGAATGGAATGACTATAAATTGAAATGGAATCCGGATGACTATGGCGGCGTGGACACGTTGCACGTACCCTCCGAGCATATATGGCTTCCGGATATTGTGCTCTATAACAAGTAAGTGCCAAACTAATTTTCACCCAGCTCATCGGTTTGAGGCTGGCCTGCCTGGAGGGTTTTCCCGGGCTTTCCCGGCCTTTCCCCGGGATCCTCGTGGGCCAAATCCCGCCCTGGAGCCACTTGGCCATTTGCATAATTGCCTCGAATGGGGGCGGCTGTATAAATCAGAGCGCCAAACTGTGCTCCTTCGCTAGGCCATTTATCAGGCGATGATTAACGTATTTTTATTTCAATGTAACTTGAGCGTTGCGGTTGCTTTGCGGGCTTTCCGCTTTTCGGGCTTTTTGGGTTTCCCCAGAGGCTGGCCAAGTGTCCTGGGGAGGTCCTTTTGGCCCCCAGTCTTCAGTTTTGAGTCCACTGCTCTCAAATTGAACGCAGCGAGAGCTGGCTCGGTATAATTATTATAATTTGCTGGAGTGAAGCCAATTAGAGGACAGGGATCGAAATGAATCCAGCGATACAAGAGCAGTGGAACATGTAGAGGATTTAAAAAATGAATTCGCGGCACCGCAATTAAGTTAACTAATTAAAAATAAAAGAAGAGAAGCCCACTTCAACCTTTTGGATAGAAATTTTAAAGTAAATGTTAATGGTACAAAAATATTAATTTGTGGCTTTACAGAAAAATCATATTATTTAATATTAAACAAAATCTTTACCTACATATTTCTCAGAAGTTATATGCTTATATTTGCCAAAAATTATTTACAAGGACAAAGCGGTATTAAATGTCACTAAGTATTTATTTTTGGGTTGTGAAATGATTTAGGAATCCTTTTTCGAGGACTTCTGCCCACTGTCCGACTGTTCAGCGTGGTTGCCAGGACACTTGACTTGCCGATTTGCCAAGCTGCCAGCGGAGCTCCTTCCGCCAGCAAACAGGACGCCAGGACATCGGTCAGGATATCTTGGCCGAGGCTGGCGTTGATGTTGTTGCTGCGGCAGATCGGCTTACGCGCTTTATGGGCCCTTTATGTGAGTCGATGGTACTTTTTTACCCCACCAACTTGGCCGAGAGAACTATACGCATAGCATGGCAGACTTTCGGGGTGTTTCGCTGGCTGTCGGTGTCATAAAAAGTCGTAATTTATTGCTTGGAAAAAGCTTAAATTTCATTTGCCAACGAACGAACGACAAAAGCATTGTATAGTAACTATAGAAACAGGGAGCGGGTGTTACTCGAACACCATGGGTGTTATATCGCCGGCTTTGGTCGTTGAGACGCTCTTTTTTTAAACTGCAAATAATTTGTACGCACCATAATGAAGCGATGCCCCAGCTTTGTTGCCGCATAAAATTGAACTTGAAGTGTCCTTTGTGTCGTCGCACTTAATTGTGGCGCGTGTTTTTCCTTCTCCAAATGCCAATCGAAATGGCCTGGCCAAAGTCCATTTAATTTAGTGGCAAGTTAAGGTGATGGCTTACGACGGAACGTTTTTATGGCATTCCGCAAGAAGAATCTCGGCAAGAAGAGAATCTGAGCCAAATTCATAAAAATTAAATGAATGATAGTCGAATATTTATCTTGTCGGCTTTTAATGTTGCCGCAAGGATAATAAACGTAAGTCCAAAGTCAATATCAATATCCTGGCTGTTGGGCTGGCTCTCACTTTGATTTGTTTACACTCGGAGCCTTGAAGCAAACAGTGTCGGGTTGAAAATTTATGCAGAAATTAAGCGTCAAGCATTGCTGGGCAGCACAGGAAAAGCTGGAAAAGCTGGTAAAAATAAAACACATTTCTGCGTATGTTTCGCACTCGTTGGCTGTAATTTTAAATGCAAATACATGTGTGCAGCCGTAGGAGGAAAAACGCGTTTATTGTCACACTCACACATCTGCGCAACAAGGACGATGGCAATCTATTTTACGATGCAACTTTTTGTGTGAACCAAGAGAGGGGTGGGGGGAATTCCCCTCCTGAAGCGCCCATTTGTATGCAATGAAAAATGTTTAATTGTCTGCTAAACGCGCTCTGGCAGCGAAATAAATAGTTGGCCGGGCTTTGTAAATGGCCCGAATTTGTGCCGGCTGGCCACCACAAATACCTGCATGCGTGCGCCACTCGGAGCGCAAAAATACAAACGCACATTCAGGGCCAAACATTCCGGCCACAAAAGAATTCGCTACAAGCGTCAAAAGTTGTTATTTATTGCCAGCGGGTTGGCATTTGGTCGTGTTTCGCCCAAATGTCCAAATGCCACAGCCAATTGCAAAATTGTTGGTAACATTTTGTTAATTTGTAATTGCAATTATCCGTTGCATTTGTTTTGCACTCAAGTAGCCTCCTGGGAGGCTGGCGAAATTATCTATTCGCTTGTGAGCTCATCAAATGCACACAATCAAACTCGTCAGACGTGACTGCCAAATTTCACTGTGACAGCCAAAACCAACTACCGCTTAAATAGGAGACCCAAACCCAAAACCCCGACACACAACCATTTCCCTTGGCCCCATTTGGCCCACTGTTTGTATTTGTGAAAGCCGCTTAATTCCAGCAATTAATTTTCATGTTGATCCAAGAAATTAAAATCGCACTCGACTGACTCAAGACCCCGGCTTCGGTTTTGGCCCCATAACCGAGCTTACTCCGGCCGCACTTAGTGGTTTATGTGACTGGTTATTATTCCGGTTAGCCATGGCTCCACACATTCCGCATATGAGTTTATTTGGGGGCCTATAGAATAATTACTGTTGGTCTGGATGGAGGGGAAACAATAGCTTTTCGGGATTGGCACTGTCATCTAAATTAGTTGATTAATTTACTTTAATTACTTTTGATATATGTTTATAAAATATTTTGATATATTATTTGTATATAAGAGGAAGTTGTTAATCGTATACTTCTTATAAGCATTTAAAGAAATATTTTTAATAATGTTAGCGTATCTTAGATGAGTTTATTTCAAACCTTTTAACCTTTTTCAATTAATTTTTGTAATTCAAATTTTTGTACTAATTCTTAAATAAAAACTCTAATCGATTGCGTAAACGTGCCAAATAAATGATCAACTAAAGTTTAATTTCCTGTGCAAAAATGAGTCTGGTCATCGCGTTTAAAACAGATTTAAGGGCGCACCCATATGCCCTATTTGGCTGGAAAAATAATCCCACTAAGCCCTCACACACACAGATACACCCAGAAACACACTTACACACACCCACTCATTCATGGGCAAAACGCATTACCATTTTGAGATGCCATATTAGCAGAATGCCATAAATCTCTGGCTGGGCATTAGGACCGCTCCAACCGATCCGACCGCTCAGACCGCCCGTTAGCCACATTCGGGGATCCCTTCCTGCACTCGCCGTACTATTCCCAAAGTGCTCCACTCTGGCTTTGTTTTCTTTAATTAAATGAATGTTGTTGACAACTTTATTATCAGCTGAACTTTTGCGGGGCCCGGACTTCCAGCGAACTGTGGGCCACACCCACAGTTGAATCAGAATCAGGAACAGGAGCCGCAGCCACTTTAATTCTATTATTGTATGTTGCTAGATGGGCGTCTGGTTGCTTCCCCCACTCCCCCACATCCTTTCTCCTTTCTACCCCAACTCTCTCTCCTGTTTCTTCCACCACCACCAGCCCATTCCGTATCTATGATTCTTTTTCAACTGCTGTTGGCTTTTAGTTTTTAGCATGAAAGCTGACGACAACTGCGTTGAAATCAAAAGAAACGAAATAAAATTTCATTATCTTTCATTAGATTTATAAAAATAAAAATGGCGTGGAGAAATACGACGAGGAACGAGGGGATGGGTTGAAGTACAAGGAAGACAAAGGCAATGGATGGCTGGCTGGATGGGAGGGGAAAGGAGAGGAAGGGGAGGTTAAAGGGACAGGAGTAGGGAATCAGTAGCAGCGGCAACAAAGTCAGCAAAAAGTTTTTCTTGCCCGGCAGCGGGTTGCCAACTCCCTTGATTCCGTCACGGTACAGTGGAGCCAACTGGAAACTGCCAACTGCCATCAATAATTCACGCTGCCCACTTACGTACGTAAAGTAGAAATCCTTAAACTTCAAACTCTAAATCAATCAATTATAAATAAAACAAATTAGTTGATTTATCGCACGAAACGGGTTGGTTTTCGGTAGAAAGCATTTTGGGCGTGCATTATTAGTCGTCTTATTTATTGGCTAATAAATTATATCGATTTTGGGTTATTTATGGCTTGTTTACTTCCAAAATTCAACTTCCTATTTAAAGAGTGTTTTCCGGAATAGTAAAACAAAAATGTAAGTTTAAATTGTCTTCTAAAGCATTAGTAATACGAGCTAAAAATATTGAGGTTAAAACACAAACAGACAAAATATTTATAGGTAACTAAAAAGTTTTTTGCGATGAAGAAATTATTTACTATTATTACTATTATCAAGTATTTTTGTTTTATTTCTTTTTATCTTAATTGAATGTATTATTATAAAAATTTTTATTTGTCGACTTAACTAACTTTTCTACATGACTTATTTGATACCAAATAAAAGCTTAAGAAGGTATGGGAATTTATATTAAATGTGATATAACATAGTTCAGTTCAACTTTGAATAAATAAGTTTTTAATTGTATTAAGCCCACTGTAGACCGCTTCGATTTCTGGCCTGCAAACTTTGACTGGGCCCAAAGAGCACTGAGCAGTGAGCACTGAGCACTGAGCACCGAGCAGAGATACAAAGATGGCGAACGCTGTGCGGCGCTGAGATTAACGCGCTGATAGACGCGGCAGGCGCCGTCGGCTTTGCCAGGATAACTGCCAGGACCGCAACGATGACACTCATACGCCTCGTTGTCCGGCTTCTCTACAGATATATCTATATATATATACGTATATCTATATATATATATTTGTGTGTGCCTGTCGCTCGCTCTCTGTATGTGAATCACCGTTAAGATAATGGCTGCAATTGCGGTGACCCCCAGGCGTGGTTTTGACTTTTTTTCGGTTTCGGTTATAAACTTTTGTTCTCTTTGTTGATTTTCTTTCTCTGTCGCCCGAGACTCCTGTTCTCACTCTCCCCGCTCCCTATCTTCCCCCTTCCATCTTCCCTTTTAATCTCCATCTCGCTCCCCTGAGCCTCTGTTTTTGTATGTGTGTGTGTGTGTGTGTGTGCACTGCCGACAGCCATTTTAAATGGTTTTTAGCCATTAATGGTTGCCCGTTGCTCTCGTTTTTGCTGTTGTTGTTGTTGTTGTTGAAGCTCCTGCTGCCACTGCCACTGCCAAACTGCTGTTGTTGTAATAACATTTTAAAATGCTTTGCTTTCGGATTTAGATTTAGTGTACGTCTCTCTGGCCATTGGCCATCGCCATCGCCAGAGGAGTCGAAAAGGACCTTGTTGCTAATGGACCAACGTCCACAGCCGCCGATTCTATATGCCAGATATAGGGGGGCGTGGCCCCTCCCCAATGGGAATCTGCAGGCGAACCCAGCATTAGCCGCAGTTTTTCCAGTCTAAAATGAATTTGTAATTAGAAGCTAAAATGTATTTTTAATTAGTTCGGCACTTTTAGTCGTTCCTGTGCGGAGAAAAACATTTTGTGGGTGAAATGGGAAACTCTGTAAACGTAAAAGGCTAAACAAAACAAGTAAAGTTTTCTGCCATAAAATGAGGATAAAGTAAAGTAATTATTAAAAGAACTTAGCAGTTTAGTTTTTATTACAATATTACCCCATTATACTTTATCTTCCTGATAAACCCGCTAAATTTATTTGATAACCGAGAATCAGCCATTTCATCTCAGATAAATGTGATGTATCCTATAACATCAATGCCACATAAATCATATCGATTTTGTGCGCTTTATTAATTCTGTTCCACATGCAAAAGCACAGTGAAAACAAGAAAATGTAATATGCCTTTCCATCTTTTCTTTCTTCTTTGCAGCGCCGATGGCAACTATGAAGTGACAATAATGACAAAAGCAATTCTTCATCACACGGGCAAAGTGGTGTGGAAACCGCCCGCCATTTACAAATCCTTTTGCGAAATTGATGTCGAATACTTTCCCTTCGATGAGCAGACATGTTTCATGAAGTTCGGATCCTGGACCTACGACGGTTACATGGTGAGTGTGGAATTGGGGATTTCGGGGATTTGGGGAAGAAGGACCAGCAATCCACCCTAAAAAAAGAGGACCGGCAACAGCTGGCAACCCTGGCCACGAACAGATTATGCCTCAGCCCATCAATCAAAATCGAAGCGAAATAAAACCCCGAACGAGGCTTAGGCTTCGGTTTTGATTCTCTCTGACGACTGAGTGCTAATCAAACGATGCTCCCACTCGATTAAAAAAACATTAATTTAAAAGAAAACCCCTCCGTTAAACGACTATTTAAACATGTTAAAATAATGGAATTGAACGTTTTTTACAATTCACTCGGGTGGATTTCGTGGTTAAATATGTGCTCCTCTTTTTGTTCGGGATCTGCCGTTAATGTTTACTTTGTTTTTTACACTTGTACACTTGACACGTTTCACTTGCTGTCATGTGATAAATCAAGGCGACTCCCCATTTTCCATGCACATGCGTGTGTGTGTGTGTGATTGTGTGTATTTGTGAGATAACAGCTGGCAGCTGCGTTTAATGAACCAGCCACGCCCACGCCTTTTGGTAAACTTTTTCGACACTGAACTTGGAAGTTTCGAAGCTTACGATACCTAGTAATAATGTTATAAGAAGATTAGGAACTTCTCAAAATGGCTATAAAACTTTTAAAGCTTGAGAAACACAATTTTTGACCTTAACAATACATTTTTAGAAATACTGCAGTCTTTGTAAATACAAAGAACTTACAAAAGTTAATAGCATTAAAACTCTTTTAAACAACCTTTACATAGTTGAATAAAATCTATCGAAAACCCATACACATTTCAAGTGTATTGGGAAAATATCCCGAGAGCAACACAACTGTTGCTTTGTTATATTCCGCCCCTTTCCTGTTGTTATTGTGTTCATTATGAGCAACAACGAGAAAAAGAACAAACGGAAGCGGGGGAAAAAATCGAAAAATGACAGCACATTATTCTACATATAAATTTTCGTTTTCCTCCCTTTTACGCATCACAAATTTCGAGCATGCTTCATTGACTTTCGACTTCCTTACAACTCGTATGGGTTGTGGAATTTTTCGGAACGACTTTTGGGCTTTTCACAATGTCAGCGAAATTGCAGGACGAGGTATTAATGACGACTGTCTCTGCCGCTTGAGAGGTTTATGTGTCCAATAAGTTTGACCAATACAAAATAAAGATGAATTTAAAGGGCAGAAAGATATTTAATGGTGATAAAGATTAACGATAATAGTAACAAGGAATTTAAACAGATGAAATCAGTAAAATAACTAATAAATATCAGTAAAAGCAATTCAGTTATTATTGATACAGAGTACCCTCCTCTGAAAAGAAAAAACCAACCACTGATAAATGAGCAACAGACAACAAATGACAAATCAAGCCGAATGGAAATGAAATAAAGGTTACAAGCGTAAATGTCATTTGTGTTTCGGTTCGCACGTGAGCCGAACTTATCTCGATTCCTGCCATCTGTCGCTGAGTTAGGATCCGGAACAGGAATAGGAACCATTCGCCATTCACCATTCACCTTTCACCTCTCACCCCCTTTCCCATCCAAGCGCCAAACAATTCTCCGTGCAATTGACGATTGTCAAAAATTTGTCAGAAAGTACGTTTTTCCATCACCTTTGATTTTTCCCAACCGTCGAGAAGGGAAGCGGTAAGCGACACTTGGGGCAAATGATGCCGAGGGAGTCTGGGAAAATGGGGCAACAAATCAACATAAATAGATGTATGATTGGCCTGGGTTCGTGTCGAGGCGAACAGGTGCAGCAGTTGCCAAAGTTTAGGCGTATAAATCAGCAAGTTTAAAGCAGGCAGCAGATGTGCCTCCCTATTGATTATCTCACTCTTAGATCAATGTAATCAAACACAAGTTATGGGAAAGTAATGCTCAATAAGGGTATATATTTTATATTTAAAATGATTAAGGGATATCAAATAATTTAGTTTAAAATATGTTCTTTTAAACCTATTTAAATTTTGGTATTTTTTTAATTTTACAGGTTGACTTAAGACACTTAAAGCAGACCGCAGATTCTGACAATATAGAAGTGGGCATCGATCTGCAGGACTACTATATCTCCGTGGAATGGGATATCATGAGGGTTCCGGCAGTGAGAAACGAGAAGTTTTACAGCTGTTGTGAAGAACCCTATCTTGATATCGTATTCAATCTGACACTTCGGAGGAAAACACTTTTCTACACGGTGAATCTGATCATTCCCTGTGTGGGCATCTCGTTCCTGTCGGTGCTAGTCTTCTATCTGCCCAGCGATTCTGGGGAGAAGATCTCACTCTGTATCAGCATTCTGCTCTCGCTCACTGTGTTCTTCCTCCTGCTGGCCGAGATCATTCCGCCCACCTCGCTGACGGTTCCGCTGCTCGGAAAGTATCTGCTCTTCACCATGATGCTCGTCACGCTCTCCGTCGTGGTCACCATCGCCGTGCTCAATGTGAATTTCAGGTGGGTGAAGCCAATTTGTTTCATAGGAAAAATACAGCAACATGAATCCAAAATAAAGAAATTATCAAGCTTTAAATTATAATAGATTTAAAACCACTTTAAAAGAGTCTTCCTAAAAACATAGCATACTTATTGGAGCAGTTTAAAGGGGGTTTAAAATCTCTAGACATTTTTATTACTAAGCTTTAAAAACATATGTTGTTTACGTTTTTAATCCTCAAATTTAATCCTTAATCCCTTCCAGATCTCCTGTCACGCATCGCATGGCGCCGTGGGTGCAGCGCCTCTTCATCCAGATCCTGCCGAAGCTGCTCTGCATCGAGCGGCCCAAGAAGGAGGAGCCCGAGGAGGATCAGCCACCAGAGGTGCTCACCGATGTCTATCACCTGCCGCCGGATGTGGACAAATTTGTCAACTACGATTCGAAGCGATTCAGCGGCGACTACGGCATTCCAGGTAAGAGAGCAGAACCCTCCTTCAATACAACAATGGTTTTCCTTTTGGCAAGGAGAATCCCTTTGGAAACCAGGGAAAAACTTTTCCGGCCTTTTTCCCGCTCCGCTTGGGCTTGGGAAAAAGTTTATGTGTAGAACTTTGCTTCTTGGGCTTCGTTGGCCGCTTTGCCTGTTCTCTTGCAGCTGGGAAATTTATGAATGTTTTCAACTGGCTTTAGTGGCCACATTACCAACGACGGTGCATACAGCGAGCAACGGGAAACTTGCAACTTCCCAGTTTATATTCCATTTTAAATATGCACAACAACATGGAAATTATATGCATTCAGACACACCACTTTATAATGATGCTGTGTTCGTTCGGGGGGGCGGTCGCAATAATTTATGACAATTAACAAGTGCAACGGCAAGGACGCCGGCCAAAAGGGAAAGTTTTTCGCGGCTTTATAAGTAATATATAAGTTACGAAAAATGGGTTTCACATTATTTTGTCACCGCCAACTGACTGCATTTAGATTACTCGTTAAAATGAAGTCAAAAGAAAAGAAGAGATATATTTTTAATCCCAAAAACAGATTGTAATTACTTAAAACCCCGCTCACATTTTAATAATATAGTTTAAATGATATTGCGTATACGCCATGGTGAGCAATTGTTTTAAGCTTACGGTCAACGAGTTTAATAATTTCTCCTTACGAGTGGCTTTCAAGGCGCGCGAAAAGAGAAAGGGAAATTGTAAAAAAGAAAAGAACTGAAACTTTGAAATGGCCCAGCGAAATAAATGGAAAACAGAATGCAGAAAACTATTTATTGAGTTTCCTTATTGTAAGCCCGGCCCTGAAGTCCTGCTCCTGTTGGTCCACCCTCGAGCTTGAGGGTCCTTTGTCCACTCACTTCCTTCGGGGCCATTGTGCCAAGGAGAATTGCGCCGAAGACAAAGCAGAAAAGTTGCAAATTGCATTTACAACTTTATTTGCCTAATGCTGTTAATGCTGGCAAAAACTTGCAAAAAATGGCCCACCGAATTGTGCTTTAATTCTTTATTAACTTATGTAAAGGTAGCTGCAATTGGTAATGTAAGTAACTTTATTCAAAGCAGGCTGAAATATTAAATTCTACAATAATCTTTTGAACCAAAATACAAAAGGCTGTTTCTTTTAGAGTTTACAATAAGTATTTCATTGATGAAATTTATGTCTGTTTTCAAGTCACATTGAGTGCTTTTTATTATTTTTAAGATATTACTTAACCCTTTTACATTAATCATCACAGTTTTCTTTACTTATAAATATTTTGTTCTTAATTTTTTTAGCACTACCTGCCTCGCACCGCTTCGATTTGGCCGCGGCGGGCGGCATCAGCGCCCATTGTTTCGCGGAACCCCCGCTGCCCTCCTCACTGCCACTGCCGGGCGCCGATGACGATCTGTTCAGTCCGTCGGGCCTCAACGGCGACATCAGTCCCGGCTGCTGTCCCGCCGCTGCCGCTGCCGCCGCGGCCGCCGCCGATCTCAGTCCGACGTTCGAGAAGCCCTACGCCCGCGAAATGGAGAAGACCATCGAGGGATCCCGCTTCATAGCGCAGCATGTGAAGAACAAGGACAAGTTCGAGAGTGTAAGTTAATACCTTATACTAATATACAATTAAAATCGTTTAAGCTAATTTCCTCTTATTTAATTTTAATATTAATTTCCTATCAAAGATCTCTCTTTTTAATTCGCGCAATAATTAAACACATTAAACGAATTACTAATAAACTAAACTAATAATCAAGTGCTGCATTATAATTGCTTAGTTTTCATAGGCAGACAATTTGCGCATTTAATGAGCTAAAATTATATAAACGAGAGTTTAGTTGTGCTTTGTTAAAAGTTTCATTTATTCAAATTACAATTATTTTTAATGTCATTAATTGCAAGCGAATATTTGAGATTATTGAAATTCCTCAAACTATAACTTTTGGTAGAGGGTAGTTTGTTTCAAGCTTTTGGAATTAAATTTTCCTCCCGCAGCTCGAATCAAAAATCACAATCGGTTTTGTTGCACAGCCATGCTGCAATTAATTTTCCATGCTGCGTGAAAGATTCAAATAATCCATGGCCACACCTTCGCACTTCCCCAAATCGAAATCGGTCGAATGCTCGACCCAAATGTCCAATCATCCGCAATGATTGTCTGGCAGTCGCAGCTGGAGCATCCAGACCGGGCCCAAACAGACCGGGCCAGCATGTCTGGCTCGGTGTTTACGTCTGCTCTTGATAACCCGCATTATGGCTCCGACATCCGGACCGTAAAAACCCCGCCGAATCAGCCCAGAAAAACTAACCCAAGCCGGTTAAATCACGTTGCCTGCGTCCCCTCTAATCAAAAATCGTAAACGGCAACGAGTTGGCTGCGCGGATCCTGTTTCGGATCACGGTGGTTCAGTTAGTCCTGGTGGTCCTTTTGGGTCCTTTTCGTCCTGGCGTTGCCAAGTGAAGTGCAATCGGTCTGTCGCCACCGTTTGGAGTTGAGTGATTGAGTTGTTTGTGCGCAAATACGAAGAGTTTGCAACATGCGGTTCCTACGCTGCAGCAGTTTGCCATTTGTCGGCGAGTTGCTGCCTCTGCAATCGGTTGCATGTCTGCGTGTGTGTATATGTATGTATATGGCTTATATATGTGTATGTATGTATGTCTGGGGGTGGCATCCAACTGGCATCCACGTTTGCTCTGGAACATTTCAATTTAACTGGCGAAGCCAGAACCGCAAATCTGATTTAGAACTGCAAAATCCATTTTATTAGTTTTCGAACGGCGAAATGATTAATGAAGATGGTCAGCCAGAAAACATATACATTGATTTAAAGCGATGTTGAAATTTATATAACCAAATTATACAAGTGTTTGTTAGGAACTATTTGAATTTAACAGATTTTAGATTTAAGCATTGCTTTCCCGAGTGCACACATATTTTAAGGAATCATGGTTATCTGAATTCTGAATTGAAAACGATTCTATTTTGTCACCTTCCTTATAATCCCCTACTGATATCTGATTTATCCAATTACCTTGCAGGTCGAGGAGGACTGGAAGTACGTTGCCATGGTGCTGGATCGCATGTTTCTGTGGATCTTCGCGATCGCTTGCGTTGTTGGCACCGCGCTAATTATCCTGCAGGCGCCCAGTCTTTACGACCAGTCGCAGCCGATCGACATACTCTACTCGAAGATCGCCAAGAAGAAGTTCGAGCTGCTCAAGATGGGCAGCGAGAACACCTTATAGCGACCACTTGGGTTCGCGGCCGGCTGGTGGAATCTAATCATCAGCTCGCTGCGGACCCTGTTCGCCGCTCGTGACGATGACCGTGGATAATATACGATGAGCCACACCATGAGTATTTCCTCGGCGCTTTACAACACTAACAACAGTAGCAGCAACAGCAACAACAGCAGTGACAGTGGCAGTGTCATCGGCAGTGTTGTGAAGGCCATTGTGAGTAGTGTTGCGAGCGCCAACGAAACGGATGACTCGTGGAGCACATCATCGTAGGAAACGCGAGGCGAGTGAAGCGAACATTGCGAAATGAATTGAGAAACAATCGAATGGAAGGCAAGTTTTTGGAGCACTTGATCAAAATATGTATGTAATGTAATGCGAGAGAGTTGTAGTGTTGATTAACCGTGACAGTGCTGGAAAGCGACGCAAGCCACAAGATCGAAGCGGAGCGGAGCTTAGTTAGTAAGTTTTTTGATGTACTTGATGTAGGATTGTGTGGGTCGAAGGAGTTCAGGTGGCTTGCGGATCCACAAAGATCCTCGGGCCAGTGTTGTAAAAAGCATATGGAGTTTTGTAAGTTATATTGTATTTTTGAGCGCCAAAAAGTTCCTTGTTACATCTTTTAGTTTTAAAGTTCCACACAACACACAAGAACAACAACAACAAACAAGAAGAAAAACAAATGAAAATGTTTTAAAATTGCATTTTAAATTTAAATCTGACTGCATGTGTTCAGTGCGTGAGTGTGGGTGCGTGTGCGTGTGACAGCGTGAGTGTGTGCGTGCCAATATATACATATGGAGAAGAAAATCAATTTTAATTGTTTATTTATTTGTGCATATTTTTCACATTATTTTTAGCAGTGCAAAAACAAAAAACACAGAGAAATTGCGCCCACGCTGAATGGGTAAAATTAAATTGCATAAAATTCCAATCTATTTTTAGCATTAATAAGTAAAGTAAATACGATAAACTACATTTAATTAGCCAATAAGTCGTAACTAGTTGTAGCTAAGCAAATCTAGTATTGAATTAAATTTAATATTAAAAAAAAAACACGAAGTCCGACAAATCGGTTCGTAAGAAGCGCGAAATTCTGAAATAAATTTAGTTGAATGTTGATACAAGCGAGTCGTCACATTTTTAAAACCACACATTTTTACTAACCACTACTGGCAACGCAAACACAAACACAAACACACAGACACACACATAAATATATATATTATATCGTGCAAGCATACATATAGATATATAGAGTACGTAAACGTATTTATAGGATTGCAGCTAGTCGGATCACAAAACAACGGAAACACACAAAACAATTTCAATTAAAAACACGCACACCGACAAACAGACACGGCGGAAAACAAGTAACAATAACTAAAGCGAATTGCTGTTTGGCAAGCACTTTGTGTAGTTTGAAGCCATTTAAATCAATTAAATTATTGCGTATAATACAAATTCCATTCTCACTCAGTAGTTTGCATTCATGGCAGTTTGATTGTTTGATTGTTTACCCACCACTCCATTTGTTTATTTAGCAGCTCCATTTTGCACCCACTCACTCACTTAACCCGCCGTTTTGTAGTTTTCCGTACTCATTATGCATTCATCGGAGCATACGGAACGTTCAGAAACCTTTGGCAAGTTCAATTTAAAATAAAACTTTTTAATTACTTTCAACGGGCCACGCGAGTGCTGTTCTGAGTTCTGAGTTTTGGTTTCTGGCTTCTGAGGTTGGGGCTCTAGGTTCTGGTTTCTGGGCTCTGGTTTCTGGTTTCTGGCCATTCCAATAGCCTCGGTTGAGTGCCACACAGAAAACACCTTTAATTTAAAAGCCAAAGCTAACGAAACTTGCCACAAGGTTGACTGCCACGCCCACCAGCCCTCGCATTTTTGCCTTTGCATTTTTAATTGATTTTGCAAAAGTTTTCTGCCGCTGGAGCAACAAGAACAGTAAACATTAAGCAAATGCGAAAGCCACCGATGGATTTTCCTGGAGAGGAGGGGGTGGCGAAAAAAGGCGTGGCTGCCCCGCAAGGCATGCAACAAATTAAGTGCGGAATGCAATTTGCCGTTCTGTGTGCATAAGGGGGTATGTGTGAATAGTTAATAAAAAGCCAAGAGTAAACAAATACAGGCGCACACTTGCGATTACCAATGCAACACTGAGAAAAAATTTGTTTTTACCGCTTTCAACCTAACATTAATTCATTGCATATTTCATGATTATAGGTTTTTATTAAAAGGCTTTAAATATATTTATTTAAAGTACAATTAATGGTTTTAAAATATAAATTTGCAAATATGGATTACGGATCTAACTTTTTCCTAAAATTTCTCTATGTACACCCACTGCATAGCAACAAGAACTTGGCAAGCATAAGTGAAATCTTTACAAACTATTAGCAAAGAATGCCGCGACAAACGACATCGGCAACCCTGAGAAACCCTGCCAGGGTTGTCAAGCAGCCATTGTTGCTAGAAGCCTGAATGTAGCTGATTCTGCTGCTGGAAAGGACATTGTGCGTGCGAACCGGCAAAAGTTTAATTAAAATTCCTAATCGAAAATATTCTACATTTGTGAGTGTGAATTAATTAAAATAGTTTTCCGAGCCAACGATTGTGGCACAGTTTGAGCACACGGAAAAAGCAGAGGAGAAAGTGCAGCGGTAAAAGAGAGAGTGGCTACAAGATAAATTCCCTATTTCTTCGCTCCGAAATAGTTGGAAAAAGTGAAAGAAAAATTTAAAAATGTTCGTCTTTAAATATGAGAGTTTGCTTGGCCAACCATTAACATATTTTATTTATTCCTTGTACCATTTTCATTTTCCATTTCCCTGCCACAAAAAACACACAGACACAAACCACTATAGAGATAAAAAGGAGAAAAATTAAACAGGAAATCTAAATAGCGAATGCCATTTTGGGTGTATTAAAATGTAAAGTGCATAAAAATCAACAGTTAACATTTTTTAAATACTTAGCTATTAAACTAAACGTAATATAAAGCCTACAAAATAAACGTCGAATATCATAAATCAAATAATTAAATCCAGATGCGAGGACTAAATTTAGAACGAAAACAATGTCACACTTAAATTTAAACGATTAAATAAACAATGCAAAAAGCAGCAACAAAATTCACACAAATACAACCGTACATACATAATACACACACAGGCAGCATCGAAATATAAATTGTGCATCATATATTGAAAGTATTAAACTGAGCTTATAAAATGTAAACTAAAAATGTCACACAAGAAGTTGCTAACTAATATGAAAAAAAATGCGAAAACTATTTGACAACATTCTCGACTTCCGTTTTAAAAAGCGTATAATAAAAAAGTCTGAAAACAAAATGGAATATATACAACAAAAATATGAATAAATACATAGAATATGGAACACATGAACACATGACACCTTTTAAAATGAAAACCAAATAACCACTGATACAACGTAAAAACCTAGAAAAAATAACTGATGGCAACAAATTGTTCGGAGGGACAAAATGTTATTCAATAAAATGTCCGTACACACACACAAGTTTAAAATAAAAAATTCAACCCGCAGTTACCAGAGGAAAAAACGAAATATATTTTGTATGATAATGATAAAATCAGCTTTTAGTTCTCGGTTTCGTTGAGGTCTAAAATTACACTTCAAACTCATAGGCAAACAAATATCAACCATTTTTGGTGTGACCTGTAAATATTAAATATATTTGCTTAAGCTTTAAGTATGTTTATTTGATAAGATTTTCTCAAGTAATTTAGGTGTGCTGGTATAAGTTTTTGTTTAATGCATAAATATTGTTGTTGTAAGCTTCTTAATTTAAAACTATTTTGTACAAACTTCCAGCCTAACAAATCCTTTGTTATAGTTTTAGACAATCAACTATTAAAATATATTTAATGCAGCAAAGCGAAATGAAAACAAAGAACTAATGACAAGTAAATGGCGTAACTTTTCTGTGAATAAAATAAACTAATGAGGAAAAAACCCCAATAAAGCATTAAAGCATATTTAATCTTAATGTCACTATGGGAAAACCAAAAAAAAATACGAGAAAATGCGAGAAAGAACAATTAGACGAAATTCATTTCAACAAAAACCATTTATGTAAATTGTTTCACTTGGGAAATCGACACGCTAAAGCAAAAACTAAATAAATAGAGAAATAAATGAAAAACTCGTTTACCAAATAATAAAAGACACAAGGAAGAAAAATGGAGACACTCGAGAAAACAAAATCGAATTAACGTCAAATACATAGAAGTGTATATGCTCTCATTGGTTGTGTTTTTAGGTTATAAACAAATAGGTTTGGCTCTGTGTGGGTGTGTGGGCGTGTGCACACACACAAACACACGCGCCATCCGAACAAACAAAACAGACAAACAATCGTTCATTCAATCACTCAATCAGTCGGTCGGTCGATCCCAACCACGATCGGTCGGACATATAATTGTACAGTTCATTTTCCACATTGAGTCATATATATTAACGAATAAATTAAATTAACTTTAGCTACCGGCAAGCGGAGAAGGGCCGCGTTTATCTGTATATTATGCTAGTAATGTCAAACATTTTGAATTTGCCTTTTCGAATCGATTCTGTTGAAGTTTTTCTTAGGTTTCTAGCTAAATGTTTAGTGTGCTTGATATACAAAGGGTTAAGCAGTTAATTTAGGTAATCGAGAAGAAACCATGTAATTTAAATACTGCCACAAATAAGACGAAATGAAATGCAAATAGAACATATAGAAAATATACACATATATGTATCATCTATATATGATGCGAGTACGAGTATAATGATATACGAACTAGTTAAGTGCAAACAATTTTCAGAGTGTGTCCAAAGAAAAAAAAGGATAGAAGATGGATCCGATGTGAGGAATATGGCCACTCAGACTAGTCACATAAGGGTAGATCGTGCAGATCGGGGCTCGAAGTTAACATTGAAGCTAAGTACTAACTATTTAGGCCAGATACGAATAACTCTGTATATAACTAAAGTAACCACCACGAGACACACACACACACACAGCAATGCATACACAAACAGCACACAGTTGAAGCAGTTCATACCTGTATATAAAACTAAAGATATTGTGGGGCAAACGCCGATCACGCCGATCACTGATCGATCATTCAGCAAGCGAAAGAATTTATTTCCAGTAGAATTCATTTCTCGATTACAGTTAAAGCAGACAACGAACTTGTGTACTCACAAAACTTAGATAAAGCACAGGAAAATTCTTAAAAAAAATTAGTAAAGAAAACCATTAAACGGTTGCCGAATGAAATGTCCTTTAAAGATGTTAAAAAGCAGGGCTAATTTAAAACCACTTAAAACGATGAGAAAAAGCAAACTGTTTCAATCCGAAGTAAACTTTTAAATACAACTCAAGAGGTTTTAAATCACTACAGATTTCCCTGCCTTCCATTTCGATAAGGACTTTCATTCAAGGCTAATACGTGTTTCATTTTAACAAAACGAAAACAATTTTAAGGCCAGTCACACTTAGCACTTACAAATATCATAATTAGTTAAATGCGAGATAGTTATTAAACAAAATATATTAAAACGAGCAAAGTGGGATAACTAACGCAAAGTAATTACGATGAAAACAGGAATTTGAGGTATTTGATAAATATGCGGCTTGACCCTGAGATTCAAAAAACATAAAATCGTATGTCTTCCAATCAAAGGTCGTCTTTTGTAGCAAACACAACAAGAATCAAAGTCTGCGTATTGCTAAAGAAAAACAAATAAACAAAACAAATTGGAAGCAACTGTGGAGCTGATTAATGCAGAAATGCAGAATATTTAAACAACAAACAAAACACCCACACAAATAGAAACTCACTCCATCACACACACACTCACACACACATTCTGCACTGCAAACTCGATTAGCGAATAATCACCACATTCCCTTAAGGGTTAAAAGGAAAACAAAAGAGGACACCTTCTTCGGTTGACATGTAGAATTCCTCACAATCTCTCCCCTCGAACTCTGATCCATTTCGGTTCCCAGCAACTAATCAAGTACCTGACAATAGATGAACTACACTTTTCCAGAATTTCTAAGCACTCCACATCGATTCATCCCATGAAAGCTCGTCTTGTACATACAGTTGCCGAATGTTTTATTCAATTTGGCTAAGAAGTTTCCAAAGAGTTGGCTAGAAGTGAGGCAAATCAAAAACAAAAAACACGTAAATTAATTCATTAAAAACGGTTTCAATGACAGCTAGAAAATTTAGACACTGACACACAAGCACACATTTCAGAGCAATTAGCATTCCTCCCATGATTTATAGCTAATTTAATATGCTTTCTTATGTACAAATAAAAACCAGACATCTTTTGTAAAATATTTTCCAAGGCAAAAACAAAACAATATGCTAATTTTAGGTTCTCGCTTTTTCAATAGTCTCAATGATTCAAATATTCTTCAATGAAAGCATTTTTAGTGGTTTTCAAAACGTTGACTTCAGAAATTCGCAGATTTGCAAGCAGCACAAAACACACAAACCCTCAAAACTCACTCTCACACACACGAAAATAATCAGATATTTAATGCTTGTATGTATGCGTTTCGTATGAATCCGTGTGAATGGCATTGCATGTGTGTGTGTGCGAGAAGAAGCCAAAATCAAATGTATAAATTTCATAAACTAAAATCACTCGAGTATGTAAGAGTTGTACTAACTATATATATTTGGAAGTATATAGTACTTAGAGGTATACATTATGCATATACACCTGTATGTATATTTTTTGTATTAACTGTTAGGTGCCGTTAGTTTTAAGTGCTTTCGTTGCAAGTTTTGTGTAAATTTTCTTTCAATTCGTTCGATCAAGATATGAAAAGCAGAAATCAATTTTAGCGTCAAGATTTTTAACTCAAAAACAAATCAAAGCAAATCTTAAAGTCTTGCAAATCACTGGGGAAAACAACACCACGAATATTAAAGTTAAAGGTAAAACGCCCACGGGTTAAACTAACGACAACTTGCTTAAAAAACAAAGAAAAAAAATAAAACGAAAACCAAAAATATTACTAATAAATATACATACATATACGCAGTAAACTAAAGCCAGATACAAATAAAGGTATGGAATAATGAATTAGTTAGTCGTCCCGAGCGCTAACTAAAAATTCTACACAGAAATCAATTTTGACTAAATTGAAAATTTAGTTAAATGAAATCGCATAACGTAAGTAAGCTAAGTAACGGTAATCCATAAACAATTTATGTAAAATACTTGCAACTAAGAATAGGCTAAGCTAACTTTGACACTGCAAATCAAAGCAAGATCAGCAACAAGCAAACCTAAAGACAAGGTACACGAAAACAAATTTGTGCATCAGTAATTCAAATAAATGTGACACAATACTTAAACTTAAACGGAAAAGCGTTGCATTTACATTTCACATAACAAATACATGAGTAAATATATATGAAAACACTATATATATTAAATATATATTCAAAACTCTCTTGAACAACAAAAACAGCAAACATATTACATAACAACCGAAACTAAAGAATTACACTCACGCGCAGCCAGCAAGCAAACAATTGAACATTGAAAATTGATCAAAAATTAACAGATCATAAAATATAAAAAACAAAAAACAAGCAAAAAAAATTAACAAAATTGATAGAAGAAAAATAAATATGTTGACTAACACAACAATATAAAAAAGAATTGCATTAACAATTTAAATGTAAGACACTAAATAACGAACTTAAGCTAAACGCAAGAACAAATTGAAATAATAGCAACAATTGCGAAAAATAACACTAAAATTGAAAACAATTAAAAAAACGACAACACATTAAAAGAAAACAATTACTATATAAATAAATGTTACGCGTTATTAAATAAAGAAGAATGAAAATAATTTGTTTTAAAAAAAACCAAAATGACTTTTATATTTAATGGGGGTTTAAAATGGAGAGGCTCAAACTTACCATTAAAAAAAAAAACATAAAATCAATGCATTATATTTTATTTTATCGAATTTTCAAGGTTGTCACATATAGTTGAATGAACTAAACTTTGTGGTAGTTGCTGCCATATATTTTCCCAAAGCCAATGCCAAAAGAGAAAACTGGCATCCTGGATATATATCGTGGCATTCACGTGAGTTCCTCTTTGATCGGCGGTATATATGATCGTAATTATGATGGGCCTGTGGTTCATGGGAAGCCACTGGACTTGGTGGCAAACTAAAGACAGTTCTGACCAATTCCTGTAACATATTACCACGTTGATTGGAGGGAAGCATGTATCTGGCACTCTCACAAAGAGCACGAGCCACGCAAGAGCGACCATTAAATCCCATGCTGAAAAAATGTCAGAAAAAAATTAATGTATTATTAAAGGTAAAAAAATAGTAATCAATCAGTCCGCAGTCTTTTACAAAAAGTGAATTGGTTACCTTTTTTATAAAGTCCATTAAAAAGTTTAAATATTTAACCAATTATATCTATAAATTGAAAAATTTTTTTAAGAGGAAAGAAAAAATTATCTCAGTTAGCTCATAAAAGTGTATCAATTTTATTTGCAGGGACCCTAAAAAAAACCGTGTGGTAAACAAGAACCAACCATTTTTCCTTTATAATTGTTTGCAGGTTTTCTTTTAGTTTTTACTTTCAAACTCACTTGTTAAAAAGAGACTGCACCTCGTCGTAGAAGGCTCTCCTGGAGCGCCGCTTGATGGTGTCCTTAGCCAAAGTGGCGTTCAGTCCGTGGGCGTGCTGGATGACCCACTGGTGGTTGGGCAGATCGTAGGCCACGCCCCAATTAACCGCCCAACTGAGGTAGTCCACATCGGGGTTGCCAATCATGCCGATCGTCATGCAAATGGCTCCCTGCAGGATGATTCGCCGTTAGAGATGTCTTACCAACACCAAACACTGGCCATCAAACTGGCCATAAACACACTCACACCGAAACCGAAGAGCCCTCCGGAAATGCCAGATATCGCTTTTGACGGCGCAGAACTTTCGCCACCGCCCGTGTGGCATTTGCACCGGGCGATGAGGGGGCAAGCACCTCGGATTGAACACCTTGCACCACCGAATGTGCAACTGCTGTCAGGAGGAGGAGGCAGAAAACCAGTAGGTTGAAGTGGCAAGTTGGGGAGAGCCTCATGCTGACGGCAGAACGTTTCGTTGGTAACTGAATTGAGGCCCAAAAGCGAACGGTCCGCTTTGGCGGCTTATTAGCTCAAGTGCTCTGTTGATTGCACTGATTAGCGGTTGGCTGTAAAGTCTGCTTTTAACAAGTGCCCATTGTTGGTGGTCTCTGGGCTTTTTCCCCTCCGCTTGGCCATCGGTTGTCAGCACGGCCAACTCTGATTGCTGTAGCATGTAAATTTCTGTCAACAGCGGGAAATACTCTTGTTTTGTTTCCACTTCCAGTCCAATTGTCAGCATTGTGGAGCGAAAAAACAAACAGCACAAATTATGGAATTGGCAGCTCGTTTCCCCGGGGAAGGGAGTTGCATCCACAATGGGATCCATCAATACGTCCATACCCTACTCCACATGAAAATGCATTTATGGCATCACAGCTTTCGGGTTTAATTTTCAGGTTGTAGGTAGGTAAACAATACTTTTTTGGTTATCTGTTGAAACAACAAAGAAACTCACAGGCTGACCACTTTTCACTGGAGCGCACCACAAAGTGACCGAAAAAACTGTCAATAAAACTGCCGATGTACGAGTATTTACTTAATTTCGATTCAACTTTTTGGCCTGACACACAATAAATATATTTTTTTTTTGCTCATCAATTTATGCACTTATTTTTTGTTTGCATTTATTGTTTGAACTGTGAAAATATTACAGAATTTGTAAAAGCTTAATGCATGAGTATTGATTTTCTCAACAATGTTACAAGCCTTGGTAAGCCATGAAATTAAGGTGCAAAGTAACGATTGATGGAGATTGTTAGCTTTAAATAAGATTATATTTTTTATACTTACATGCATCATTTTACTAAAAAACCAAGTGATTTGGTGGGATCTTATACGCATCTATCGTGAAAAGTATAGTAAAATTAGCTTTAAATATTTGTATGTCCTTTCACAAAACTCAAATATTTTAAATGTCAAGCAAAAACCGGTTTAATCGTTTTATTGAATCCCCTCGAGAAATGCGCAGTATTTTTATGGTTTTATTTATTACAATTAAATTGAACATGCATCACAATCCATTGGCTTTATATAGGGTGTCAAAGCAGTTAGCTGGCGCCCTGCTGACCGGCGCATTTCGATAAATTCACTGACTTGTTTTTCGCATTTCGCTTATTTATTTTAATCAACTGGCGCTTTTCCCCAGAAACCGTTCGCTGATGAGCAGCAGAAAACTCTGGCGGCAATGCGGTCCGTACAAAGTGGCACACTTATGCAGCGAATGGCCGGCGGTGAAGGCCTCCCGATACTTGGCCTTATGGGCAATCTCCGGATGCACGTAGCGCAGCATGATGCGGAAGACGTCGTGGAAGAGCGTGAAGCCCGGCGGAGCCAGCAGATGACGCGCCTCGCACAATGTCCGCATGATGCAGTAATCTGGTTGGTAATTATACCTTCAAAGAGGGGAAAAATGTGGATAAGATGACAATTTGTACTAAACAAATTGCATTGATTTAAGGACTTTGAAGTTACTTTACATCTGGGGGGGATTTTGTTATAAATTATAGTATAAATATTAAAGTTTACTTACATAATTGACATCATGGACAGGAGGTCGAAGAGCATTCCGTGTGGGTTCTGTGACTCGTTGATCACCTTCGTTCCCCGGCTCTCCAGCTCTCGTCTCAACCTGCGACTGATGGCAGATGGTCGGCAGTAGTAGGTTCCGTACATGTCCTTCACCAAGTGCGAGGCAGGACATCCCTGCTGCATCGGCTGCGAAAAGGACCTGCGATTGCCCAAGGTGGGAATGCCTTGCGGATAGGCGAAGTAAAAGGACTGAATGGGATCCGAGGGATTGAGGGGCACAATTATGGGTTGCGCTTGAAAAGGAGTTGGTGATCCTAGAGAGGATGGTGGTGGTGGTGGTGGAGGAGGAGGTGGTGGCGGTGGAGGAGGAGGCGGCGGCGGTGGAGGAATAGGCTTGATTTTTGGCTTGCCCACATGCCGAGGTATCCAATCTTCAATGGCAGCTGGCAGTTCATAGAGACTTGTGATCTCCGCCAGCCAAAGAAGTCCTCTTGGTATGGTTTCTAAAATGGCCTTGGCGCAGTTGGCTGTAACCTATGTTAAAAGTAAAGGAAATAGTTCACAATAAGGTAATTTAAAAGGAAGTTTTGTATTGTATTTATTTTTTAAAGTAATTCGAAAGCAACACAGCATAAATCTCGAATTTTCTCTGTAAGGAAAACTCACTGTTAGAGATGAACCCAGTTCAAAGGTGAGCCATCGCTTCTGGCGATGGAGCAGATGAATCTTCTCGTGCATGTAGGTTACTCCTCGACTGCGTAAGCTGTGATTGGATTTCAGGGAATCCATGCCATTGCCTGCGGAGGCACAGCCCACCAAAACGGCCAGGAAGACCAGTCTGAACCAAACTAAATTTTCCATAGCTGAGTCGCTGGCACCCAAAGAACAACTAAAAAACCAGAGATTCGCCAGATCGACAGTAAACTCCAAACAGAAGAAGTGGCCAAGCTTAAATTCCGTTCGCGTGGCCCATTAATTTGGTTCGGAGCGTGTCTTGACCGCATTGCAAGCTGCTGTTTGGTAAAAACATTAGCTCCAAAGCGGGTCACTTGGCCGGGCTCTAATTCAATTAACAAGTTGCCATTTTGATAGAACGCTAAGACAAAACGATGAACCAAATGCGACTGATTCGAAGGGTCGAATCAGATTGAATCAGTTGGAAATATGAGTGAAACTTGGCTGACGCTATTGCTCACGACATGGCTTTTGGTCGAATGCCAGGGCAACTCGTTGGATGAATTTGCTCGGGCGGCGACGACGAGGAGTCACGAAGCCGGCAAAGTCAACAATGTCACGCTGACTACGCCGGGACTCGACGCTCGGGGATTGGAGGACCTCGACCGGGACTTGGACCAGGACCCACTGACACCACATGCGGCCCCATCGTCGCAGCGGAAACTCTCGAGAGGCAAGCGTTTTGTGGCATTTCCCCAGGGTTCATCAGCTTCGGTAAGTCAACGAACCCTCGAACAATGGCACAATGTGCCGACCCTTTGCACAGGAAAAAATCTTCCTAATAAGTGAGATATACAAAAGGAATATTGGAAATAATATTCGAGCTTAATATAGTAGAAACACAAAAGAAATTGCTAGCAAAAAATGGTTAAAGTAAGTTAAAGGTAAAACTAATAGAAACTTTCAAGAATGTTTTTAACGTGTTTTAATTTTTTTTTGTTCTACCTAACTCACTAATTTTTTTGGTTGTGTTTCAGGGTGCTGTCTGTCTGACCACCGGTGTAATCGGCAACCCCAACCTGCTGTATCTCAGCTTGGGCATCAATTGGGGCGTTGCCTACGACCTGCCCAACATCACCTGGGTTCTGCAGAATGCCCACGGGTGGACCACAAAGAAGTCGGCCAAGGCGCAAATCAAGCGCAGACATCGACGTGAGCTCTACGCTCGTTTGGAGACAATGATAGACAGGTGAGTGGGTCGCCATTCATGGGTCATCGCCACTCGAACCACTCAAGTCTGTTTGTGTGTGAAAACCTGCACAAAGTTCGAAGCTGAGGTTTTTCGGCCAGGCTGAAACTATTTGAAGAGCTAAACAACAGACAATGGTTTTATTAAAGTGCATAAGCCAATATTGAAGGCTTTCAATTCGCTTGATTCCAGTTAAACACAAATATTATGTTTATTTCATAGCCGCAAGTCATTTAGAAAGGTAAATAAAAACTATAAATATTTGCTGGATAACCAACCTAGGACAATTAGCATTCATATGTTAGTAAATGCAAATAATATTCTTTCAAAAAAGAGTCAACAAAACAATTAATAATATTTAGACAACTAAATAAGTTAATTCAGTTAATTTTTATTGTCATCACAATCAGACACTTAATTTTCTCAACATAAAAACCTATTGTTTTTTGTGAGAAACTGAATACTCCGAATATGGCTATTAATCATCCCCGTGAAGTGTTTTTACTTTCCAATCCCACTGCACAACACACACAGAATACACTTCCACTCACATGAAGATACTTTACATGTTTCGAGTGGCAGGCACAGGTTCCCCGGCTTTCAACTGGCTGCTTTCGCTGCCAAAATCAGCCGAGCCACTTGGCTTATCACGCACAGTGCGACCGAGAAAACTTCGCACCCAAAGTGGTCGTTGTCCCAACCCAGCCACGCCCACCGCCCACTGTGAGATCCCAGCCCTACGCCCCCCGTTCGCCGCCTTCATTGGGGATGCGTGCTCATGGCATAATAATAAAATGTTGGTATTTTATATTAGCATTTAAATTGGCTTTTTGTATGCTTCGGAAATAGTTTAATATCCGTTGAGGACGAGCGTCTGCGGTTCGGCAACTTTAACTTGAAGGCAATGCGAAAAATGCATAACAAATTAGGCCGTAATTGGGGAGAGTTATAGTATGTGGCGGCTGCTGTTAAACTATCTGCAATCTGTAAAATGTCTTATCAACGAGCGGCACACACAAAAACACACACCCACACACACGTATATCCTTGAAGATAGGGATACACGGATTCGGTGACGGGCGTTGTCATGGTAATCAAAGGACTTGAGGCCCCTTTTCAGGATTCCCGCCTCAATTTCGTAGCCGGGCTAAGCTTCAAGTGGTCGTCAAAAAGTTACCATATTTGTCCTTCGACCGGCTTTTCCTTTTTGGCCCGCCATCTGCCTTGGATTTTCCCCTGGCTTTGACCTTAGCTCCCAGCTTCTAGGATCCAGCTTCCAGCTTCACGTGTCGAGAATTCGGTGTGTCTGCCGCTGTGTTCTCGCCCGTCTTGTGTTTCATGATTGTTTTCCCTCGATTGGTTTCGCTTTTCGATTGTCTGTTTTGCTTAGCGTCCCACAATTGATGCCTGGCAATTTTGGCCCTGACTTTTGGCATTGGCTCCTCTGGTTTACGACCGCCGCCTCTCCCTCTAATGGGTCAGCTAAGCGCCTTCCCTGGCCTCAATTGCCTCTATCCGATATGTCGGCTATACAGCTATACAGCTAACCAGTTGGGATATGTAGTTTAGTATATGTGGTATAGTATGAGCTGCGAGTCCTTGTGTATGCGCTGTATGCCCTGTGGGGTTAATGAAGTTGTTTGTTTGTTTGTCCGCCTGTCTCCCATTCCACAGAACTCGACTTGACAGCCGCCACTGTCGCTGGATCTGAGGAGGGGGCTAAAAAGTCCTACTAGTTAAATATCCCCTGGAAATTATACAACTCCCACTGCAACTCCACTTTGTGGGAATGCATGCGGTGGAAGAATATTAAGCAGTTAGTTTTTGCAAAACCTTTAAAACTTTAAAAAATTAAAAAATCCGAATTGGAAAATTTAAATGCACGTTGCTTAGGATTTCCGCCAATAAAATTTAGAGGTACGCCACTTTGAAATTGGATCATAATCAACAAAAATATGCGTTGAGAAAGTCCAGTTTTAGGTTACTTCCATGAAAATCATCTAAATCTTGAAAAAATCTGACATGAACAGTGGTCAAAATTTCGACCATAGAAAAATGAAAAATTTTGAATGCAGTTATATATATTCGATTACAAACGTTTAGAGGTATACCACTTTAAAATCTGATTAAAATTGACAAAGTTATGGGCTCTGGAAGACCAGTTTCAGGTTCCTATACTGAAAATAATCGGAAAATTAGAAAAAATCTGACATGAACAGGGCTCAAACTTTCGACCATCGAAAAATGGAAAGGATACAATTACAAACGTTTATATGTATGCCACTTTGGAATCTGATTAAAATTGGCAAAGTTATGGGTTCTGAAATCCGTGTTTTGGGTTACTATGCTGAAAACCATTGAAAACTTGAAAAAATCTGACATGAACAGGGGTGAAAAAATCGACCATCTTCGAATTGAAAAATTTAAACGCAGTTTGTTCAGGAATTCCGCCACAAACATTTAGAAGCATGCCACTTTAGAATCGAACTAAAATTGATAAAGTTAAGTAAACGTGGAAACCTTGCTTGAGGTGTAAACTAACGCGGTCATGATTTTGCATTGCAGCCAAGTTGGCAAATATGCCAGTTCGGCCCATCGATCTCTGTCATCGCATCTCTGGCTCTTTGGCTTACAGGTAGTTCGACCTTTGCATGGCATCGACAGGTGGAAAGGGAGGAGCAGGAGGCTCAACTGGAGGTTCTTGTGGAGGTGCAGTTGCAAGTGTCGGCACAGGCAATTCAATTAAGTTGCAGTGCCTGTCTGGGTTGTACCCCCTTCACCCCCCTTCACCGCCCTTTCTTAGCCTTCCTTTTGGGCCGGTGCCATGTTTATTGTAAACGTGACTGCTGCAAGTGTCTGAAGAGCATTCTAAACGTTAACGGACAATTGACACATTTGCACTTTGGCAATTTTCCTTTGGCCCCCCGAACCACAGCCCATCCATCCATTGAATCCATTGTCTTGGCAGAACAGAGAGCGAGTTTCCACTGCAGTTTTCCGAAGCTGTTTGCAGTTTTCAGTCAGTTTCGAGAGTGGCACGTGCCACGTTGCCTTCCGCCATGATTTACGCGAGCTCTGTATTGTTTAATTATCGTTTAATTGTTGCAAAGTTTTTGATTTACGATTTAATTGCAACGACAAATGCAACGCTCTCTTCTACTGTCGCCGCTCCCTCGTTTTTTCCGGGTAATGTCAGCCATGATTTATGGTCGCCGCCAACATTGATGACTATGATGGAACGTGCAGAGGACTCCACTCCATCCTCATCCGCCTCCGCATCTCTGGTTTCATCCTCGCAGCTGTTGCACCATCGGTGGCAGAAAGTCCTCAGTCGACCGAAGCGTTATCTCAGCTTTCCCGAGGGTTCCTCTTTGTCCGTATGTATCCCCCATCCCCCACTCCCCATCCTCTCCAGCTGAGAGTCCTTTTTGTCATCGAGTCCTTGACCAGGTGGCCGTCTGCTTCACCGTGGGCATCATCGGGAATCCGTATTACGGCTACAACAGCTTTGGCCTGAATTGGGGAGTGGCCTACGACCTGCCAAATACCTCGTGGGTCCTTCAGAGCTTGCACGGCTTCTCCACACATCCCGTGGCTCCGGCTGTCCTGCGTCGCAGGTCCAGGAGCGCCATCTTCCAAAAGATTGAGAGCGTTGTGGATAAGTACGGGTGATTTTTATAAGCCTGAAATAAAGTGAAGTTTAAACTATTGTTGTTTAATGGAGTGAGAGGACTTTTAACACAAAAATAGATATCTAAGAAGAAGTTAGCAAGCTTAGGACTTTTAAAATGCTTCCTGCTTTGAATTTATTTTCATTTATGAATTTCATTTATGAATTGCACATGGAGGGAACTTTATTTGGTACAATTATTATTAAGAGTTAAACAACAAGCGGAAGGTAGAGTTTTATTTTTTTTTTTTTTTAATTTGTTCGCTATATTTTAAAAGCTTTAAATAATATTTTTAAAACATAAATTAAATGTATCTCTTTATCGTTTAGTATGGGCTACAATGGACGCGATTGCATCTTGAGAACGCTTTGCGAAAGTCGTCAATACTTCCAGCGCACCAAGATGAGCATGGTTGGCGAAATGCTGCGCACTATATTCAGGTGAACTAAAATAATCATACAAAAATATATTTTTTAATCTAATAATAATCCAACCCTTATTTGCAGCCTGCCTAAGCAGAGAATTTTCACCCGGGAACTGCACGAGAACTCGGATATAGTCCACTATGACAAGGCTTATAGGAATGGCCACACGGACGACTGCACCCAGTACCACTGTCACTTTTCCCTGCTGGAACTGGCCTTTGGCAAATACACGACCCCGCCGAAAAATTATTACACCTAATAAATTCCCGATACTTAAAAACGTTTCGCATCAAATTCTTTTTAAATGTCAACTTGTCCACCTCCGTTTCTTGGCTGTGGAAAGGGCACTTGTTGAGCCAGGTTAAAAATGACACTTCATATATCTTCTGCCCAGCTGCAAGTCGGCATCCTCGGCTACTGAAAGGAATTGATGGTGTCTGTGAGCCGACTCCAGCTGACTGATGTGCAAGTCCCTCTCCTGACACCTCCTTTCCCAGCATTATAGTCCTGCCATCGGTAAACGGACTTCAATTTGAGCGAAATAAAAGTATGTTGGCCAAACTTTCTTCGGCTTTACTCATTGTCGCTGTTCGGAAAACTGAATTCAATCAACAGGGAAGATGGAACAGCATTGTCTCTGAGTGAAAATTAAGTGACAGGCCGAAATATTTATTGGATGTCCATTTTGGGAATGCGGAAACATGAGCGGGCATAAATTTACAAATTGTCAATGGGCAGATTTTTCAATATCAGAATTACAGCCATCCAATCGATACAAATAAAAGTAACAGTGGTTCTTGAGATGAATTTATGGCCTGAATTTATGGATTAAAAATGTAGTTCATTTTCACATAGAGAATTTTATTTACGTTTCTTTGAAACTGTAAAAATAAAAACATTAGTTATGTTACAATTATTATAGTAATTTATTATAAACTTAAATTAGCAACACATATTGCTTTCAATGACCCAAAAAAATATTTATTTATAAATAAAATTCGAACTACATATTTGTTCTTAGTTATATTTCCAGATTTTCACACCTCATCCGAATGCTCTGCTGTCCCCATTTATAATGGTAAACGGGGAAATTGCGGATGTCAACAAGAGTTCTATGCCAGCAGCAGCAGCAGCCGAGTGAAAGATGGAGAGAAAAGTGTTAACAAGTAAATGTCATGTCCAGAACTAGAATTCCAGAGCGGGATGAGCAGCTGGATGGCAGGACGGACTGACGGACTGAGGCGGGAATTGGAAGACACGAGATGTCACCGAACCACACAGAGCAATAAATAAATAAGCAACGCCAGCAATAACAACAAAGCATCATGAAGAAATTCTTTGTTTGTTTGTTTGCTTCTCTTTTCGGCGCTCGCATTTATGTCGGCCAGATTAAATATATATCCGAGCTGGTATCAGTAGTCAAGGGGAACTGAAGCTGGAAACAAGCCCCAAACCCCAACAAAAATATGAACGGCAATTAAGCGGGAGAAAGCTGGAAAAACTGAAGTAGTTTCCGCAAAATCCCTTCGCAGTTGAGAGTATTAATTAGTGGACATTTGGAAATTCAGCAATATGACTCACCTGTCAGCGACGTCGATTTTGATGCTGATTCTGCAAGTGGTGCAATTGCAGGTGGTGCCCATCCTGTCGACGAGTCCCACTCCCGTCACTCATCCGATGTCAGTTGACAGTTTCGAGGGGCTCAGCAGCACCCTGCACAAACATTCCGACAGCCGCATCCAAAGTCCCGTGTCCATGCTGGGCAACAAATTCGAGGACGAGAGCAGCACCAACAATGCCACAAGGATTCTGCGGCGTGGCAAGCGTTATCTTCAATTCGGCAAGGGATCACGTATGTCGGTGCGTATGCCATCCAGTTTTAATTGGCTCCCAATCACCGGGTTCTCCTCGACGATTCCCCCCAGTGGCGCACCAACGGCAAGAATAATCTGTGGAACATCAACACACTGTGGGCCTACGGCTATGGATTCCGCGCCAATTATCCCTTTCCGTCCATCGAGGACCAGAAAAAGGATAATGCGGTCTTCTTTCGCCTTTTCAAGAGGGACCTCTTCTCCAAACTGGAGACGGCTTTGGATGGGTGAGTACTGCATACTGTAAACCAAAAGAAAAGTAAAATAACGTTGACTGTTTTCATATTTCATATATTTCCATATAGACACGGCTTCGATGGGCGAGCTTGCATGTTAAAATCATTCTGCACCGCCTTAAATGATGTGGATAAACCCAAACAAAAGAGCGGAATGCTCTTCAAGATGCTTAAATTGATATTCAGGTGAGTTGGTCACATGCTCTATTTTTCAGATAAAGTAGAGCAGAGCAAGTCATTAATTAGCATTGTTCTGATAAGTCTTTGAACAAAGAAAACTAGTTTTTATTCTTCAAAAGAACTTTCTGGGTATGACAATTCTATAGATTTCCATTCTGTTCTGTTAGTTGATTTCTTACATCGGTTACAATGGTCACGGTTCGGTTATATTTTTTACTCGCTATTATCACACTAGGGACAGCCCAAGATCAAAATTCCACAACGATTCACAGTCGAGCCAAGCGATATCTGGATATAATAGAAACCTCTCGAATATTTGTGGGTAATCTAAGAAGCCTTTACTCACAAAATAACCAAAAAAAATATTTACATACTTAAATATCTAGTCAAAACAAATAGAAATATTAGAGTTCTTATTCCGTTTTACCATGTTTGGCTTGCTTTATTTTGTGGTAAAGGCTTTTCAAATTCTAGTGACACAAAAATTGCTTATAGCCAAGTTTGTTATTCATTTTAAAGTTCCGCGTTAATGCCAAGAACAATGTGATCAAATCGCCGGTTGTGTGGGCCCATGGCTACGGCTTTCGAGCCAACACCCCGATTTTGGTCAAGAGGGAGAACCGACCCTTTCGCAGGGACACGTATGAGTTGCTCCACGAACTGATAGATCGAAGTGGCTTGGATGGGCGAGCCTGTGTGCTCAAGGCCTATTGCACCGCTTTGGGCGGCGATCATGGCCAGGGATTTCTGTTTAAGCTACTGAAATACGTGTTTACGTAAGTGCTTACCACTGATTAATTATGGCGCGTATGTACATTATTTAATTGCAGCCTGGATGAGCACGACAAGCGACACATGCCGCATTTGCGGGAGGAGAACTGCGAACAAATCATGCACAGCCATTGTCCCTTGAGCTTCGATAGTATATCACCATACACGGACGATGTTTAATGTTGTTTGTACTCGTATGGTATTGTTCGCCCCCCAATTGTTGATCTAAGCATTGCAAAATAAACAGAACCGAGATTGAATTGGACATCATAAAATAAATATATGCACAAGCCCATTGAATTGATTGCCTAAAATAATAGTACTGATAGTAATAAAAACACTTCAAAGGGTTGACATTCGCCCTTGGGCCTTTAAAGTTTGTTCCCTGCCACAATTGCACTTAATGAAATTGTTAATTTAGCAGATTTTTCACTTCATTTCAGGAAAGGCGATTTGGGTATCTGCTTTGCAGTTATTTTTTGAATACCCTCAAATTAATGAATAATATTTATTTAGTCTACAAAATTAACTCAAATTTAACAAATATTTAATTTTTGGTTTAAAGAAAACTATTACTAAATTAAATTTAATTATTTTAAGTCCATTGAAAATCATAAACTGTTGGGTATCAAACCTTCGCAATCTTGTAGATGCCATCGATTTTTTACGAAAATCTCACAGTAAGTGTTGGTGGCTGCTGATGATATTTATTCGCTGTTGTTGCCATTTGTAATTTATAATTAACTTGTGTGCCATTTGCAGGTTTTGGACAAGTGTTTCTGTTTTTTTTCCCCGCCACCGCTGATTGTGCGTGTGGCAATCAGCAACGTGCATTTAATTGGCATTTATATTAAACAGCTGAAAGTGAGCAGCCAAAAAGGATGCCGGGCAGATGGGCAAAAAAAAAAAAAAGGGAGGAGGAGGAGGATTCGGTGGCCATTGTTGACCTCGTTGCATGACAAAAGTGTTCCAGCTGTTTAATGTCACCAGCACGAAATGCCGAGTGGTGTTAAAATGTTTGCGGCAGCCTTTGATGCACTCGTCACGCCCCCCGAGGAAAAACCTGTCGCCCACCGCGGCCGCATTAAAAATTAACTTTAATTAAGTTGGAAAACATAAATTACATGCACGCGTACAAGGGCATTAAATTGCAGTTGTGGGAGCCCTCAAGTCTCTAGTTTGCAACAAGGATACACCAGGAAACTAGCAAGCAGGTCAGGGAATTGCAGGGGATTGGAGCTGGAGAAGTACTTCCATTTGGACTTTGACCGCAAAACTTTAAGCGTTTATAGGGCAACAACTTTGTGCTACTTTCACCAAAAAAAAAGGAAAAAAGGAGGGAAGAATATATAGTACAGTGCACACAGAGCAACGCGTTCGTGTCTCAGCCTTAATCAAGTATTAATTATCCTGCCGTGCGTTGAATTGCAGCATTAAGAGGTCAACTCCTTTCTCAACCCACATCCACTGACCTTACTTTATTCACATGAGCCGTATATTGCACGTTACCTTCACCTGTTTTTCTATAAATCGAGTTAACGAAGGTATATTGAAATTCGTATTTGATTTGTTTCTTATTTATAAAAATATAATTCCATTTATTTATACCTTTTCAAATTATGAATTTGGTCTTATTCTTAAAAAGTTGCCTGGAAACTGGTCAAATACAAATACCATTTATGTTACGCCAGAAAAATAATATAATAAATAAAATAAAAATAAAATTATGTTTTTAAACAAATGAATATTTATACCTATATTATACTGGGTATTTTCTGATCCTTATACAGGACTTGAGGCTACATTTTTTACTTGTTACATTTGCTGACAACACAAACGTAAATGTCACTTTGTTGTTGGTTGTGGTTGCAGTTTAATTTTCTCATTTGGTGATGTTTGCATTTTTCGCTCTCATTTTTCGAGTTTGGGTGACGTGAGTTTTCGCAATTACAATTAATTTTAAAATACCCTGAAAATGTGCAGAATTCTCACGGCAAGTGACAAATAATTGGAAAGAGGATTTTACACGTACGACTTTAGCTAATTGAACTCTCAACCCAACTCCAAAAAGCATTTAATAAGATAAATTATATGGAAAATCACCAACAAATTTAAATAGGTAGATAAAAATAATAACCTGTAAGTTATACTGTGAAAAGTAAATAGTAACTCCTGGGTAGTTCAACTTAGTCATACTTGAATATTTCAGCTTAAAAGCTTACAATCGAACCCATTAACCAAAAACATGTATTGCTTTCATAACTGCCAGTTTATTGTTTTAATTTGTTTTTCTTAAACTGCCACTTATTTATATATTGGCATACAATTTTTGACCTTTTACCGAAGCACAATAAATGCGTTCTGCATCAATAAATTGTTGAACAGATAAAAGCATTTTGGTGTTTTTCAAAAATTTAAAATAATAAACCCCGCCTATTAGAATCGCCGACAAATATTTTAGCTGCCAGCTGGATGTCAGCATGAAAGCCATTTCAATTACTTAGTAAAATAGGCAATTTGCAGTTTAACTGGTATTCGCCTGGTGGCATTAACTCGACCGCCTGCTGATATCAATGCGAACGGACAGGTGCGGTAAGTTATTTGGCCTCCATCGAAATGGGAGTGATGGCATGCATGTGAAACAATATAGACAAGATTAGCGCACACCTCACCTCGGGTAATTTATTGGCAGTCAAGGACCTACGAAATGCGCATCTGGTTCATTATGCATGCGAAAAGGGCAGATTGGGGCTCAAAACCCCATATCCTGACTGCACTTCCCTTTCATCTGTATTCTGTATCTGTATTACATTCACCCATTCATTCATTCATTCGTTCATTCATTCATTAATCGGAATGAGGTGGACCGACTGGCATGCAAATTGATTTGATGCGTTGTCAATTAAAATGTGCAATTAATTTCATTCGGTTTGCCTCACATTATCGAATATGTAATTGGATGGGGCGATTGAGCGATAGGCCGCACACTCGTACACTCGCAAACTCGCACACTCGCAACGATTTCAAATCGGCGGCTGGGGAGATCCGAGATAGGGAATATAGACCCTGACAGCGACTGCTAATGAGCTCAGTTAGCCAATTCAGTTTGTGGCCAGGATCTCGCGTGTGTGTGTGTGCGCTGTGTGTCTAAATTAAACCGTCTATGATATGGCAGAGAGCATGGCGTATACGCAATTAGTTAGTCAAACGCTGATTGCCCCACTTTGGACGCTGATGGGCACGCGAATAGCGACGCAGCTTGATTTAAGGCTTCAACTGGGGGATTTATGTTACGAGTTATTTACAAATGTAACTTTAAATAATATAGATAGACAAACTAGTAGTAAATTCAATTCAATGATTTTATGCAGTTTTTTTTATTTAGTTATTTTACCCTATAGAAACACCTTAATTTATAGAAGATTTTTAAAAACGGTTCTTGTTTAAATCAGCATACTAAATTTATGACTCGCATTATGAAAACCAATATGCCTAGACTTAATTTTAAAATCCTAAGACTCTCGGCATCAGCGGTTCGGTCTCGCTGCCGCCTCCCCAAATTAGTTCAAGGATTAGTGCAATAAAACTAACGTGCCATGGATTTGCGCAGCCCTTTTGTTGACTTTGGGGAACTGGGGCGCAGATCTTGTGGACGGGGGCGATGCGGGCATGTCACAATTTCCCAATTAGCTACTCATTGAGATAAATTTCTTATGCAAATGATGACAAGGCCAAGTAAGTAAGGCGAAAAGGGGGTGGTGGCTTTGGTGGACAGGCGCTGAAGTGGCATTGGCATCCAAAATCCCTCGCATTTGGCTGACTGGCTGCTTGGCTGGCTGGCTGGGGAGTTTGGGACTCCGAGTGGGGCAACTACGGCGACGGACAGCAGAAGAGTGACATTGACTGACTCGCGATGACGATGACGAAGGCGAAGAAGACGCAGCGGCACATCCTTTGGCTCACTCTTCCTAATTGGCTGCTGACATTTGCCAGCTAACAATAACAACAGAAACAGAAACAGCAGCGGAAATGGCTGGAGAAGACCAACAACTGGAATGGCAGCCAAAACACCAGCGTAAAGCTAAGTAAATTTGACATAATTAAAATACTGAAACCAGCTACAGCAGACAGCTCGAAAAGTTGGAAAAAGAAAAAAAGAACGAAAAGGTGTAGCGCACATTTTGCTAATTTCTTTTGAGTGATTAACCCAAGGTGATAATTACATTTGCAAACTGTCCTATATTTCGTTGAGAAACTGTAGCAATCCCATAAGAAAATACGATTCCCGTTAAGATACTATCTTCAGAAGTTCATTGGACTTCACACTCAAGTGTGAAATAATTTCAAAGTCAGTGACTTCAAACGAGAGCTGCTAAACTGAAGATCATGATCTAGAACAGAATAACTTTAAAAATATGATTCACCCTACAACTTTCTTGATTTCCATTTTTTATGAATAGAAAACAGAATAGAATGAGAGAAACATTGATTACAATATTACGCTCTATTTAATTCCCAACCGAAAACCCAAGGACATGGTTTTCTTGAAGGCACTTTTGCAGATGTCATCTGTCCCTTTGCATTTCCAAAATTTAATTATAAGTTGAATTTGCTTAAGGCTCCACCTCGCATACAAATGCACACTTGTTTTGTTTGGTTTCTGGGTGCGATAAAATTCACTTGAGAGCATCGCCTAGAACTTTGTTTGGTGCCCCAGAGGAAGCAAAAGGGACGTGGCGCAAACAAATGCAAATTGCTCATACGCCGTGTGGACCAGCAGCTAACCAAAACGAAACGAGGACGACACGGAGCGCAGAAATGGCGCTTATTAAAGTTTGACTTGTACTTTTGCATATTTGCTTCTTTCGTTTTTTTTATCATTATTTTTCGGCTGCTGCGGAGGTGTGAGTGCAGCAGGGCAGAGGAAAAGTTTCGGATAACAAAAATTAAGCATTGCCTTTTGCGTTCCATGATAATTGCGAACAATAGACGCAAGCAGAAGGCTCCATGTGTTGCTAAGCGGAGAGGGGAAGGTGGAAGGGAAAGGGAAGGGGAAAGGGAGAGGGAGGGGGAGTGAGAAGGGGGATGCGGGATTTGGGGGGTGACCATGTTAATGCTTCCGCATTTGCGTTCAGCTGTAACATTGCATCACTGCTTAAGCGAATGTGAATGTGCGTGCGAGCACTGAACAAATTAAGGATATTAAGTAATGATTACAAAACATTAAAATCTAAAATGCTTAAAAACCAGAAAATTAAATTAAAGTTTTTTGATCATTCAAAATGTAAATATAAATATAAAACATAAATTTCCGAAATAAATTTTATAATTTTTCTCTCAGTGTATGTCCGTGTGCGTGTGTGTCCTGCTCACAGACAGAAGTTTGTTTGCCAGCGACATTCACGCCTCGCTGCACTTTTTACATGCTGCATGTTGCCTGCGGGCATTAAGTGTGATTTTATGCGATTTGTACCAGGCAAACACCAGTTCACCTCCGCCACCCCTTAAGCCACCCTCATTCTACCACTCCCTCCTGCTTCCCCCTCCCCCTCCCCTCTATCGCCCCTCCTTAGTAGGAGAAAAAACCGCAGCAGCAGCAGGAGAGCCAATGCTGGAGAACCTTTCCCCCGCACTTCTTTGCTAATTTACATTTGACAAATGTTTTGCATGCTACAAAATTTTTGCCACTGCTGCGTCGACTACCACGACGACTGCTGTTCGTTAGTGCCAGTGCTCCCTGTACCTCAGACTCTCCCCTTTCCCTTGCCATTGCCCTTGCCGCTTGGTGTGCTGCTAGCTGCATTTGTTTTCATTTGGTTTCTCTGCTGACATTGTTTACAGTTCAACTTGGTTGGAAATTAGTAAAAATCTCACACGAGCACCAGCCACAAAAATGAAAAGCGAGACAATAAAATACCAACAGCGCGAATCGAAAAGGATAAAAAGGATGTGCAAGGAGCACACGGAAAATTTTTGAAAAATAATTTAAATTGATGTTGCTTTACTATTTTTTGGAGTGAAGGAGTAAGCGGCTTAATAAATCAATACTGTTTGGATATATCTTCATAAGAGAGTAACTTTTCTTTAAAAATGTAATTAACTTTTTAGGAAAGTGGTTTTTGCCATTTGCATAAGTTTGTTCCAAAGCTTCTTGCTGCAGTCGTTAAAGGTTTTTCTGCAATTGGCACCCGCTTTTCCGGCATCTCTGGCATGCAGATACTTTTCAGGAACATTATCCAAAGATGGACTTTAAAACAAAATAACATTATTAGCATAGCAAATTTCAAGATACTGTAAATAAATCCAAACTACTTACACCAACATTGCATTGAGTATCTCACTGAAAATGCTGCTGTGCACGAAGGGCCTTTGGGATATCTCACAGATACTTCTGAGCAGACAAGCGCCGGCATTCCGATCTCCAAACCTTAAATAAGAATACCTCAGCCAAACTTCGATGACAGATGAGCCGAATACCCACCGCTCCAAGCCCGTTTCCACGACATCGTACAGCCAAATTCTAGTCTCGTCCTGGCGAATCCTGCTCTGGGCATTTTTCCGCCATTCCCTGGCCGTGGTAACAAAAGTCGAGGTGTTCCAGAAACTCCACCAGTAAATTGGGACGGGCGCTGGCACGTATTGCGCCTGGTAGTTGATGAATCCCCAAACCGACTGCAACGTATCCTGCTGCTTGATGGGAAAGGCCAGGCCGAAGACAATCTGGAGGAGAACAATTAGGAGTCGAAATGCCAAACTTGGATCGATGGATGGCTGGTCAACCTTGTTTGTGCCCGAGCCATTGAAAATGGCGAAGCGCTTCGAGCGACTTAGGCTCCCACCCGAGGTGGCACTCCCATCTCCTGCCGAACTCACAGCAATGACGAAAAGGAGCAGGACGGCGAAAGGACTCGGCTGCAACTGTTTGCCACTGGAGTGCATGGTCAACTAATTTTGCAGCCGGTGCAACTTGCGGCAGCAGCGGCAAATTCAGTTTTTAGTTTGCCCAAGAAATTGACGGACGAAGAATTCGCAAAGTTAACAGAAAACTACCATTTTTCACTGAGGAAAAAGTGTACGAGAAGGAAATTATTAATATAAAGGGTTGAAGACTTTAAGAAGCATATAATATATAAAAGCTAAGTAAAATAAATTGGTAATAATCAAATAGATATTTCAACAAGTCACTATTAAAAGTTGATTGTTTATTTGCAGTAAATAGTTACTAAACTCTAAAAAACCACAAATCAGTTTTAAGCTTATGTGACAGAATAAACCGAGCAAACCACAATAATTAATCAGAAAAATGCATATTTATTGTATGCCAATCGATAACCATCGAAAGCAAAACCGTGTATTTATGCTTTAAAACGGATATCATAAATTGATGAAAAACAATGGAAAACGTAACTGAATGACCACTTCAATGGATTTCGTTAGCCCACAGGAGCACTTATATGTATGAACAGAAACTAAAGGCCGCCTTAACTGCTACCAATTCCATCCCTCGGTGGCCAGAAGGGCATTGTTCGCAGGCCAAAATTCCATCGCTTCTGGCGGCGACTTACCATCGCATATCCAGCTGGCTGTGATGAAAGCCTTCAGGGGTTTTCCACCGCCATTCAGGAGGTTCCCCCAAAACAAGATCCCCGCTTTCGGCGTCGCTTTTGGCCATCCCTTCGTTCTGGCCAACAGCAATAAAATGATTGGTGTCACCAATTGAAATTCAACAGGAAGTTCTAGAGAAAAAAATATATTTGTGAGTCTATTTAATATTTGTAGTCCAAGTAAAAGCTTTTAAAATAAATAAATTAAGAAGCATAATAAATAGGTAGTTAAAAAGCCAAAGTTCCCTTTCCATTCCCAAAAAACAAACATGTTATTAATCAGAAAATTAAAAAGCTATCCATCAAAGAGACCATTACCAAATGTTAAAAATCACTTAATTCTTGTGAAAGCCGCAGTGATATAAATATTTACAATATTAACCACTTCTACATGAGCTATTGCATTTTTTTCGCCGATTTACCGCCACGTTAAAGATTATTTATTGCGGTTGCCGATGGACGACCTCTCGGCAGAAATCAACCACCAATCACTAGCCAAAATGTACCAATTAAACAATCTGTTATCGGCCACTTTGACAATGTAGCGAAATGGCTGTGCAATTAACGCCTTGGCTAAGTGAAAAATCGTCGAATTAGTATTTAAGCTGCAGGCCATGTTGGATATGGAGTACAAATGGTTACCGGCTAAATAGCCGACTATTTAGCACCTTTTAAAGAGCACTTCCAGTGACACAGAATCGAGTTAACGACACTCAATTGGGTGCTAATTGTACAATTAAACTTGACCAGGCCGAAGTGGCACAGAATCGATGAACGGCGAGCGCGGCATCAGTTCGATTCGGACAGCTAATGGCATCAACATATCGTAAAATAAAAAGTGCAGATCCGGACAAATCGGTTCCAATCGAGAGCCCAATTCGCCTCTAATGGTAATTATCTGCCTCATAAATTCGCGTTCAATTCAGCACGGAGTGTCGGCATTTTTGGCCATCACATCGCAGTGTTTTAATTGTGAGGCCCATCCGATCGGACCATCGAATTTCGACCATCATCTCGCGCGCCTCGAATGTTGTTGAAAATTGCATTAATTTAACGCATGATTGGCAGTGCCGGCAAATGGAAGCGTCACAGCTAAAGTGAAATTATGCAAATTTCGTCGCCGCTTTTTTCGATGTGAGTGCCCAGGCACGAAGCAATCGGAATGTTCGATTGCTCAATTACACTCGAGAGCAAAAAACAAAAAGGTCAACTCTTACGCAGAGTGGCTGAAAAACTCTAATGAAATTAGTGATTGATTGGAATAGTAATTGAAACTAGCAAGCGGGCTCAGACATAAAGAATTTCAATTTAAAATAAAATATATGTAAATTATATTACTTTCTCACAAAGGTAATAAAACTTTGTTATAAAATAGAAATTGTTAAAAAAAAGATGATAAATGGTAATTGGTTAGTTAGTGATTTATGACGACTTTTATGTATTAATAATAAGTTGAAGTTTATATATCTAACAATTAAATCACATTTTTTTTATATATTTCATATTTATTTTCATTTATATTTGTAATATCTCAACTAGAACTGCAAACTGGCTGTTAAGTGTTGAAAAAGTGACTCCTGCTGGTTTCCATTAAGCAGAAATGGGAAAAACAATCAAAGTAATTGGATGTGCTGGAGCCGGAGCCCTTCTCATTCTCCTCCTGCCCCTTTGCCTGATCCAAAATTATGGACAACCATACGGTAATGGCTCCCATCCACTGGCCAGTGCTCCTCCTCCCACTGCTCCTCCATCTGCATCTCCTGCTCCTCGGGAATCTGGAAGGGATGCGATGATGCGACTGCACCGGCAGAAGCGCTATCTGCTCTTCCCGGAGGGCTCCTCCTTCCAGCTGGTCTTCGATATCATCATACCCATCGTGGACTACACCAACTACGCCATCCTGGGAATCACCTGCTCGGTGGCATGGGAACTGCCCAGCAAGCCGCCCAGCGAGCTGATTGAAAACGTGCTCACCCGCATCAACGACGGCACCATCGGCACCGTTCGCCGGAATGGCAGTGTCCCCGATCCAGATCCGGAGTCCCTCAATCCCCCCAGGATCAGGACAATCGAGCCACTGCTAATTGGCAGGCAGTGCACGCACCGCCAGCGAATCCTTCGGCATATGCGGCCAATGACCAGGGATCCCATTCGTACTACACGAATGTCCATCGCATCCCGCCCGCTTACCCATATGCAAATGCGAATCCGAATGCCAATGCGGATGCGGATGCGGATGCGGATGCAAATGCAAATGGACAGCAGCGACAGGCGGCGATGGCTGCTAATTGGCATGCGCGACAGTCGCCGTTAAAGTGGCAACAGCGGGGGGAATGGTGGCAGAAAGGGGGAGAGGGAGCGGGAATTGGAGGGGGAGCGGGAACGGGAGCTGGAACGGACAACTGGTGGACACGAAACGGACAGCGAGTGGAGCAGAGCTGGCGCGAAAAGCAACGCATGTGGGGTCCATCAAAGTGGGAGTAAGTATATTTCAAACAAATGCTGCAGACAAACTATTGTGGAAGATAAATGCTTACTTATAAAGGGATAGTATCTAATACATAAGTAACTTAATTTCTTTTAAAATATATCTTAAAACTATAAAGCTATAGCTACACCCAGCGACCACGACAAGTTCTGCAATCACCACCCAAACATCACATTTATCCTGTTTTTGCAAGGCGCAGAAGGCGAAGAAGTGTTGAGCAGGATCCTCATTTCGAGAAACTTCATTTACAACAACACCTGAGTTCACGACAACTGCTCTTTGGCAAAATCGAACGTCTATATAAGTCGTAAGTTTAATTCAGAATCCAAGTGCTTTTAAGAATTTCATTTTATAAAATACAAAATCTATCCTAGACGTCGACTGAATGGCACCTCCTGTGTTCAACGAGCCCTTTGCGAATCCGCTCAAAGGCAAAAACAACTACAGGAAAATAATATGGTCAAACCACAAAGCTTTATAATGGAACTGCTCTCGGCCATCTTTCAACTTCCCCATAGCGATGATGTAGACAACTTGGAGGATCTGGAGATTTTGGTTTCTCCTCATTATTTAGAGGCCCATCAACAAAAAGGAGATTGTCGACAACTCTACGGTGATTGTAATCATTCATTTTGGTTGGAATCAATTTAAAATACAATAAATATCTAGAAACAATATGCTGTTTTATTTAATTTAATTTCCATTAATTACAATAAAATGATTTATTATTCAACCTAGAGGTTCATCATTTGTTTTATAAACAATGTCAACAGTTTCAAACCTGCAATTCACATGAACCATTATACTTCCTTGGAAACTACTCGAAAGAGTTCTTCCCATTGACAGATGACCCAACGAGCTAATCGGATATTGTGGAGAAAGGTTGTGCAAAAGTCGTTTGGAAGTTTCTTCACTCGCAGCTAAAAGCATTCCCCGAGCATTTAAGTTATCCCCCGGAAAAACGGAGACTAGTGATCACATTACTTCAACTTCAGCTCCTCAGCACTATACTCCATGGCTTCCATAGATGGAAGTGTGCTACTTTGGAGAAGGAACGAATAAACCAAAAGGGGAAGAACAAGTTGGGAGCGTGAAAAAGTAATTTGAACCTTTAAATAGACCAATGAGCTTACTGAGAAGCGACGAAGGAAAAGGCGAAAGACGAAAGACGCTCTACGAGGAAAAGACAAACTACTTGCCAAAACACAAAAGACGAAAAGTGTGAAAACTAATGAAAGACAAAAGGAGAGAAAAAAGAAATTTAACGAACGGAGCTCAAACTCAAACTGGAAACTTTCTTTTGAAGCGGCCGAAGGGAAAAGGCGGAGGGCAGCACTCACAATTAACGGCCAACTTGCAGAACGCTTCTGTTTCTGTTTTTTTCGACCAGCATCGCGATACTTGGCCGACAGTTGCCGTATGGCCAACGCTCCGACCGCAAGTTGGTAAAATGTCGACTCGGAAAGAGAGGAGGAGCTTCAAGCCGGCCAATTCCCCAGTAGGTAATCGCCGTCTGGCTGCATTGAGGCTACTACCACAACTGCTACTGCCACTACTTCTGCTGGCCAACTTGGCCGACGCACTGAAGGCCGGGTCATCATCCATCCAGTTGCCAACGGCCGACAGCCCGTCACTGAACATAAACAATGCGGACAGCAGTCTGGAGCAGCTCATCGAGATGCGGCTCAACGAGTCTGCCTCCTCGTCCTCATCCGTCCTCGAGAGCCACTCGCAGGAGCTGTTGTCCCGGAAACGACGCTATTTGGTATTTCCGGAGGGCAGCTCCTTTCAGATGGGTAAGTCCCTCAGTCGCAGGACAGCGGCGAGGCCATAATAAATTCAACGGGGGGGCTTAAATGAATAAGTTTCATACAAATTATATAAGAGTTACGACATGCAACTGATAGGTTAAATTAACTTAAAGTGTAATGCATTATTTTATTTGTAGCATTCCGCTTTAAAATCATTAAAAAGTTTAAATAATTCTTATGAAGAATTTGTTTTATATAATATTATTTAAATTACTTTTGTCTGCGTAAACTTAAAAACTGAAATTGAATTACAGGCTCAGAAAAGAATACTTATTACCAGTTAGTAGAATATATATAGTATTGAGATATATTTTCTGAGACTGTAAACATTGGAAAGCACTTAAATTAACCCCTCTAACTTCTGCTGACAAAACCCCTGCCTAATTCATGCAAATCACATGCCTCAATTACCTCATCCTCATCCGTTTAGTGTACGACGAGATTGTGGGAGTGGTGGACCACACGAACTACTTGATCCTGGGCATCACGGTGGCTCTGGCCTGGGAGCTGCCGAGCAAGCCGCCCAGCGAGGAGCTGGACGACCTGCTGACCAAGCTGGAGGACGGAACCATAGACATCAGTCGCAACGACACCGTGTCGAACATAACCTATGTGGGCGATGCCTCCTCCTCCTCCTCCACGACGACGGGAAGGCCTCCGGACTACAAGCCCAACTACATCAATCTGTCGAGTTACTCGAGTGGTTCCTCGAGCGGCAGCAACTCCTACTACAGCTCATCGCCTGTGTTCCGCACTCCGATGCACCCATCGCACCGATATGCCGACAGTTATTACTCCCGCCCGAAGGGGGAAGGCGCAAGGACAACCACTACTACTACAGCCGGCCAGGGTTCAGTTCGAGAAACCCCTTCGCCAAGTGGACGAGGCCCTACTCGCCCGCCCAGAACTCACGCTATCCCTACTGGGCACTCAACTCGAGGTAGGTCCATTCCGGGGGAAAATATGTGCTTAATGGGTGAATAATTTTTACCAGTCCAACCTTTAAGCTTTAAAGCCATTCAAATTATTCATTGTTTACATAATAAACTGCATACAAAAGTTAAATTAAGTAGCATAGATTTTACTTAAAAATTTAAAAATAATTTATATATTTTTCTGACCAATGTTAACCGACTTTTCAGGCTTAAAGATCGCTATTACAACTACAAAACCCAACAAGCAGCACCACCAGTGGCACAAAGAAGACAGTACAGCAGCACAACCACAACCACCACTCGCCCACCCACTCGAAGGCCGGCTCCTCGTCACCATCGCATATATCCGGTGTTCGGAAAGCGGAGCATTCCGGATGCAGCCAATCCACATAAACGTCAGCGACGCAGTGGAGTGGCTACCGAGCACGAGGACAAAATAAGCCGCCTGGAGCAACTGCAGATCAAACACCATCGCAGAAGTCGCCAGACTTTGTACGAGCGAATCGAGAAGTATCTGGATAAGTAAGTGGAAAACAGGAGAAAATTCCCTTGAAGCTAACCTTTAGTTTTTGGAAGCACAATCAGGGATAATCCAATTAGGGATTTCCAATGAACAGCATTACTCAGCTTGTTAATTAGCGTATTAACCAGTTGACTCTATTCACAGGCGGGGTCACCATGGACACCACTGCGTTCTGAGGACCCTCTGCGAAACGGGCCAGAAGTCGGGGGAGGAGGAGCCCGGCACCTTCGTGGGCGAACTGATGCGTGCGGTGTTCACCATTCCGGAAGCCATGGACAACGAGCCGGTTGCCTATCGCGACTCCCACTACGACAAGGCCCACGCCTCCAAGCAGGACTGCGCCGTCCTCTACCCGGAGTGCAAACAGTCCATGTGGCAGGCCCAGTTCATACAGTAGAGACAGTAGAGACAATAAAGAGAAACCCCCCTCCCAAGTCCGTTCGAGTTTGCCTTTATTCAATTCCACTTGCCGCCCATTAACCAGGCGAGAATGTTCAGCTTGCAGGAGTCCCGAAACTGACGGTCGCAGTCATCCGCATCCATGTGCATGATCCGCGAGTAGTCATCCTCCACGCCGGAAACGGTGGGTAATCTACCAAATTATTAAATGTATTATGAGGAAATTTAATATTTAAATATTTTGGGAAAGAAACAGAAAAGATTTGAAAACAACTTACGTAAAAACCAGTCGCACAATATCATGAATCATGGAATAACCACGAGGCAAAAGTAATCGCTTACTATCACAAATGGCTCTCAGTACACAAGCTTTAGCATCGATTCCCAGACTGTAAAAATTAATGTAAAATCTCAAAATATATATGCAAGTATCTAGATTCATCCTTACAGCTTACTGAATCCTTCAAAGTGTTCAAAAAGCTGCCTGCGATCTCGATGACCATTGTAATGTCGCATGTCATTGATGTGCGCAAGTTCTGGATAGTGAGATACTTCATGTGGTAACAAATCAGGATCGTAGGGATCATCAAAAGGCTGCGACCTCACATCTTCGTAGGGTTCCACCTCGGGATCGTAGTACTCCCCATCTGCAGATCTGTACCAACGTTTTGACCATTTGGGGGATTGAGTGGTCCACTTGCTCCATTTTCCAGGTTGGCTGTACTTTTCATAGTTGTGATTTGCTGGCGACCAGTTTTCGTATCTATTTCCGTATTTGGACCACTGTGCCCATTTGTGGGGATCCACATACGAAGGTTTCTGAGGTCTCAAATCGATCCTTTGGTGAAGTTTAATGGGCGTTGGCTTCTTGAGGGGAGTTGCCTTAAATCTCCAGTTGGTTCCCGGAATCCAAACGAAAGTGGGTTCCGTCGTGGTTTTTGGTTTCTCCGTGGTCGTAGTTCTTTGGCGATACCGTTTTGGATAGACATCCTCGCGTTTTGAGGGAACAGGATAGTAACAAGCCTGCTCAATGTTCATAGCCACTCCCCTGGGATAAGCTGAGATTAAACCTTTACTCAGCTGTCCAGTAAACTTTAAATTGGAACCAGGTGGGAACAAAACAAATCGCTTTCGACGCGAAAAAACCCGCTCCACCACATGATTTAGCTTCGTGTGATTGGATTCCACTTGGGCTAAAGTCAAGTGTAAAAATCCGAAGCTATAGAGGATCAACAGACCGATACGCATTGCTGTGAAGTACTGATTGAGATATCTTTAACGATGTCAGCTAGTACCAGTTAACTTCAATTGAATTGTTTGCCATTAATGTTGATTTGGTTAGGGGTGTTAATTGCACAGACAACAATTGAAGAAATTATTCTGAAACTGCCATGGCTAAAAGACGTGACTGATATCTCTTTTGTATTTGGTTTTGTTAAATTTAAATCTGTACTTTATTCCACTCTGCCGCTAAGCAACCAAATCAATAAATTCATACTACACTTTGACTTGAACTCCGCCGCACATTCATCAGGATCCTTGTCCATAATCCGACTGTATTCATCCTCCAAGCCATCCAAACGAGGCATGCTTAAAATATATACTATATGTAATACTTCAACTTAATAAACTTATTAGGACTTACGTAAAAACCACACGCAGCATATCCTGAAGCATCGAATATCCAGGTGGAAGGAGCAGTCTTTTACTATCGCACATCGTTCGTAAAATACAAGACTTCACATCTATACCAATTCTTTAAGGGATAAAAGATTATAAAATAAATTTTTTAAATTGAAAACAAGTTAATACACACATTGAACTTAGTTTTGTGAAACGATCAAACAAAGATCTGCGATCACGATGACCATGATAGTGGTGCGGCTGCCAAGCTTCACTGTACTCTGGCTTATTCCATTTGGTTTCCCATTTTGGTGAAGGTGTAGTCCACTTCGACCACTTGGCCTTGTTTTGGTCAGCATTTTTCCACTTATAATTTTGCCACTTTTGTCCTTGACTCCATTTTTGCCATTTAAATGGATTAGCATAACTATTATCATCGATTCGATGGGTTTTTGGAGGTGGTTGTCTCCATTTGGGTTTTGGTAATGTTTGTGCCTTGAAACGCCAATCGGTTCCGGGTATATAAACTATAGAATCGGGAAGCTTTTCGGGTTTCTTTGTCGTTGTTTTTGGTAAAAACTTTTTGGGATAGATATCTTCAACGACTCCAGGCACCGGAAAGTAAACTGCCTCCTCCAAAACAAAGGTTATACCTTTTGGATACGTGGCCAACAATCCTGTGGCAAAGGAGCAGGTGAACTTTACAAATGATCCTGGAGGAAACAATACCGCTCTTCTTCGCCTACTGAAAACTCTAGAAACTACAGACTTTAGTTCTGTTTTCTGGGATTTCCCAATGAATTCTCCCAGACAAAAAGCGGCAAACAGCACCAGAAAGATAAAGATCTTGGCTCGTAGCATCTTAACAAACTGAAAAGCGTAAATTGTTGGAGAACTTCCAAGAGGCCAGTAATTCTGGCGACGCAAACCAATTGGTTAAATATTTACCGACTGATGATTGATGTCTTGATATATTTACGGTACTCATATGTCCATTAACCCACCAACCCAATTTGAGGGACTGATGTGTTTGTAGATCAATCAGTTCTTGTTCAAAACTCCAGACGATCAGTTATCGAAATGAAATTTAGTTGGCTGACTTCGGTTATATTGATTCTCATCCTAGCTGATCAATCAGAATCTCTACTATGGCCGGCTTCTTCAAATTTGGGTGTATGTAGACATAACTTATATCTTCTTTAAATTATTTTATATATTTTTTATAGTTAACCCTTTCCGTATCCCATCCCATTGCTGAACTGTTTCCCGATCGTCGAATTCTGATCGATTGGTGTTTCGCCATCTCCTACAATTATCCGTATAATCTAACCGAGTTCTATAGCATTCCCATTTGGCCAGGATTCGCCAACTATAAAGCCAAGCGAGAAGTTCCCCAATTGGAACTAACGGATGAGAACTTTTATACGAAATACGGACATGATAATGGGAATGGTATACATCCAAAGGATTTTTCTGCTGGCGAACTCTACGCCTTTCTTGAGGATTCTTTGGCGGGATATGGTTTCCATGAGACTTGCTTACTGAGAAGTGTTTGTGAGTTGGCACAACATCCCTTCGATGACAATCATCAACACATGCTCAGTGATATTGTGACCTTTGTTTTGAGGTTTGTTATTATTAACATCATATTATTATAAAACCAATCAATAATATTTATTTTAGCCCCTCTCAACACGACGGTTTCCGGGATGATGAGCATATCTACAAAAGAGCTTACGAACTGGCCGAACAAGATGGATTTTTGGGTCGGGATTGTCTAAAATTATATTCCCACTGCAAACACGATCTGTTACAACTTATGAGCAAAGTCATATTTCAGTAGAACCAAATAAAACCATTCGGGAGTAGGCCTACCTGTAAATTGCAATGTCTGTGCGTTTCATTAGCAACTGCCGGGAGTCTCTAATTAACTCAATGCGTTGTCAAGAAATCGAACTGAGATACACATATTTCCCAGTATCTGTCACAACACAATGTATCTCACAAGCGTTCGCTTCATCGGAGTTTTTCTCGCTCTGCGGAGCATTCCAATCGGAGCTGAGTTTCCCTTGCTTTTTCCGGCATCCTCCGTTTACCAGATCACATCATCGCTATCGGTTCCCGTGGTGATTCCGGATCGGAAACTCTTCTGGGATTGGGGTCTCCAGATGAACTATAACCTGCCCGCTCAACCCTCGTCCTTTTACAATGCCACCATTTGGGCAGATGAGCTTTCCCGGCGAGCAAAGCGTGAATTGCGGAACGAGACGGCTAAATATTTGCCAGGAGGAAAAACCACGATGCATCCGAGTGATTTTACAGCCGGAGAGCTTTACGAGAGTCTGGAGAACATGCTCATCCGGTATGGTTTTGATGAGTCCTGCCTTCTGAGAAGTGTTTGTGAATTGGCACGACATCCTTTCAAGGATGCAGATAATAATATGCTCACTGCACTATTAACTTTCACACTCACGTAAGTAAAACATGTTTATATTCCTGCTTGGAACATTTAGTAATTAAATGCTTTTAATTACAGACCCTCTTTGCATGAGGCTTTCGGTCCCTCTGAAAATATCTACCGAGAAGTTTACGAACAGGCGGAGCAACACGGATTTCTGGGCAAGGACTGCTCCCATTTATATGCCAACTGTCCAATGGATTTCCTCAGTGGAATCAGCAGCCTGTTGAGCTAACCGTATTTACCAGATCCTTTTAACCAGACTGACTAATCAGCCTCCCAGAGATGCTGGCCAAGGCCTATACATTTATGCGAACTCTCCAATCAATGAAGATTATGCCGAAATATACTTGTGTGCCAGTTCAGATGACTTCGTCTTATCTTGCCCAATTAAATATACACAACTGTTGGACTGCATCCGTATTTATTTCATCTGACCAGTCGGGTGGCCAAGTTTATGATATCTGTTTCACAGCGGGGATATGAGAGGTGGCATTGGCCTCCGAGGAAGCCAATCTGCTCCGCTTTTTCATACCTTTCCCTATAAAGCCGCTCGTCCTCGGTGAAGCCTTCGTGTTGGGAGGGTCTGAAAATAAATTACATTTATATAATTAAAAATGGAGTTTTATTTTTAGAATGTATACTACTTGGGAAATTAAATTCAACGTGAGTATTTTGCTCACAACTTATATAAAGTGTTCAATAGAATTATGAAATGTTATTGTTGAACAAAAGATGTAGGTATCTATTTATCTTTGGCTTATGGTGTTTTATGGTAATAATAAAAGAAATATATTTTTTTTTAAATTAATACATAAAAGGGGTTCAACTTACGTGAGCAGGAAGGTGATGACCTGAGTGACCACTCCGTAGTAGTGGTCCTCGGCAAAGGGATGGAGAGCCAACTCGCAGACACTCCGCAGGAGGCAGGATCTGTGGAAGCCGTAGGACTCCAGCATGTGCTCCAGACCCGCATAAAGTTGACCGGCCGTAAAGTCAGCCGGATGCATGCCAGCCTCCAAGTCCAACTCCTGAATGTTTGTATCCATTCCATTGTCCAACTGCCGCCTTTGCCTGCGGGCCAGCTCATCCGCCCAGATGGTGGAGTTATAGAAGGCGGACACCGTGGCTGGGAGGTTGTAGTTCATCTGGAATCCCATGTCCATGAAGACCTTGGTGCGGGTGGGCAGGTCGGCGGGTATGGAGATCGAGGAGGTGATCTGGAGGACCGTTGAGGCGGGATAGAGGAGTAGTCCCTGAATCGGAGGAAGCAGTGTGATCAGCAGCAGCAGGGTGACCTGGCCGAGATTTCCAACGTTCTGCAGCTTTGGGCGATACATGGCGATGTGATCCACTCGGGGATCACGCATCGAGCCACCCGTAATCGTCTTCTCGCCATTGTCTATTTGGGGATTAATTAAGGCGAACTGTAAATGAGCGGATCATCGACCAGAAACAGATGCGTGAACAGCAATTAGAACGGTCCACAAAACACCTCCGAAAGTGGAGCGCGTGCTCCATCATCAAGATTCGTATGACAGCGTGATCCGGCCAATCAAGAGCTTTGCTCCATTCTTTTCCGCAAGAACCAATTCTGGCATTTCCAATACACTGACAAAAGTAAACGATAATATAAAACATCAATAAAAAAATTATTCAGCAAACCATTATTGAAATAAAAACCCATTTATTATAAAGCTTTAACATTCAACAATGAAAAGATACAGTTTATGGTAACCATTTCAATCGAATTTAATTCTTTTCTGTGCACTTTTTTTCCATAGAGCGTTGTAAATTATTTAAGCAAACAAATATTGCGTTCCCTGTGGATCGTGGCTCCGATCCAAGTTTAAACAAAGCCGGATTAGTTAGCATTGCACTCCAATACAAACAAGATGGTCCACAAAGTTCTTACCTCTCTTCTGCTGATTCTATCGGCACTTTCCACTTTCCATCTGGTGGCGAGCCACACCAGGAATTTCTACACTTTGGATTCAAATCAATTGGCATTCAGCAGGAGTATCAACCATCCCAATGGAAATATTACCCAGCGCTTTACTCCTTTGAGTAGATCGAAGCGAGTGGCCATTTGGAATGGTCAGGGCGTTGCCAAGGTGGGATATCCCATTCCATTATATCCTTGATAAATTACTTCTCTCACCAGACACTTAATTTTATTGTGATTTACTTAATCCAATTTTGTGCAGTTTGTGCCTAGCTTGGCGTATCCTATAAAGCAATCGGACAAGCAACAGTCCTTCTGGTGGTTCGTCAACGTCCAGGGCCAATGGATTCCCACCACAGTTCCGCTTTACTGGTGGAGCTTCTGGAACACCACTGCCTTTGTGTCCACTGCTCGTGAGTGGCGCAAGGATATGCAGTCGAAGGTGTTGTACGACGATGCCCGAACCTGGGTCTATAATGCCATCGAAGTGGGAATGGAGCAGTGAGTATGACTACGAAAAATGTTCAGATCTGGGCATTTAATTTTAAAATAAAAATGTATTTTCTATTTTGTGTAATTTCTAATTTAAATGTAATATTAATATTTGCATTTCCAGGTTCGACAATGAATTCGGCGGAGTGTGCCTGCTGAGGAGCATTTGCGAAATATCGCAGAAACCCTTTCAGAACAACAACATCTTCAGCGAGATCATAAACTCGGTGCTTGTGTGAGTACAGGGTTTTTCATGTATTTTTATTTGGAATCGATTAACAGATGAAATTGGATATGTTTCGCAGACCGAGCTTGGATAACGTGGCCGGGAAGTATCTGCACGCCCGGGATGCGGGACGCGGTGGAGCGGACTGCGAGCGGACCTACAGCGACTGCAGTCCGCTGCTCTGGACCCTCGTGACGAACATGGCCAAGAATCCGTTTTGAGCCGGTCACACGAGCTGTTTCACTCGAGAAACTCAGGGAATATATATATGATGTACATGATATTTTCCTTATACAAATAAAATTTTAAGTAAGCTCCAGAATCTCAAGCCGCTTAGGTGAAGCTTAGAACTTCTTGCTCGAGTTCTTCTCCTTGTTGATGGCCTGTCGGCGGAACTCGGCCCAAATTTCGCAGAGCATGGGCTTCACCAAGCAGGTGCACTCCTTCATTCCCAGGGCGTGTGGTCGGACGCGTTCGCACTCGGAGAAGGATGGATAGGGAGTGCGGGGCTTCACACAGGGGAGGGGACCTCGGACTTTCTTGCAGGATGGCGGAACGCGGCCATCGCGATGGCAACGACGCGCCAGACGTGGACACGCGTCGTTCGATTTATCCGGACACGGCTGAGGACAGGCGGTGGAGGGTTTGAAGGAGGGCTTGCGCCGCTTGATGGGCGCCGGCTTGGCATTGGCAAAACAGCAAATCTTCTTCGGCTTTATCTGGATGGGCGGGCAGGCCACCCACGTCTGCCAATACTTTCGCTTCGCCTTGTCCGATTCCACGTAGTAGATGTCATCGAAGCGAGGCTGAAATGGGCATGAGACGTCATCGGGATCGCAGAACGGATTCAGCCACATGGACTCCGTCTTGATCAGCTTGGGCTTCTTGGCGGGCGGTGCCTGGATCTCGGGCTTGCCGCAGGGGAACTTTGTCAGTGTCTTGGGACAGAGGCTCTCCCCTTCCTTCTCACAACCGGATGCGAATCGCACACAGCTGCTCACCGCACCGCACACTAGTTTGTTGGGATGGAGCAGCAGCCGAGAGGTATTCTTCACAACCAGTACCATTTTCTTGAGCTCGGAAATTTTAAACTCTTCGCCGAAAAAATTGAGCCAAAACTTTAAAACCCGGAAATTTTAGATGAAATTTTGAGGGAATTAGGAACTGGACGTGAGAGACCTATCCAGCTCAACTATGGAATGAAAACTGAAACGCTTATGCTAACCCCCCATCCAGGCCAAATACAATGACACGGAAGTTCACTTCTCAGTTTACTAAGTTCACATTTTTGTGGCACTCTGGGTAAGGAAATCCAAAACTTTATAAGGACAACTCGGGGAGTAGAAGCGGGCACAATCCTGGACATCCATGCGATGTCGGTACTTATCGTCGGCCACCTCATCAGGCACTCTGAAAATGATTGTTTTTAGTGGACTTAGTTAAATTTTATTTGTATTTACTCACGTGAGTACAATTCGCATTAGATCCTCCATGAGAAATCCCTGATCATGGCCTGAATTTAACTTCGCTCTAAGCTCACACATTGCTCTTTTTATACAAGACCTTAGATCTATCTGGAAACTGGAAAATAAAATAAATAAATTGAAAATAAGGTAAACCTTTTTCTGATTTAAAAAATATATTTTACACTTTTCCCATGGCCTCGAATTGATCAAAGATTTCTCGGCGCTCCCTATATCCTCGATTTAACTTCCAGCTGGGCACTTGGGACCAGGATTCATAGACCTCTTCTTCGGGTTGATAGAAGTTCCTTCGATTGCCAGTTGAAGATAAAGACCATGGGCTTTGATAAAATGAATCCCTATTTAAGGCAGAACTGAAATTATATTCTTAGAAAAATATTGTAAGGAAGTATTTATTTCCTACCTCGTTTTATAGATGTCTTTATTAGGTTGAAACAAGTTCTTTCGATTGAAGGAGGTTTGGTAGAATGTATTTCTACTTATAGCAGGACTGAAACAAAAAATATAAAATAATTTAATTTTAAAACATTTAGTAAGTATTTTACCTGTTATTGGTTTGATAGAAGGAACCCCTATTCATTGCAGGTCTATAACTAAATTGAAAATTGATATTCCAACCTAATATTGTTCACTGACTTAATTACCTTTTGTAGAACGAGTTTGGATACGGTCCCGAGTAGTATGGATAGTAGCTTGCTGGTCTTTTGTAATATGACCAATCATAGCGACGTTTTGGAGTAGGCTTGGGCCTCTTCAAGATCTTCGGCTGCCAGCCCTCAATGGTGTCCGGAACGGGAACGTACATATCAAACTCCAGACTATACTGAAGGCCACTAGGTCGACCGCCCAAAATGAGCTTGGTTAAGGCGGCGGTGAGCAGAACAGAAGCCTTGTCCGGAAAAACCAAACCCCGCACCTTCCGGGACAAAAGCCGGTCCTCCAGAGAAGTCTCCAGCAGATGCGTGTGATTCCCTTCAATCGCTGCAATGGCTCCGAACCAAAGAAGTACACAAATCGTAGACCTCATGCCGTCACTCCAAGAATCCAACTGACTTCTTTTTGTATACCCGGTACTAGACATCGAAAATTAACGCCAGGTGGAGTTAACCGCGCTAATTGAGAAAGGTGAGCCGGCTTACAGAATCAGATAGGCCTTGGATTCTTACGCACCTTACATGTCACATTGTTTTGTTGGTGGCGAATTCATTTCACCAGACGCCGCCTCTTTTGAAACAGGCTACGTTTTGGCATTTCAATTGTCTTATTTTATACTACAAGTTTTTTTTTTATCTTAATTCTTTTTTTGATTAAATAAATAAAAATGGTGAACACCCGAATGATGGTGAACCGCTGCATGGAACTCCTTCGGGCGAGGATCGAGTGCGCCTTAACGCGTCACATCCCCAGACGGTATCCGAATGCACGAAATCTGGATCGGGTGTACAGTCATTACAGGCCCGAACAGCAGGTGGTCAGGGAGCGGGAGAAGGCGGACATCTACAAGAAGAACAAGCGACGCTCCATGTGGGAACAGGACGAGGGTCAGGGCGGACGGATCCCTGGCAAGGACGATCAGGAGCGCTTCGATGACGAGCAGTATCGCCCAAGTGAGATGGAGAACCGCAACTACGACTGCACTTGGGTCAATTTCCCGGAGAGTGTGGCTGCCAGGAAAAGAAGATTGAAAAATGTCATGGATGTGATGGATGTTGAGGCGCCTCCACGTCGCAGAACTCGGGTAAGACTCTAAAAAGCATATTTTTTGGTAGGTTAACGTTTTTATTATTTTATTGCCATTTCGGTTTAATCATTTTTCCTCCAGGAAGACCGACCCAATACGGCACAACCCTGTGACGATGAGGCCCGTGCCTTCATCAGTCAGTGGGACAGCAATACAGCCATGATCAATCGCAATCGATTTGCCCGGGCTTCCGAAAGCTGTCCGCCACCAAGTGTATCTCTCCGAATGTCAAACGCGTATCGTACACGTAGTCGTCAGTTCTTCTACTAGTCCCAATCCTATCTCTACGTAAACCGGAAACACTTTAGAAATTCAAACGTTAGTACTTCTTACAAGCCTAATCAAATTTTTTGTGTGCAAAGTGTGCGACGTAAAGTTGTCAAAATTGGAAAATCAGTCTTAAAATGTTGTGTGTAATAGCCCAGATGATATTTCAATGATATAAATAATAAATCAAAATTATTCAATTATGACGTTGGTGCGTAGTTTTTCCAGGCATCAAAAACGAACCAGAAACCTTACTGATATCCTCAACAAAAAACCCTGGGACTTTGATGTTTTTAAAGAGCTTAAGCAAAGGATCAACCAAAAAAGTCCCAAGTGTCCATATAATCCTAAGCAACTGCAAAAAGAGAAGTTTTTAATGAAAATCAAAAGGAAGTGGTTGGATGAAATATGGCCGCCCAAAGATCAGGAAATGTAATTCAAGGCTTCTACCATTTAACGCCTTATAAGGATAATTTTAAAATCTTAAGAAAGTTACAAATTTCAATTCAATAAAATAATAAATAAATTAAAGTATTTCACAATAAAATAATTTAAACTTTTAAAAATGTATTAACAATATTGTTGTGGTTTGGGACAACACTAAGCATCTATCAGAGGTTTCCACCTTACACAACCATCTGTTTTTAGTATTTTGTTCATATCTGAAAAATGAATAATATATTTTTGTAACGGCCTTTCCGCGGTCACACTGCAGTTCACGTTTAATTGTTTATTGTTCGGCGGTTGAATTTTAATTGTTATTCGGACATGGCGCTACTCAGAAATGCGTCCAACGGCTTTTTGGGTAGCTTCCGCCGGTTTGCCAGCAGTGGATGCACCATCTACAGCCTGAGTTCCGGTCATGTCAAGTGCGGCGTTTCCGTAATCCGCGTCTCCGGGCCGCAAACAAAGAAGGCACTCCGCGCAATTGTTGCCAATAAAGAGTATGAACCGAAGGCAAGTCAATTGATATATATTATTCACGATATCAGAGATATAGGTTTTGGTTTATATTGGCTTTTAACCCATTAACGACGAAAAGAAGATGTGCCGGTTAGTTATCTAATCCCAACATTTTATCAAAAAATCTATCAAAATTCAAAACATTATTTATAACTCCAAGATCTTGTAAACATTTAAAAAAGCAACAAAGAAAGATTTATTTTAGTCAATTGTTGCTTGTGTAGCAACAAGATATATCCGTCCAATCTATTAAGACCTGTTGATGAAGTATTAAAGCGAAAGAAAATTATAGGTCATCTGTTTCTTTCACATTTTAATGTGTTGTAAACTCGAAATAAAATTGTTTAATGACAAGTAAATGATTTTACAAGCGAATAGTTATGTAAAATGGAAATAATAACAATAATTTAAGAAATTGTACATGATAGGTTAACATATGGCAACTTGCCAATATTTATTCAGATACATTTACAAGCAGACAGCAGTGTAACATCCTTTAAATCCTACGGCAGGAAGTTGTTTATAAATAATAAATGCTTTACAAGGGAATATTAATCTTTACCTAGAACCTGTGCAGCAAATTGGTTGTTAATTAACGCTAAAATAATTTCTGTCCTCGTGCTAAATTATTAGTTCATTAAATGTACATATATTCAGTTGCCATGCTAATCTCTATATCTAAATATTTTCCTAAATAGGCCCGTCAAGCGTACCTTAAATCTTTCTACCATCCTGCGAGCAAAGAAATGATTGATCGGGGGCTCCTACTTTGGTTCCCTGGACCCGCTTCTTTTACTGGGGAGGATTCATGCGAGTTCCAGGTCCACGGTTCTCTGGCAGTCATTGCTGCAATGCTGGATGCCCTGGGAAAAGTTGACGGCTTAAGACCAGCGGAACCAGGAGAGTTCACCAAAAGAGCCTTTTTCGGAGGCAAACTGGATTTGACGGAGGTGGAGGGGCTAGCTGATCTCATCCACGCCGAAACGGAGGCGCAAAGAAAACAGGTATTATAATAAGAAATAATTATAAGATCATATTTTTGTATTATAATTTATATTATACCTCTGACCTAACAGGCATTGCTTCAGAGTACCGGGGTATTGGCTCGTCTTTACGACAACTGGCGACGAAGACTTATCCGCTGTGCCGCCCACCTAGAAGCATATATAGACTTCGCTGAAGAGGAGCAAATCGAGGGCGGCATTATCCTGCAACTCACAAAAGAACTAAAAGCAGTAAAGAAAGAGATTAGAGAGCACTTGAGTGACCAGCGGCAGGGTGAACTACTCCGCGACGGAGTACGGACGGTGATCATCGGAGCACCAAATGTGGGCAAGAGCAGTTTGCTCAATGTCCTTTGCCAGCGGTCTGTGTCCATAGTGACGGATCAGGCGGGAACCACTAGAGATATTATCGAAACAATGCACAACTTCGGGGGATATCCCGTGGTGTTTTCGGATACGGCAGGATTGCGAAGATATACTACAGATAGTATAGAGCAGGAGGGAATGCAGAGAGCCAAGGACTGTCTAGCCCAATCCGATTTGATATTACTATTAGCAGATGCCAAGAACATCACACAACTACAGCATGACGACGCTGTGGCTTCTTTCGTAGATAGTTACTTGGGTGAACTAGATATTCCACTGGAGTCATGCTTAGGAAAACGTCTGCAGTTGGTGGCCAATAAAACGGACACCCTGTCGGATGAGGAGCACCAACAGTTGGACAAACTATCCAATGTTTTAGCCATATCATGCCATAAACCTGACAAAATGCCCGTATTTCTGGGCAATCTGGAAAAGCAACTGAAGGAGCTGTGCGGTGAGCCCCGAGCGGAAAATCCACGGATCACAAACACTCGCTACCGGCAACAACTGGAGCGCTGCATTGAGAACATCGACATATTTCTGCGAGATTACAGACCCGATGTTTACCCGGACATGGCCATTGCCGCCTCCAAGCTGCGCAACGCCGTCCGCTGCATCGAACGCATCACCGGACACATTAGCTGCGAAGATATACTCGACGTCGTCTTTAAAGACTTTTGTATTGGAAAGTAATTGATAGTGATACTAAGTAGTAGCTAGACTGAAAAATTATATACTGCCCGTTGAGTATTTAATAAAAAAAAAATATTTAATTTCAGTTACTTTTTAAACAAAAAATAAATGACTTGAAACCAAACTCCTTTTTTTAGTTTCTGTTCAAAAATCCGTTACTTATGGTGTGACCTTGCGTATGTAACAACCGTTTGGTCAACAATACTGACCTGGCCACACAGAACGATATTGTTTACGTGTTTTGCTCGAAGAGAATTGTGTTATTAGGAAAAAATGTCATCCTGGATCACAGGACTGGCGGACAAGGCCGAAAACATTTTGAACAAGATAGATCAGAATGCGGCAACGGCCCTACAAACGGAGAACACCACTGGAGCAGCGGATCCCATGCGCAGGAGCATGACCAGCAGCACCCAATCTCTGTCCGTGTCTTTAAAGTCCACTCTGTCGCCAGCGAAGCGTTCGGTTGCCAACAGCTCATCGAGTGTAAAAAGCGAAGGCGGGAGTTCAGTGGTCACAAAGGACATGCGCCAAAATATGTCCAAATCCGCCAGTTTCGCTCACAATCCAGAAGACTCTGGCAGCTCCATGGACACCCAGGAACTGGCGGCCTTCAAGATCGCCTTGAATGAAATCACCGCCGAAAGGGATGAGCTTCGCCTGCGTTTAGATGAACTGGACAACGAGACCGAGAAATTCGATTTGTATCAGCACAGCCAAGTGCTGGAGGCTCTGGTAAAAACATTGTCTGAGGAGCGAGACAAAGCGGTGCATGATCACAACGAGGCCCAGAGTGCCAACATGGCGTACGTGCACTCCATCTCGGAACTCGAAACCAATCTGGCCAAGCTGCAGCAGGAGTACATGAGCACCGCCCACAAACTGCAGATGCAAACCAAGGAAACTGATCAGCAGCGCCAGGAGCTGCAGGAGTACCGCGCCAAGGCTCAGCGAGCTCTCCAATCCAAAGATGCACTCATCGCAGAGCTGAAGGCCAAGCCCGTTGACGACGACGCGGATCCCAACCTAGTGGCCAAGGACAGCGAGACACGTTTTCTGCAAATCGAGCACGAAGCACTCAAGCAAGAATTGGAGCACGCCAACGAAGAACTGCAGAAAGCACGTTTGCAGCTGGAGGATTACCTCTCCCAGGAGAGACAACGTCAGGTGGAACTGAGCTCTGCTCGCCAACGAGAGGAATCTCTGGCCAAGGAGCTGCGACAGGCACGGGAACACAGTGTGACCTCAGAATCCGATCAGAGAGTCCTCACCCAGGAACTGGCTTCCCTGCGGCAGCAACTCAGTAACCAAATGGCCGCTTCCGCCACTCGTCTCCAGGAACGGGAACAACAGCTCCAGCAGATGCGCCAGCGCTTGAGCGAAGAAGCCAGCACCGGAGCCAAAAACGATTACGAGACCCGGTTAAAAGCTCTAACCCAATCGCTGGTCGAACGGCAGACTCTCCTGGAGCGAGTCACAAGTGAGCGGAATGCCCTGCGATTGCAACACGAGAAGGCGCAGACGCAGCTGCAGCAGAACATGCACATGGTTCAGATAGAGAGCCAGAGAGGCAGCTCCCGCAATCACCTGCTTAACAGCACAGATGATGGTGAGTTCATAAAAGTTCACAGTTTGTAAACTTGTTATAATATATATCTGTCTTATATCCATTCTTCCAGTTAAAGCACAATTCCCGATGCTCATGCACCCAAGTCCCTTCGACAATCGGGTGGCCCGTCGTTTTAAGAGAGCCCTTCGCCAGGCGGACTCCATGGGAATTCGGGTGGGTACATTCTTGCGTCGCTATCCCATGATGCGGGTTTCTGTGATCGTCTACGTAGCTTTGCTGCATCTCTGGGTCATGTTTGTGCTACTCTCCACTACGCCAAACTAATCGAATCGAACCCATTTAATTGAGCAATTGTTTTATTTTTAAATATTGTATGTATTATATTTTACACGGCAAAATTGGATATCTAAGGAGTACGAGTATATATCTGTGTCATGTTTGTGGTTGCAACAATTGTATATATCGTTAGTAGACTTGTGTCTCGCACTCGTTCTAAATTCAATATTCAATAAACATCAACTATGTACAGAAATTGCAATTGGTTTAACGCTAAAAACATCAAGCAAACAAGTAACGACCGAAAAAATTCACACTACTAAGTTAGGATAAGAGCGATGCCTCACAGTTAAAATATTGCATAAAGAATCCAACTACAGAAACTGTAAAGTTGTTAAGTAAACGTGAATTAGATTAACTCCAGTTGCTGGGCAGAGCTGACAGTTCTAGCTAAGCGGAAGAAAATAGAGAGTAGAGGCTCTTGGGACGATTCGCGTAGAATAGGCGCTATATGCCCCGCAAGTTTTTGTATCAGTCATCGGCATGGTAGCTCACATAGACTGCATCGCCACCGATGCTAATCAGGCACTGACCCTAGAAATCGATAATATATTGTGTTAAATAAAATGACTTGGAAACTAATTCATAAACTATTTGGTTTACCTGATTCTTGTGCTGATTATCGAACAACATTAGTTCTGTGATGTAAAATGAGACCATGGCGTTTCCGCCCAGCGAAGCAATGTGGGCTCTTACCACAGCCAGTAGCTCGGTAATGAAACCATGAACAAATCCGCTGATGCCGCCATTCTCCCGGATCGAGGTGCTTTCTCGGATGAAGAAGAAGTTCAGGTTGCCCAAATATTTATCTATACGTCCGCCAGGTATAAAACTAAGAGGCGTTAAATCCACACCGTAGCGATCCCGCAAAGGAAACTGCCCAAAAACAAGTTGATAACTTCTTGCACAAAAAACTTAAGTTATGATCAAGTATACTTACATATCGATTACGTGGAACCAGACCTACATTCAGTGGCTTAACTCCTGTTGATGGCAATCCCGAGACCAGATTGTTCAAACGTGATGGTGATGTTTTGCGCATTTTAAAGGAGCTCATCCCAAACGGCGGGATAGCAGTGCTGGTTGGCGTTGGTGTGTCCACCATTTGATCTTCATCCAGCGGAAAAATGTAGTCCTCCTCCTGCAGCATTCGCTTGCCATTCAATTCTGGCTGGGATTGGGTGGCATGCACGGACGCATCGTGGAATCCGTTCTGCTGTTGTGGTTGTTGCTGCTGCTGTTGACGACCACGTCCACGGTACTTCATTTTGTTGGCATCGGTGAGACCCATGGCCATGCCAGTGACTAGCAGTTGAATTTGATCCTACAACATTAGAAGCAAACTTAGTAACTTCAAAAAAGTCCCCCAGCATTTAACTTACTGTTTCAGGCAGATCAAGTCGGAAGCGAAGATCGCAGATGGCGCAGGGAATCATAGTACGCAGCTTAAAGTAAATGGTCTGCAGCAGTCTGGAAAAAGATAAATGGTTACAAATTTATCACATTATCATAAAATCAAGCTTACCTCTGAAAGTGTTTGGGAAACCCATTAACACTTTGGCCCACTTCCAAACGAGCGCGCCACACCTGGGTAAACATCTGCAAGTTCTTGACAGTGTCCATTTCCAGCATCCCTGGCACCTGCTGTGTATTGACCACATGGAAGCCCTCCGGCGGGTATGGCTCCATTAAAAGCGATATGATTTCCAAGTCTTCGATATCGTCGACCTCCAAAACGCACAGCTCTTTGTTGCCACAGTTTAAATCGATCTCGTTCATCTCTTCTTCGTCAGAGTCGTCCGTGTCCGACTGTTTATCCCCAGAGGCTCCGGTTGTCGCTGCAGCTCCTGCATTGGCTACCAGATCTGGGTCCAAGCTCTTCAGCTGATAGATCTCCTGGTTGCGCTCGAAGGTCTCTTGCAACTTCTTTTGCAGCTCATTCAGCTTTTGCTTGTCGGTCCACGAATTACCGGCCACAATCTTCGGCACCTGCGGCACCGGTAGGGCAGTAAGAAAGAGTGCTGTTCCGGTGGCTATTAAAGCTATCATCCGCTCCCCTATGGCCACCTGTGTACGAAGCCCGAAAATGGCATTCATACCCTTGGCCTTCAGCTTGTTGATCAGTACTCGATGAAGTTCGTACTCCAGGAAGGGCAGTCCATCCGATATCTCCTTGGCATTTAGCTCGGCTCGCAAATCCCTCTTGGCGCGCACCACTTGAGCCTGCATAAAGCAACCGCGTCCGGTGACCTGCATAAATTCAGGCACCTCCAGCGTAGCCAGAAGTACGTCCGGCACTCGTCCCTTGCGGCACACGGCGCACTTCTTCATCTTTACGTTAAATGGCACGGAGCTTAGGTTATAGGGTATGTGGCAGATGGCACAGGCATTCCGGGGTCCATTAAGCGGCGGCAATCCGAAGCGCTTGCCCCCAGAATTGTTGCCAGTCCCCAGAGAACCGCTGTCTTTGCCAATGCTCGTGTCTCCGGCGCTGCTTCCATTGCCCTCCTCTACAGAATTCGTCATGGCTGCGACGCTTGCGGTGGCCTTGGACATGGTGAAGATATCGGTCTGCGATACAGATCTATTAAACACCATGTTAATCACTGCCGCCGTTCCAGTGGCAGATAAAACACAGACATCGTCACTGCAAAACAAAGATAGTAGATTAATAAGGGTTATTAAAAAAAAGAGAATATAAAATACTGAGTTTTCTTGAATTTTTGTTTTAAATTAAGAAGATGGAGTTACTTACGATATGGTTGTAGTCTCCGCATAACCCAGCACCACGTTGCAGCCCAAAGAACGAGCATGGGATCGAATCTCCATACGAAGCTCCGTCCACCAGCTGTCGCGTACCTCTGGCTCATCCGGATTGGGCACTCGCTCCAGAAGCTTCACGGATCGGGCCGCGACCGTAGCACCCAGATGAAGGATGAAGCCAGTCGGGTACTTTGTCATGGTCAGAAAGGGGTACTCCAACATGTCCAGACTCTCAGTAGCAGTTCCAGGTTTGGCTCCGACCGCCGGCTGCGTTAGACGCATCATAGCCGTGGCGGCCACCAGTCGCTCACTGGCCACACAAATAGAGTTGCCTGTGAATTAAAAATATACCGAATAATGAAGTGCTTTTATTAATTCGAAACCATCTTGCACGGAATGAATACATTTATATTTACAATGGATTGTCTGAGTCATTGTGGAAAGTTTAAGATATGAGCTACATAGTTTCCACAGACTTACAAAAAAAAAACTGTTCAATTACATTATTAATTTAGAATTTGATAATGAAGAAGGGTTTAATATCCAATATTTGCAATTTGCCGATTTTATTCGGCATAACATTTACAAAGAAAACCCTGCAATCAAGACCCTCAAGTCATGTAATGATATTGTATTATAACATTCAAGGAGAGCTCAAATCGGATGAGGTATTCGATAGACATATAAAGTAGGAAAGACTAGGCGAAATAGAACAGCACCCTCTATAAAGTTCAGGTGAGGTAAAGAGACAGTAAGGAGCACACGCACAGACACACAGAGATACATCGAGAAAGGACACCGAGATTAGGCGGAGCATCTACTTACGCTTCCGGTTGAATGAAAAAGCTATGCCTGGTGTTTTTCGAGATGCGAGTTGCGAGGTGCAGCAGCGGACGCAAAGATAGAACGTTGAAAGAGACGTTTACGGTTACTCAGAGACGAGACGGTGAGAAATAGACACACGGTGACGGCAAACACACAAATATTGAACAGCAATTGGTACAAAGATGCACAGGGCCTAAGGCCTTATTCTAATTCTTCACTACTTTTGAGCATATTTAGACCTGGTCCCGATTTCAAGGCAATTTAAAAAGGGTATTTAAATATAGTATTAACTAAAATAATCAATGGTCCACTTTAGGCCACTCGTATTTTACCCATTTTAACAGACTTAAAATCGGGATCGGAAGTGAAAACTGGACATACCTTTCGGAGTGACACTCAAGTCGGAGTCGGAGGATCTCCGGCAGATCTCGCCGACGGTGACCGGCACCATGGTGGTGGCCGTCGAGGCTGTGGAAGTGGAGGCACTATCCGCGTTCGTTGTCGCCGAGATGCCGCTCTTCGAGGGACTGGGCGTCAGCTTGAGACGACTATTGCTCACTGGCGAGGCGAAACGCTTTAGATTTGGACTGCTGCCCTCCACGGTAGTGGGTATATTGGACGGCGCAGTGCTTCCGGCTATTCCCGCTGAACCTTGCTGCTGTTGGAGTTCAGTGCTGGATCTAAGTTCGCGTGGTTGTTGTTGTTGTCGAATGTCAAATGGAGCAAGCAATGATGATTCATTATTGTGGTTACTATGGTTAGTACTATTAGATATATTTACAGATTTATCTAGTTGGGAGAGACAAGGGGGGTTACTGTAATCGAAGGTGACTAACTCGGACTGGGTGGGAGTGGGTGTGGAGGGGCAAACGCGCAGCTCGGGCGCCTTCAGCAGCAGCGTGTTGGGTGGTACAGGAGTTTCCGGTGCAACTAGATGATTCAGAGAGGCACTGCGCTCCATAGTCTTCTCGTAACTGGGAAGAAAGTTCAATTGCAGCATCGAGGAGGATCCACTAAGGTTGGATACCAGGCAGTCATCGGGACAGGTAGGCAATTCCGGCTGTGAGCTGTAATATGATTTGCGTTCCAGCGAGGGCACAAACGGTAGCCTATGGCTCTTCTCCAAGTCGCTTTCCTTGGGCTTCAGATGCATCAGCTTCTGCAGACGACGTGAGAAGCCCTTGAGATCCTCGAGCAAATTGTGGTGCCTGGGACCCAGATCCTGCTGGCTGTTTTCACAGCTACGAGTTTCACCCGGCTTTATCCAGTTATCCTGAAGTTTCTCCTCCTCCTCTGGGGACTCCTCCCCATTGCTATCGGGCGGAGCTATTTCCAGATCCAACTGTAGAGACTCATCTGAATCTGTGGAGTAATTAGATGTTGGCCGAGTCTTGGCCTGAAATTCGTCTCCTGGCAAATCAGGTGCCGAACGTGTGTTCTCTTGAAATTCCGTCAAACCGGGCACCGTGAGAAAGCTCTTGACAGGCGCGTGGCCAGGACGAACGCCAGCATCGCTGCTGATGGAGCGCACAATAAACGGGGGAACCGAAGACTTGGATGTAGAAGCAGCGAAGCGGGACTTGCGACGGCGCTTAAAACTTGAAGTTGCTGCAGCGGCTCCTCCAAAAATGCTGCTCAACGATTGGGTAGCGTTCTCCGGGATCTTTGGTTCAATCCGACGTATCAGTGTGGCATACTTCTGACTGAAAACCTTACTCGAGGAGAGCGTTAGGCGGCGCATGCGGTGACGCAGCTTTTTCTCGCGATTTCGATCCCCGCGCTCGTCCTCCTGTCGTATAAGATCCTGCATAAGTTCGGCATCCTCCGTGTCGCTACTGGCACTCTCCAGGTAAAACAACGTTGCTGCTGCCGCCGCTGATGCGGTTGAAGGCGCCGACGAGCTGGGCTCCCTGTATATATTGAGACGGTATTGGGGCGTGCGGCCGGAAAGCGGCAGACTCGAGCTGCTCGCCCCCGCACAGTTGAGGAAGTCTAGATACTTTTGTGTCAATCTAGCCGTTTTGAGGTGAGGTAGTACGTAAATGTTTTATAAACACAAACACGACACAACAACGAAACAACAACGACAACGATTGGAGCGTGCAATACGATACGACAAGGAGCGAAAAAAGAGATATCGAGGGATGAACATCGTCGGAGAGATTTCGGTGTGGGAGGTGGAGAACGTTCAAGAGAAGAAAGAAATCGCTTTAGAACATGTTTAAATTGGTTGTTTACTACCACCTACAGTTCACTAAGCAATGTAATCGAAGAGTTTTTACAAACAAGGATCGTGTTGCTTCGGCTACCGAAGATTCTTTTAAATCTTGCAGCTTGAATTTTCCATGTCATAGTCTACAAGTTTATATACAATTTGCCGTATTTATTATTGTTTAAATTTGGCAGCCTTCGAAATAGTCAGATTCTGATATAGACATTTATAGAATTATGTAACATGTGTATTACAGACAGACAGAGTATGGCCAATTGCTAAATAAGTCACTAGTTATGCGTCATTAGGCATAACGAATACCTTTTTGGTTACCCTAATCCCCAAAAATACTCACTCTTCGATAAGGGCAATATCCGCGCTGTTCGGCTGACTGGAGCTGGTGTCCTTGATTAGTGTAACTGCTGTTCCGATGCCCCGGGCAACCACGCCTACATCGCCTTCCAGATCGAAGCACTGGGTATAACCGATGACGGCATTAGCACCCATATTAATAGCCTTCAGGCCCATTCGCCTCTGCACCTGGCCCGACAACTTGAGGAATACCACCTGTCGGGCCTCGTTTGAAGCACGCGGTGTGCGTATCTTGTCTATCCACTGGTACTCCGGATCGTCGTTAACCACCAGTTCCTCGACAAAACCGTGAATCACCTGGGCGCGGTAGCCAAATGGCACACATTGGGCTGTATGGAATAACAATAAAATTAATACTCTGGAAATTATATAGGCTTGATCAGGGATCGTAAAATTAAAATCCCTGATCAGATCTATTAGAGGCTACAAACAGTGGAAGAATGGTATGCCGCAGGAGCTCTGGCGGAACTTATTGACGTCCGAGAAGAGGTCCACCTTGACGATCACGTTAATCTCGCCGCGGATGCCGTGCATTGTGTCGAAGACCGGAATCCAGCCGGAGAGCACGGTGCCCTTGCCGTGCACCGCCTGACTAGAGCTCTCCAAGCACAAGGGATTCAGGCTGATGTTGACCTTTCCGATGGCATCGTTGGCGGAGTACGTATCGTAGTCCATCAGACGGATTTGCAGCGGCTCATCCTGCAGTTCAGCATCGTCCACCTCAAAACGGAACCTGTTCGAAGATGGGGATTACTTTACATAACAGGGGATTTCTGGATGGCCTTACCAATCGGTGTTCCAGGTAGGATTTAAACTCTTGCGGAACACATCCGTCTTGTGGGTCACCGAGGCCAATTTGATCTCCACAAAAGCGTCCGTCGTCTCACTGGACTTGTCCATCACGGGCAAGTTGCGCGCCGCCTTGATCTTCACCCCCACCTTGCCCGGCATCCTTTCGCTCTCGCCTGTCGCTCCTTTTCACCAAGATACAAGTTTTTTGCCACGGAATTTCGGAAATACCAGAAGGTTTCACGTTTTATCTTGTGTTTTTCATTTTCCCAGTTAACGGTGTGACCACAGTGAATAAGAAGCAGCGAAATGCCTGCAGGCAGTGTTGCCAATTTAACTTATTATAAGCTAGTTCTAGCATATTTAAAACTAGAAACTTGTTTAAAAAAATCTGAATTAAAGATATGTAGTTTTTAGTTGATTTAGACTTAAAGAACCTTTGTTGTTTAAATTTTTTTACAAAACCTGTCTAAATAAGTTATTTCGGCTTAAATTATTTTGAATCCCAATTATGAGGCATAGAGCTGCTAACTTGCTTTCTCCTGTTTAGGAGAAATATAAAAACCTTAAGAAAAATTAAGAAAGAAGTGGATTGAAAATGATATAGTTAGATAACAAATAATTTTAAATTTATAATTGTATTAAATGTTTAAAATCATTTGGCGTTATTCTGCCAGATCTTGCGACAGCCCTGCAAGTGAACACTTCGCTGTCGAGTGGGCAGCGCTGCAACAAAAATCAATAGTCGCCGCCATATTTTTTTCACTCAACTCGCAGACCAACGCGCTCGGACACCCGAATAATGTTTAGTTAAATAAGTTAATTAAGATAAGCCATAGTTGAAAGTGCACCGAGTACGCGCCAGAGCAGTGATCAAGTGACCCTTCATCAGAAGTGACTTCCTGTTGCCAAAAATAATCGCCCAAATCCGCAAGTCTCCGGCATTCGAACGCTCTTCCTCTTCTTCAGAGACTGCATAGTCGAGAAATCCCCCCTCCTATTTAAAGGATTCCAAGTGCTAGTGCTCCCGAGTGCGTAACCAGCTAGCGAGCAGCATGGAAGGATCCTCAGTGTCCTCACCCTCGATGGGTGGCCCACGTGGTGGCGGTTTCCGCGGTCGAGGTGGTGGAGCACCCATGCGCGGTGGCTTCGATCGCGGACGTGGTCGTGGTGGACGCGGTCACTTTATGGGCGGCATGCGCGGAGGCGGCGGAGGTGGTATGGGCGGAGGTCCACCGATGCAGGGAATGATGTCGGGTCCTCCGAGAGGAATGCGTGGTTCCCGTGGCGGCGGAATGGGCTATCAAGGACGCGGCGGTGGCTATCAGCCGCGCGGTGGAGCTTCCATGGGCATGCGCGGCGGTCGCCCACCCTTGTACTCGCAGCGTAAGTTCACCAGCCATTCCCCTCTGACTCCCAACCGCACCTTGTAAATCCAATCCAATCCAATTTAGCTCCCAAACAACACACAGGTGCCGACAATAACAAGACCGTCTCACCAGTGCCCACCTCGGCGATAAGCGGGGAACAGCCGGCGGTTGAGTCAGCCGGGGACGAGGTAGCAGAAGGCCAGGCATCATCCAGCGTTGCGCCCTCCAGCAATTCGCACGGCGGCAGCTCCGCCCCTGGCGGCAGCAACGGCGGAGGACCGCCTCCGTATCTAGGCCGTGGTCGTGGTCGCGGCGGTCCCTTCAGCGGTCGTGGACGCGGCGGCGGTGGCTACAATTCGCATATGAACGGCAATGGGGGCGGTGGCAGCATGTACGGCGGCTCGCACAGTCACCACAGCAACTCCATGGGCGGTGGTCCGGGCGGAGATCACGGATCGATGCCCAGGCGTGGAGCCCCACGCGGCAGGGGCGGCTACAATCAAGGTATGAGTCGGCCACCCTTGCATCACCATCAGGCACATAATCCCAATACACAACTCGCACCGGTACCAGCTCTCAAACGCGGCGCTCCCGGTGGTCCTGGTCCCAAGCGAGGTCGCTACGAGGGCGGTCCCTACGGCCAACGGCCCATGACGCCCAAGTATCACTCCACCCAGCAGCACATGGGTGGCGGCGGAGGTGGCGGCATGTCCTCGCAGTCCTCTTATGGCTCGCCGCCCAGTCATCATGCGCCAGCTCCAAGGTAAGATTTTAAATTATTAAAGAAATCAATTGAAATATGATTGTGTATTCTATAATATACATTGAATTGAAATATTCTATATTTCAATTTTGTGGCTTAAATTTAAAGAGACATTATTAGTCTTACAACAAGAAAATAAATAACCTGCGTTTCGAACAGCCACCACAGCTACCAGACCCACGATCAAACCCAGCAAGTGGATCCGTATGCGCAGAGTAGCTACAGCACTCAGACCACGCAGCAGGGATACAATGGTTATGGCCAGACCGGTGGCAGCAGCTACGCGGCTCACACATCGCAGGCGGCAGCTCCCGCCAGCAGCAGCTATGCGGCCCACGAATACGATCAAAGCCAGTACCAGAACTACAAGTGGGTTGCCTACTCTTGGCGCTTATTTAACCTCCAGTTCGGCTGAACAGATGCTAATGCAATACTTTGTGTTTCCCAGCAGTTCGACGGGTTATGCCGCACCGCAGGACACGCGGTATCAGTCGTACAGCCAGGACTACAGTCAGCAGTACGGCTCGACTGCCGTGGATTACAATGCCACCGGACAAGCGGACTACAGCCAGCACGGGCAGCAGAGCGCTGGCTATGATGAGCGCGCCTATGCGGGTTACGGTAGGTTCTTTCAGGGTGCCCCCCCTTTTTGCGTCAGCCATCATCGGTGTCTTCTTGCAGATTCGCAGGCCTACTCGCAGAACTACTCGAACGCAGCCGCCTACTACTAGACAACCGCTTCCCACTCCCACCCCTGACGGCACACTAGAGATCAGAACGCTGCGCGTGCTCCGATAGGCCAAGAAACCAAATAAGAAGGGATTAGGGCAGACTTAAATCGAGTAACAGGAGGGGAATATATGTTAAATGAAGCAATCAACTTGCTATACATAATACACAACACACACGCGAACCCCCTAAACATACAATTTTAGTTGTAAGGATACAGTTCTCTTTTTCTTAGCATTTAAGCCAACTAGTGTTGCGACGTCTTTCTATATAAATCCCCTGACCAAATTTATTTTCCATTTGTTTTCGTTTTGTCTCCCCAAGAATCCTCAGCAAGAATATTGAAAATACCTGCATTGCCTGTTGTTTAATGTTTTCTAATAGACAAACGGAGCTAGCCTGCACTGAGCTCCAGCCCAAAAATACCTTTATGTGCTCCTTAGTTTGATTTACAATTACAATTCAACTGTGACCAAAGTATGCTAAAATCATATTTTAATATGACGAAAAAATACGAGTACGTACAATGATCTTGATGAACTAAACTAAATTTAAACATTTTGTGAATAATGTCAAATTGTATACAATTGAATGCAATGTATATTTTAGTTGTTAAGCTCCAACCCGCAAACGATTCTCGACACAGTGGATGTGGTTTTCCAATCCTGAAAAACGTTTATGATTTTGCAAGATTGTAGTTTTTTTTTCTTTACCATCTTGACGTGAATAACAGAAACCAGACTCTTTTTTTTCCTTTTGTTTTTACAACAATTTCTTCTTATAGCCACAATTTAAGAAACAAATTTCGTAATTATGTAATACCTCTAAACTAAGCTGAGAAAAACAAATAAGCGAAATACACAAAATATATTAGCAAAAGATGCAAAAATCATAACCAATATCAAAGTCAATAAAATAATGTTAAAAAATGTGTAAAATGCATTAAACTTATTTAAGCGTACATATTATTATTTATATATTTTGTTTAACCAAAAATCAATCAGCAAGAATGCAAATATTTTAGCGTTACAATCAATCGAAAGTCAAACAATGAGTGAAAATATGAAAAACAAAAGGCTGAATATATTTACAAACCGAAGCAGCACTGCAAGCTCTCAAGTCACGAAAAATCTGAGACAATGATTAAAACAAAAAAGTATTAAGCATTAATGAAATAATTACAAAGGCAACAAAATACAAAGAACAAAAATAATCGAAGCTAATATTAAAGTGCCAATAATACCTGAACAACTACACTCAGGACAAATCTCAAAGAAAAATACAAAAATGATGAAAAACGTTATGAAATCTACGACGTCAGTCAATTATTAAGATAGTGTCGCGAAAATGATCATTAATAGATAATTATCTAAATTTACAAAACGAAAGCACTGAAAGTACAAAGAAAACAATATACAAATTTTAAACATATTTTGGTAAGTTAAGGTTAAAGCCAAAATCATTCAAAAGCATTAAGTATATGTCGACCTCAGCATGTTAATATAAAACTTAAATATATTTGTCCGAAAACTTACCATTCCATAAGTCTGTTTAAGACAAAGCAATTTTAAATATATTAGAAAGAATAAATATACGAATAAGTAATTTCCAAACCATATTCTGTTTACAAAAAACTTTTCTTAGTGATTTCCTAAGTTTGGCTGTGAAATTTTTTTTATGTAATTTTAAGTTGTTATTAACTTAACAGCTAGAGTTCTTCATACCCTAAAGAGCGGCCCTTTTGCCGCACTTACCATATAAATTGTAGCATTTAGTTGTTTTTTACAGGAATGAGAAATCAAAATTATCAAATTGATAGCGTTTAACGCTTATCAAGTCTGAAGGAAACGAACTAAAAAGGATAAGTCAATGGTGGTAATCTCAAAACAAGCAACACAAAAGATCAAGTAAAAAAAAAACAAAGAAACCAAAGAGATTATACAAATATAAAATATTTTGTTTTAAATGTTGCACTTTTATGTTATTTATATATATTTTTGTTTATGTATAAAATGATTTTGTTTGTTATAGTTAAGAAGAATCAAGTACATAAATTCCAGTCTTATAAAGACCAAATAATGACAATATACAAACAAATATTGACTAAAAAAATAGTGAATGATATTTCAAAGAGATAAAATCTCAAAACACCCAAAAAATAACGAAAAATGAAATCGAGACAATTCCACAAACAATAATTTCATTTAAAATAATATTAAAATGCCAAAAACTATTTTTAGTGTCAAGTTTTCAAATAATTTACGTGTTCAAAATTTAGTAGCGTTTCCGATTAGATTTATGGCAAAAAAATACAACTGAAAAAAGGAAAGAGGCTTTAATAAAAGTCCAATTGTCTAATAAAAATGACAACAGAGTTAATGCTAAAAAACAGTAACCGAGGTAAAAGTATAAAATATCTAGAGATCAGGCAAAGAAAATCATTTGTAAATGGCATATATTTTTTAATTTAATACCTTTTGCATTGTGCATAGACAACTGCATATAACTCAGATAACTGCATTATTTCACGTTTTTGTCAATTTGATTTATGATATTCTATTATTTGTTTACTTTTTTATTGATTTAATAAAAGCGTTAAAGATGTCAAACATAATTTAAACCGATCATGTAATTAAATGGATACTTTTAACTTTTTCAGCTAAAGAAATATATTGAATGTCATAACCCAATGGAGAGAAAGTAAATGCGCAGTGTGGAACCCACAGACCAAAATGTATATTTTTGCAAACCATATTTCCTCTGGTTATGAAGAACACACAATGGAATTAACGTTTAAAAAAGTTATTAAAAACTTAAAAAATTAGAGAAGTGTCTACCGTAAATATACAATATTAAGAACGATATCAACTTTACAAGAACATATTTTAACTTCTCGCTTTGAAAAAAGAACAATTTCGAATTGAAAAAGTGTTTAAAACAAAATTCGAAAATAACTTCCTAATAACTTCCGATGTTGCAGAAAAAATTCTATTTGTTAAAATAAAATGTTGAGGTATTACAGTTGAAATTATATTTATAAAGTATGTAATATTTCAAACTTTTAATTTTATATCGAAAACATAAAATTTTTTCGGAAAGATTTTTTAACTTTTTTTTAATAAATGCCATAAAAAGCATTTGCCAAGATCTGTTTAAATGGGGTGATTTTTAAAGACAGCTAATAAACAATTTTGTAAAAAAAACCGTTGAGACTTTTTATTTTCTTGATGCACAAATAACAGGTGAGTTCTATTAAAATCATCATTCAATACGACGTCATTAAGTTCACCACAATTTATTCTTTACAAAATAGCCCAATTCACCATATATATTAATATAAACCAATTTCAATTGCATTTTATCATGCATTGACATATTGAGAGGAAAAGTTTGTCTTTATTTAAAAAATAACAAATTTTGTGTGGAGTTTAAAACATTTGTTGGTTATTTTATAATAGTGCTTCATGCAAGGGAATTATAGGTGAAACATTAAAAAGGTAATATGTAGTATTATTTTTAACATTTAAAAGTCCCGCTTCGGGAAAGCATTTAATCAAAATAAATTTAAAACTAAGGAATCAACTTTAAGAACGTTTCGGGGGTCTTTGATTATGTACAAATATGTATTCGATTTTTTTTTATAGAAACATTGGACACATCGATTTGTTATTTAATGAACTAGAGAGCTTCCAATTGAGTAAAGTTCTGAGTTTCCATTGATTACATTTGCATAATATGTTGAAGACATCAAAATAGTGCTGTGCTTTGTGTGAACAGAAACGATTTCGCCGATTGTGTCAAGGTCCAGGAGTCGTTGTCTCGAGTCGGGATCAAACAGGGTTTAGCAGTGATATCCTTGGAGTCCATGTCCTTAACGACGCTTGCCGAAGCGCAGAAAAACGTGATCGACATCCGTGCGTTTGTTGTAATTCTTCAAGAGGTCATCGGAGTTGGCCACCAGAGCTGCAGTTAAAAAATAAATATTTTATAAAGCATAAACAGTTTGCAAACGTATACTGCTGTTCGTGTCAGAGTTTCTTAGTTTGTGTTTTCCTTTTTATTTGGAATGATTTAAGTTTTTTAAAAAATGAGTCATCTAGTTATGAATTTAAATGTGAGTTTTTAAACTTACCAGATGCCTCGTTGTTGATGTAGGACTTGAGAGCCGTGGACAGTTGATCGGAGTTCTCGAGGGCCTGGCACACCTTCCTAACGTGCGGGGGCATCTCCTCAACGATGCCGGTCTGGCAGAGAGGAGGACCCTGAGCTGCAGCCCGAGTGGTGGACACGGAAAGCAGGACGAAGGCCAGGCAGCAGGCGACCAAGAACTGTGCGAAGGACATGCTGCAAGTGGAGGGTTCGAAGATGTTAAGTATGGAGGAACATGATTGACGTCGTTAGCTGGTGTCAAGCTTATTAGATTATCGGCAGCAAAGGTTGCGCAGCAAGGACACCATCTGCACAGTTATCCTGGCTGGAGGGCTACTTAGCCCACACCCCATCCAAGCCGACTGATTTTGATTAAGTGTAATGATCTTAATGCTACGTGCTTGATTGCCACTCGCTGATGATGTCGTCGCCATGGCAAAGTATTATGCACAAATGGAGTTGTAGCTTTTAGTTGCAGCTTCGCGACAGAGTTTCCATTTTAAGTCCCATCCGAGCAGGCGACCCTAATGCCGCCCTAATATCTTCTGTGCGACAGACAATTTGTTTCTATTAGCCGGGATAGGCAGCGGCAATTTGTTTTGCGTCACCGCCCCTTGATGGTGATTACGATGTTCGTGGCACAGGTATCACTCATACGCCCCGTTGCAGTTGGCATGCAAACACCTGTGCCAGGTGCGACATTTGCGAACGTGTTGCTCCTGCATCTATTTAGCTTAGAAAATCAACACCGGAAGTCGGGTGGAAAGCAGTGGAAATGGGGGAAGCGCATGGGGCACGTTTCAAGGATCCAAACTGCCGTTGCTTGTTTAGGGCTCAACTAAATAGCACGTATGCAAATCAATTGCATGTGTTTGCTTGCCAAGAGGACACAAATTATTGCGCAACAGTTCAAAGCTTCTATGTAACTATCCCTCAAGAGTCAAAAATTATCAAACAATATCTAAGTAATATCTTATTAATTAGTACATGTTCTAATAGAATTCGAAAACTTTATAGAAGAAAAGAAAAAACTTTAGAAGTAGACAAATGTAATATGTTTCTTTACTTTTTTAAACATTTAATCATACAAAATTATAAAGGGTTAAGAAAAATAAACACAATTTTCATAATTTTAATCAGACTTTTAGTTTAACTGATACATCTAGAAAAGCAGTCTACCAGAGTCTTTCGATGTTAAAAAATTTTATACAAACAATTTTTAAAATCTTTCACATGATTTTGTACTCCAAAGATACACTTCATCTGAATCAGCTTACATTCTTTTAACGTTCCGAATACTTTTCACAAATACCCACCTGGTAAAAGTTTTGGGATTTGGTTACTTTCACAAAGAAACAAATAGATACACTTGATAGTTCACTGAGGTTCAGCTGCTGCTCCGTTTGCTGGACTTGTTGAACGCAAGCACTCGAATGATGTCCTGTCCAGCCAGGACATCCGCTTTTATTTACTTCCGCCGAGGACGAGCGCAGATGGCGCGGTGGCCTGTGATTGGCTGGCAGAAGCACACAGCCACACGGAGGTTCGCAAACAGGAGTCGGGGGACCACATGTTGCGCTTCTGCCGGGAAGCTTGGTGGGCGTGCTCAAACATCACTCATACGCCACCGACACCAACTCCGACCAAAGCACGATGCGCCGCTCAATGTGTGCACTTGGCAAACTTTCGACGGTAGCCCGCCGAGTTGCCCAATATGTTTATCTATTATATAAGTTTATCAGCTCTTAATTATGTTATAAAAGTTGCCGCTTTTACGATGATCAGTGGCCGGCAACCATCACCTATTTATGGGTAGTTATAATCGTTAATGGCCCATCGATGTGTTTACTGTCCATCCCACGGATATTCTTTAAGCTCTAACTTTAAAGCCGATGTCCTGGCAACTGCACTTTGCTCCACAAATGCGTAAGCAGAGTAATCTTCGGTTTATGAGACTGGGATTTGCAGGCGAAGCGTTGCAATTAATTTGAATTTGTGCGTGTTTCGCATGCAAAATCACTCTATAAGAATTTCGACTGTGACGTCTTGGCCATCTTTGAGCGGGGATAACTCAGATGCACGGTTGAGTCTATGAAGTTCGAATTACCCACCAAGAAAATCTAATTTGTTTGTCTTTTATGTCGTTAGCGTGACTAATGGAAACAAAATGAAGTATGTATAAAAAGGAGAAATTTCTTTAGTTGTGAAAACCACAGAAACTACTTTTTCTTCTGTTTTATTTAACTTATAATTAAAAAAAGAGAAGGTTACGAAACCAAAAGAGAAATTGGTTTTACTAACATCATCAACCAACGAAAAGCAAATTTCGATAAATTGTAACTTTATTCGTTTTATTATTTATGATTTTCGTTGAAGATACTCTTAAAATATAACTTGGGTGGTGGTTTTATTGTTCTTAAAGCACTGTAATGTTTGAATATTCTTTGGGATTTTTGCATGTACAAATACCCAAGCCAAAACTAATTTATTAACATAATTCAATAAGAAACTAAATACATAAGATAAGCAACCTTAAAAAGCTTCCCTGTTGTTTTGTTTCTTTTTGGATTATTAACAACATATTGCAACAAAGACCCAACTGCTCTAATTGGGTTATGGTTAGCTGCCATGTGCTGTCATCTTTGATGTGCAGAAATCAGGCAAAATAATCCAATGCCATTGCCATATGGGGCTGGAAAACTGGAGAGGGTAGCTATAACCAAAACCAGCACGTCGCTGTGCCAACAATGTATCGCGAAATTTGCACAAAATTTGAATAAACTGATTGAGTTGTTTGCGAATAGTGCGTCGGGGCAGGAAGAACCGAATGGGCGAATAGGTCAACGATTAACATTTAAATTATTTTCGCCATTTTGCGGCCTACGCAAATAAATAGAGGAAAAACCCCAGCCACACTTGCTTAAATTTTATTTCTTTTTCACGGGGATCGTACAATCTAAGGATTAATGTTTGGGCACCGTAAACCCTTCAGTCAAGTAACTTGGCCACAATCGGATCCGGTGCTGACATGGCATAACCCAATTGCTGGAGAGCCCTCCGGATCTCGGTGAAAACACTGGCATCATCGATGGTGGCCGGCAGGATGACTCGTTCATTCCGGGCAAAGTCCGCCATTGCCTTGCGCATTGTCTTTCCGGATCGAGTGCGTGGCAGGTTGTTCACTGAAGTTATTAAACGGAAAGCTGCAATCGGACCCACTACATCCCGGATCAGCTTAATGATCTCCGTCGAGAGCTTGGCATCGGTCTTTTGGCAGTTCTCCACCGGAATGTAAAGGCACAGCGGCACTTGGCCTTTTGTTGCCTCGGGAACCCCGAAAACAGCAACGTCCACCACGTCTGGATGACGGAGAACAGCATCTTCCAGACTGGAGGTCGACAACCGATGGCCAGCCACATTGATCACATCATCGTCGCGGGCAGTCACAAAGATGTAGCCACGGTCGTCCTTGTAGCCGGCATCCATGGTGTCATAGTAGCCCTAAATATAAGATTTATATTAATAAATAATAACATTTTACGTAAGTTTGCCCAATATTGATATAGAGTATAACAAATTTGAATTCGATTGTATGGTTTAAAACGTGAAAATTTCATACTTTATGAATACTTTATGAATTAAAAAATTGTCTAGCTTTAAACTTAAATTTCTAAAACTAAAAGTTTGATGACTTACCGGAAACTTTTGGAAGTAGAGCTTTCGGTATAGATCCTCATTCTTGTAAAGAGTAGCCATGTTACCGGGTGGCAAAGGAAGTTTCAGCACAATCCTTCCCAGCTCCGAGGTCTGTGCTTCGCTGCCGTCTGATTTCAGAATCTTGACTGCAAGAGAGAAGTCCGGACTTATCCGTATTCCCACTTTTCCAAGTTATCTGGAGCATCACTCACCTTGGTAGCCCATGAGGGGCAGTCCCGTGGAGTAAGTGGGCGGACTGAGGCTCTGCTGGAATCCCAGGCAGGTGGCGGTCACCGCGGAACCCGTCTCCGTTTGCCACCAATGGTTGAGCACCGGCACCTTGAAGGTCTTTTCGATCCACGACTTGGTTTCGTAGTCGCAGTGCTCGCCGGCAATAAAGATGGCTCGCAGTGATTTCATGGAGTACTGACGTCCATAACTGATTTCTGGATCGGCTCTTCTAATTACTCGGAAGGATGTGGGCACTGAGAAGATCGAACGCACCTGGTACTGGTCAATAATTCTGCAAGGAAGAGGGTTGATTATTGAAAATTCAAGTTACATTTAAACATTTTATATCATATTTTAAATAAATAACAATAAAAAGATACACACTATGGTTTAAAATATTCGGTAAATATAAATTTGATATTTTTATGTTTACATATTTCATTTAAAGCTTTATTTTGTTATAAACTTCTGCAGAAAAAAGAAAATAATCTTTAAGTTACAGATTTTTATTAGACTCACCTGAAGTACTGCCCAGGATCGGGTGTTCGGTCGGGTTTGCCCTCGTACATCACGCTGGTCGCTCCCAGGCAAAGTGGCCCGTAGCAGATGTACGAGTGACCCACCACCCATCCCATGTCCGAAGCTGCCCACCAGGTGTCACCAGGACTGATGCCGTAAAGCGTGCGTAGTGTGTACATCAGGGCAACCAGGTGACCCCCAATGGTGCGCAGCACTCCCTTCGGTTTGTCTGTCGTTCCAGAGGTGTAAAGGATATACAGCGGATCATTGGCTTCGATGGGAACGCAGGCCACCGGCTTCTCGCCCTTCGACATTTTCAGGACATCCGACCAGAGCACATCCTCCAGTGGATTTAGTTTTGTGGTATCCGGTAAGATATTCTCCCGCCGGAAGATGATGTTCTTTTGAGGAGGTTGCCAACGCGACATTTTGATGGCCGAGTGCAGGATGTCCAGGTACGGCACCACCTTGCCCGGTTCCACGCCCACATTGGAAGCGATGACCAGCTTTGGTTCAACGTGCTCAATTCGGGAGCATAGTTCCCTGGCAGCGAAGCCACCAAAGACCACTGAGTGGATGGCACCCAGGCGAACAATTGCCAACATGGCAATGATGGTTTCCGGAATGAGGGGCATGTATATCACAACACGGTCGCCCTTAACTACGCCCAGTTTGGATAAACCACCAGCCAACAGGACAATCTGGTCGTACAGCTCCTGGTAGGTCACCCGACGCACCGTTCCCGTCAGCGGACTGTCGTGGATGAGGGCCACCTTGGATCCTCGGCCCCCAAAAATGTGGCGATCGATGGAGTTGTAGCAGGCATTCAGATAGCCACCCACATACCATTTGGTGAAGGGAGGATTGCTGTTGTCCAGAACCTGTTGCCACGGACGATCCCAGTCGAGCAGGTGAGCCTGTTCCTCCCAAAAGGCAGCTGGATCCTGGATGCTCTGGCGGTAGGCCTCCAAATACAGAGGATCGTGCGCCTCCACGGGCATCCCGCAGATGGAATCACCTGAAGAAGAGGTAATAGTTTCGAGGGTTCATTGCTTTCTCTTTTAATCCGCTGCTTTCAATTAGGCTAGCCAATCTAAATTACCTCACTACCACGTGATATCATTTCACCTTACACCAAGCCGCATTAAAATTTAAATTTTCTAAATGTCGCGGTCACTCAACTGATTTGTATATACCCTGGCCACCATGTACTACTTGTGTATTTACGGCCCAACCAGACGCCGAGCATAATCCACACGTCATTGTCGCTGGCAGTTGGACCTTAAAGCCTCCGCCGTGCATAAGCTAATCGAAATCATTAACATTTAGTGCTTACAGTTTGGGGGCAAAACTAAACTCTAATTAATCACAACAAAGTCGCATCGAAAGTTCATTATTTTAATGGGTAAACATGGAAAGTTTTTTTTAATCCTTTCTTTTTATTTTTCTTTACACTTTACACTTTAGTTTTAAAGAACTCTGGATTAGAATTGCCAAGATCGTTCGAATGCAATTTGGACTTCTTGTATATATAACGTTTTATATCCTTGTTAAAGGCACTGTTTCGATGTTTTTTTAACCAACCTATATAGTCTGAATTTTATTTTCCAGATATACGTATATACTCCATACTTAGTACAAATCATCCGATTACTCATCAAAGAGTGGCACTTTTTTTGGAATTGAATATTTTTAACTTACTTTCTTCGTTATTAAATTTATTCACTGCACCCGCACCAGGATCCATTATGATTTGTTACTTTCGTAGTTTATATATATTTAAATGTAGTTTATATATATTTATTTTACGCCTCCCTTAAGATTTAGAATCGAACGAACCGAGCACAACCGTCGCACTGAAGTCGAAACTTTGCAATGGTTTTGGAGAATGTAGAACGCAAGCAGCTAACCAAAACCTTTAGGAAATCACCGATCAAAGGTTTGTATTTTAAACCCTCCGATATTGGGAGAGCCGGAACGGTGGAAAGTGGTCTTCAAAAAGAGAGTAGAGTTGTAAAAAATGTTTCATTTGTACAAAACGATTGTAGTTATATATTTTTCGGCTTAATCTAATTCAACTTAATTATTAATGCCCGGGTTTATTTATTTTTTCTTGTCCTTCTTGGTCTTTTTCGAGGGCGGAGGCGTGGCAACCGCCTGGCTATTATTTCCCTCTTTGGATGTTTCTACACTGAATCCCTTGATGTACGGCTTGACTAGTCGGAAGATCAGCTTTTCGTGTTGCACGTTGCTGGAATCCAAACTAAGACGGACCTTCACTGGATCAAAGGAGTGGAAAACTACGTCGCCGCATCTCTGTGTGTAATCCTCCTCGTTAAAGGTAAACACAATTTCGCTCTTGACGCGCTCATGACCATCCTTGCCATCCTTGTCGGACTTCAAATACAAAGTTCCCTCCAAGCCATACTTGGGAATGAGAACTTGCAGAGCGTTCTTGCGGACAAATAGCACATATCTGTGGAGGGTACTGTTTTATTAAAATATTTTCTCTTAGAGGTTTCACTGACTTACCCTTCCTCGTCTTGCTCCTTGCCGCGGAAGAAAAGGTGCGTATTAAGGGCCACCGAAGCGCGTCCTGCATACTGAGCCATTTTGTGTCGATAATTCAGGTTGTGGCACAGCTCCTCGTTCGACTTCCGCTCCAGCAACTGGGCATAGGTGCTATCCGCTCCAATCGAGGCGGCCAGCAGGCGGTGAACCATGATGTCGGAGTAACGACGAATGGGCGAGGTGAAGTGAGTGTAAATGGGTGCAGCCAGACCATAATGGAAAAACTCCTCCTTTTGCAGACTGCCGCTTATAAAGTACACTGCTTGCATCATGCAACGGGTGGTTAGGATGCGGATCATGGTATTAAAGTACGGATTGTCCGCCTTCACGCACTTGTCCAGCGAAGCCGAAAGTTCCAGTCCCGTTTCGATGTCAACCTGGAATCCTTGATAGCGGGCGGCCTTCACCAGCGGATCAAAGTTAGTGGGCGGGGGCCGGGGATGGCGACGCAGAACCGCACATTCAGTGAACTCGTTTGCGATATGCTCGGCCACTGTGATGTTGGCCAGCAACATGAACTCCTCCACCATGGAGTTGGTCTCGCGCATCTGTTTGACTTCCACTTCAAGCGGTTCGTGTGTTTCGCTGTCCACCTGGAAGCGAATCTCCGGCGAAGCGAGCACCAATGCGCTAAAAATTGGAAAATAAATGAGTCTCTTATTACGCACTCTGGAGAATATCAACCTACCCATTGTCCATTCGCCGTTTTTTGAGGATTTTGGCCAGTCTATTAAGATTTCTCAGGGACTTGGCTAATTCATTCTGCTGCGATGGGTCGTCGATAATCACCTGTGCCTCTTCGTAAGTCATGGCTCGCTTGGACTTGATTACGCTCTTGTGGAATCGCTTGTTCAACACATTAGCCTCTTGGTCCACCTCCCAAATGCAGGAGAAGGCAAACCGCTCTACGCCTCCACGCAGTGAGCACAAATTCGAGCTGAGTAACTCGGGAACCATGTCGATACGCTTGCCAACGAGGTAGACGGTGGTTCCTCTGGCGGCTGCCTCCTTGTCCAATGCATTTCCTGGTCTTATGAAGTGACTAACATCCGCGATGTGGACACCCACTTCCAGATTGCCATTGGGCAACTCTCTGCAATGAAGGGCATCATCGATATCTGTGCAGCCTGGCGGATCCACTGAGCAGATGTGCAAATCCCTAAGATCCACGCGCTTGGCATAGTCCTCCTCGGTAATTGTCCAGGGCATCTGCGGCAGAAAGCTGAGCACCTCGTCCGAGAACTTGCAGTGCGGGACATCGTGCTCCAGCAGAATCACCTCGTTTTCTGTGGCCGTGTCGCCAAGTGGTCCCAGGGAGCGCACAAAGTGTCCGTGCGGATACCGTGAGTTCCTTGGCCATGTGTCTATCGTCACAATGATGCGCTGGTTCTGCAGTTTGGCCGCTTGCCTTGTTTCAATGCGAATGCGAGGGATCTTGCGGTCGGCCGGCACAAAGATGTGCCGATTGGTGTCCTCTATAAGGCTGGGCTGCAGGATGCCGCAGTACTGCCGCCATTTCCGACGCACAATGCCCACAATTCGTCCGGTGGGCGTACGCTCTGCAGATGAGGCAGCTGCCTTCACCTGCTTCAGCATATCTTTTTCATCTTCGGCGCGTTCTTCGCTGGGTACCTCGTCCGCGTACACGTTTTTCTCCTCCAGCACTATTTCACTAGGCGCTGACCACTCCTCCTCGGGCAAAAGCTCCACCGCCACCAGGTCGCCATCCACAGCTCGGTTAAGGGATTCTCTGCCTTGGATAAGGATCTATAAAGTAACACAGAACCATGACTTGCTATAAAAAGTTTTAGAAGGGAGTAACTTACGCCCTTTTCAAACTGCTCTACATTGACACTGCCTTCGAGATAGTTTTCTCTGGAGGCCTGAAAGGCGCCCTGCAGTAGCTTCTTCTGGCGTAGTCCTTCGAGCAGCTCCTTCATGCTGAGATGCGCCGGATACTGGGGCAAGCCCTTCTTTTCGTTTTCAAACGTCTTGTGCGACAGTTTGTCCACCAAAAGTGGAAAATCCTCAAGGGATTTTACATATTCCGCGGCAGAGGCCACCAGAATTCCCTCAGCGTCGGCCTTGGCACGATTCCCAGCATCATCGGTAAGCAGAATAACCCGCGTGGCAGCCCTGCCACTTCGCTCCAAGTCCTTGGGGGATTGTGACGCCTGCAGGTGAACATCATACCACTTGGTGGCCAGACGGATGGCTCGATCATTGCGATCATTGGCAGTCTCATCGGGTTCGCGATCTGCATAAGTGTCCCTATAAACCGATGGATTTTAATCAAAGGGTTTTTGTTTTAAATATTGTACCTACTTGTGATGCTCGTTAACAAACACATAAAAGTTCCTGGTGCGATCGTGGACTAGCTCATTAAACCGCTTGTAGATGGAGGAGCTCTTGTGCTTCACCTCGTTAAGTACGGTGGTCAGCACGACTACGTTGCGGAGCACATCCTCCTCGAGCACATCTATCTGATCCAACACCACATTGGTGTCCAAAACGAGGTAGTGTGGAAACTTGAATAGGGTGCTCTGGATATCGTGCTGGGACGTCAGTTGGTAGACCTCGTTCTGGAAGCACTGTCGGCACAGATCGGAGCCGCATCCGATGTCGTCGCGGAGGTAATGCTCCCGCACGATCTTTAGGATATTACCGCGCTTGGTTTTACGCGTAAATTCACGTAAAGTTTGCATTTTATTAAACCGCGTCTGGATCAAATCTTCCTCACATGTGTGCCGGAATTAAGAGGCCTTTGCAAGTTCAGACCGCTGTTTCAGCTCATGAAGGCTTGTTCACACTGAAACCGCAACAGGCGAACACAGCTTGCATTTGCTAAAAAAATTATATTAAATATACCAGACGAATTTCTATAGTTATCGCAGTTTAAATAAATTCAACAAAATAAATTAAATGAAAGCAGTTAAACGACAGAACCATAATTTTTGGTGCTGCAATCCCAGTGAGAACAAGTCAAATCTTAGGTGGTTTATGTCTCCGCTGGTCAGTCAATTCTTTCCGCAACATTTAGTACCATTTAGTGGTTTTCTATATCGCCGCTTCGCACGTGTAGTACGCACGTTGCTTAAATTTTGTTATTTAAAACGCTAAATTTCACAGCTCACCGATGGTTCCTAATGAGAAAAGTTTCCCCCGAGGCGGGACGATACATGCCGAAGCCAAAAATGCCGACATCACCTCGAATATCGTATGCTTACCAAGGGAAATCTCCGGAATATCTATACATTCACTTGTGTCTTGCAGGTTTTTGGTGCGTCGCAGAAAAAGGTGAAAAAGGCTCCTAAAGTAAAAGACAACCTCATCAGCGATCCAACCGAGGAGCAGAATGAGCAACTCGAGGCCTTTTCCGCAGAGTCCCTCAACTTGGACACGCTGGAGGAGGACATGCTGGTCATGGGAGTGGTCAAGGAAACGAGTACCACTGCCCTGCAGATTGCCTTGCCCGGCCGTATGTTCGCCCGCACCTTGGTGGCCGATATCTCTGAGGCCTACACCCGCGTAGTAAAGGCAGCCATGTCCGGAAACACCAGCGAGTTCTATAATCTCACCGAGCTCTTCCCGGTGGGCCGCATTGTCTACGGCAAGGCGATCAAAACAGTAAACTCTGCCAGCAATCGGTTGAACTTGTTGCTTTCCCTAAAGCCGGCCGATGTCCATAGCAATCTGCACCACAAGAGCATCAAGAAGGGATTCATCTTCTCCGGCGCCGTGGCGGAGATTCAGGAGCACGGCTACGTCATCGAAACCGGAGTGCAGGGCTTGCAGGCCTTCGTGCCCTGTGAGGAGCCAGCACAGACCCTTCGGGTTGGTCAACTCGCTTTTCTGAAAGTCAAGAAGATTCAGCACGATGAACACCAGAGCACCTGCACCTGCACTCAGGTGGAGCAGGACCAGCTACGCATCAAGAGCCAAAACGAGGCGAATCTCGACTACATTCTGCCAGGCAGCATTGTCAAGTTCAAGGTGGCCAAGCACCTGAAGGATGGTCTGAAGGGCAGCATAATGAACGAGTCCTTTAGCGCGTACGTAAACGAGCACCACCTGGCCAACGCTCTGGAAACACTGGATTCCTACGAACTGAATGAGGACTACAATGCCAGGGTGCTGTACGTGATGCCTCTGACCAAACTGGTGTACTTAACCCTCAATCTGGACATCAAATCGGAAGAAGAGGTGGCAAAGAGCCAGGAGGACGAAGAGGAACAGGAGGTGGAGCCACTCAAGGTGGGCTCCGTGGTGGAGAAGGCCAAGGTCCTGCGTCTGGGCAGCGGCGGAGTGGTGCTGCTGCTTAACAAGAAGTTTAAGGGTATCATCTCTTTCGGATCCATCAAAGCCAACTTCAAGGGTAACTACGACAAGGACGAAGTGCTGTCCAAGTACGGCCGGAAAACCAAGCACAAGGTGCGCATCTTGAGGTACGACGTCATCGAGTCCATGTACTACTGTTCCGACGCTCCGAACGTGGTCAGTGAAAGGATTTACAGTCTGGAGGACATTAACCCCGGCGACGTGGTCACCGCGAAAATGGTCAATAAGGACGACAAGATCAACGGCTGGTCGGTGAAGATTGGAAACGTTAAGGGAGTACTGGAAAAGTTGTACTTAGCACCCAATGTGCGTTACGATGTCGGCCACTTGGTGAGATGCCGGGTCCTGGAAGTGAATTCGGAGCGCAAAATCTGCTATCTTACGAATCGAAACGAGTACTTGGGCAAAGGGCTGAAGCTCCTGACCGATTATTCGGCTGCCCACGTTGGCAATGTTTATACGGGCACTGTGGTTCGTTGTGAAGATAATTATGTGCTCGTAAAGTTCGGTAGCGGCATCAAAGGAGTCCTGCACAAGCAGAATCTAAAGGAAAAGAACGCATACTTCGAGGGACAGACCGCAAAGTTCCGAATTTTGACCCGCAACAAGGACCAAATCACCTTGACTTTGCCCGAGGACAAGTTCCAGCTGGGCGAGATTTGTCCCGTTGAGGTAACCAATGTCTTGGATTCTGGGCTGGAAATTAAAATCACATTCGCTGGAGAGGATGAGGACGAGGAGGGAAATCCCAAGGTTGAGGAATTCTTGGGCCTTATTCCGCTGCGATTGCTCTCCGATCATTTGGAATTGCTGGACGCTCACAAACTGGTCAATCCCGTGGGTACCTTAACCGAGGCTGCCTGCATAATGCAGAACATCTTCAGCTTGCGCGACGTTCCCTACTTCAGTGGCGAGCTCACCAAAAACTGGCAGTCTGTCCAAGTGGGAGACATAGTTCGATCCTATGTAAAGGGCGCCACGGAACAGATTGTGGACCTCATGGTGTGCGTTCGTAACTACAACAAACCTGTTAAGGTTCATGTTAAGATGCTGCGTCTGAATGCCGTGAAAAATGCGCCCGTGGAGTTGGTTCCGGAGCAGCTGCTTCTTGTCAAAGTGCTCAGTAAGGAACCGGAAACCAAAACCCTGACGGTGTCCGCCAAATTAACCGACGTGTGGAACGGAGACCTTACTGAAACTGCAAAACTGGTCGAGAGGTAGGTCTCTCAAATCGATCCTATAGAATCTGTTCAATAATTTGCATTATTCCTTTACAGCTATTTGGATGAAGTAGCTAACATAAAGAAAGCACTGAAGAAATCATCTGCCGCCATTGCAAAATACTCCGCTGGCGATAAAATCAACGTGGTTTTTGAAGGCATCGATCCGAAGTCGAACGGATGGGTCTACAAAGTGGATGACGGGAAGAATGTGACCGCCCTGCTGCTCTCCAGTCTAGTTGGAAAGGCCGCACCTCCCGAGGCTGGCAGCAAACACGAGGCAGTCATTCTGTGGGTCGACTACTCTAGCGAAGTGCTGCTCATCAGCAACAAAAAGGTGGACATTGCGCATATCGCGCCAAGTAAGGAACTTGCCACCAATCTGGTCGGCAAAGCTGGCATGAAGGCCAAAGTGCTGCTGAAATTGGAATCCGTTGCGATTTGTTCATTGAAGAAGGGAACGAACCCGTTGGTCATCTGTCCGATTCGCTTGCACCCCAACGATGTGGAGAAGTCTGGAAGTACCGATCTACGAGAAGGCGACTTCTGTACCTTAGCATTCATCCACGACAAACTTCCAATTGCGGTGCCCGAGAATGTTTGGCGTCTCTGGAGGGGAGCCAAGAGGCCGGCAACTGGAGAAGCAGCAACGCCTGTGAAAGCCAAAAAGGCCAAATTGGAAGCACCGCCTAAAGAAAAGAAGACCATCATAGAAGAGACGTCTTCAAAAAGAAAGCTAAGACGGAAGAGAAACCTAACAAGCGAAAGGCTGAGGAGTCAGAAAAAATCACCAATGGCCAAAAAAGATTCAACCCTTGACCAATGGTGTAGTCAAGGAAAAGCCGAAACAGAATGGCAAGCTTTTTTTCGAGGATAAAACTCCAGCCAAGAATGCCAAGTCCGAAACTGCTAAAACCAGTGGAACGGAAGCCAAAGCACGGCTGCCGGGAGTTTCCAGCTTCTGGGAGAACGATGTGAGCCGGACAACGGAAGTTTCTAGCGATGAAGATGAGGAGCAAGATGCAGTCGAAAGCCAACAAAACTCAGCCAAAAAGAAACGTCTCAGCGCCAAGGAAAAGGCGAAGGCGGAGGTCAAGGAGGAGCAGCGATTACGGGAGATCGAGGAGCGCAATGCCGATCCCAAGGCACGTTTGGAGTCGATCGACCAGTACGAGCGACTGGTGGTCGCCCAGCCAAACAACAGCATACAGTGGTTGAGGTATGTCGCCTTCCTGCTGTCCAACACGGAAATTGAAAAGGCACGCGCTTTGGCACGAAGAGCCATATCAACGATTTCCTTCCGGGAAACCCAGGAGCTGAGAAACATGTGGAGTGCTCTGCTTAATATAGAACTCGTCTATGGCAACAATTTCGATGATTTGCTCAAGGAAGCTCTCAACTGCAACGATCCTTTGGAAATATACATCTGTGTCGTCGACATCCTGAAGAAAAATAAGAAAAAGGAACAACTCGCTTCCGTGCTGACCACAATCCTTAACAAGTTTAAAGCGGAGGCCAGGGTGTGGCCCATCGCCGCTGACGCATATTTCTGGCTGGGCAAGTCTGACCAAGTCCACAATCTTCTCCAGCGGGCTCTTCGAGGATTGCCGAAACAAGAGCGTAAGTTTTTCAACCAGCTTAACAATTGAAATTTTGTTTGATAATTAAAATATCCTTACAGATATAAACTGCATTGTGGCGTTTGCCAAGCTGTATGCAAATAACGATCATAGTGACATGGCACAGACCTTGCTGGACGATGTGGTCACCTCCTATCCCAAGCGAATCGACATTTGGTCGGTATATGTTGACATGTTAATCAAATCAAACTTAATAGATTCTGCGAGGTAAGTTTCGACTTGTTTTTATTTTACTTGAACAAAATCTAAACGATGTCTAATTTTAGAAACGTTTTGGAGCGCGCTGCATTGCAGAAACTGAAGCCCAACAAGATGCGAGCTATCTACAAGAAGTATCTGCAGCTGGAGGAGAGCCACGGCACGGAGGCGACGGTGGCCAAAGTCAAACATCAAGCGGAGCAGTGGGTGGAGAACTACACTAAAGCGGTCAAATAGTTTCGACCCAACTCCCTTTTTCTAGTTAATAGGCTAGGATTAACGGCAATGAGTTACATGCAGTTTTTTTTCATGATACTTTATTCTAAAACTATTTTAAATGAAGTGTGATTCCGTGTGCTACCTTTTAAATATATATGTATGATAGTACCTATATATTATAGAAATACATATAAAACGTTGCTCTGGCCTTGCCCCCTACACACAGGATGTAGGGTGGTGTATGCCAATAAACAACTTAAGACTTGAACAATAATCAAACGTATTCTGCCACTGTGTATGATGGATATGGGTTGAACACACCATACTTAAGCCTAGGGATGTGACGGATCGGGGTGGGTGGGTTAATTTTGGGGTTTTGGGAGGGTAGCCTTGACTGGACAATGACCGTGACGGTGACACTGACAGTTACAACGACAAGTTATGTGATACTCTTACATATTAATCAATAATAAGAAATAAGACGCTAGCAAATGTTACAATTGTTTTTGTTGGTTTAGCAATTAGATTTAATTTATACATAAAACAGTCTGCGGTCACTCCTTGAAGATGCCGCGCGCCTTGGCAGACGGTTTGCGCACTCTGCCCCGGCTGCTCACGGTCACCCGATGCTCGTCCGAGTCCACTGAGCTGCCCTCGTCGTCATCCTCCGCTTGGTATCGCTCGGTGGACGGCTGGGATCGCTCCTGCGAGCTGGCATGGGCATCGCCGTTCCGGATTCGTTTACTTCGATGGGAGTAACCAGCCGCCGCCTCCTCCTCTTCAGACTGCTCGTTGTATCGCGGTCTTTTTTGATTCCGACCGGCCCGCTGGCTCCCGCTTCGATTGCTCCGACGATTTCGTGGTTCCACATAGTCGTCGTCATCGTCGTTGTCGTTGACAAAGGAGTTATTCGATGGCGGGCGGCGAGTGCGTCGCAGCGGACGCTCCTGCGTTGTCGCCGAGGAGGAGGAGGTTTTCGCCTTGCGCCGCGTGCGTCCATTGTTGGGTGAAACATAGCTGGTCAGTGGCTGATTGTCTTCCGAGTCGGAGTCCTCTTCCTCTTCGTAACTCTGAGAACTGGAGCCGCCGTCGGTTCCCTCATCCGAGGCAGCCGCCTCCTCTTCCTCGTGGTCCTCGTCGTGCGAATTTGCCTGACTGACGCGTCCACGCAGACGTCTTGTAACCACATGGCGGGCAGTATTGCTGTTGCTATTCGTGGTAGAGGTGGGTCGCCGGTGATTGGCTATGGCTGAGAGCAGACGCGAGTTCTCTAGGACATCCAAACTGGTGTCCAGCTCGTCGGCATTTCTTTGATGGCGAGAAAGAATGCGTCTTGGTGCCCTCGATGAGTTAACATTGCCCAGGTAGTTGTGGTCATGCGTGGACACCGCCGGCCGCTGTTCTCCCCGGGAGCCAGCTGCCGATGACGTCGTGGTAGAGGTGGCGTGTGAACGGGTCATATGTGTGTTCCGTTCCGGCGGCGAGGCCAAACGACGACGCAGGCTGAGCGGATGAGGAGCTGCTTGGGTCGTTGAGCTTGATTTTGCAGGTGATTGGTAGTTTTCTACAGGGAAAAAGTTAATGATTGACTTTTTATAATAAGTAATTAGGCTTTAACTCACTTTGCTGATTGTTGGCCAGCGGCTCATTGTCGCTGTCATCGTCGTCATCGTCACTTTGGGCTGGGCGGACCACGGTGTTGCGGTTCGTACGCAGCTGACGGACAGGACCAGCTGCGGCCTGAGCCAAAGCGGCTCGGCTAGTAGAGGGCACGTCGTCCTTCGTTGGCGTGGGTAGGATCTAAGTGAAAAAATTGAATGTTTTACAAAGTTTTTAAACTGATCGAAGGACTACTTACCTCCTCGGCTTCTTCGCTTTCCTCCTCATCCTCCTCCTCCTCTTCTTCTTCCTCGATGTCACTGCCGCGTCCCCAAACCATTAGCGCCCGTTTGGTGCTTTGGCGCGTAGGTCTGATGACGGGAGAGTCTGTATCGGATTCGATGATGCGCCCATTGCGCACTGGCAGGTGATAGCTGTGGTCATTTTCCGCCGCAAGATGGGACGAGGTGCGACTACCATTCGCCCGAGTGTTCCTCGATGGGCTCTGCAGGCTGGAGTTGGCAGCTGCGGCACTAGTGCTGGGTCCATTTCCGATGGCCTGGGACCTGCCACCCGCCGAACGGCCTTTCCGACGGCCCACTTGGCTGTCCTGGGTGCTCTCGTCGTGCTGCGAGTGGGAGGCCGCTTCCTCGGCGGAACTGCCCACCATGCGACGTGTTCGACGGGGCGAACCTGCTGCAGCAGTCGCATTGGCAGGACTCTGGTTCATTCTTCTCCGTTTGCTAGAATGGCCGTTTTCTGCCGCTGGCTAGATTGACGTTTGCCCCCCGATCTTCGACTGCCGCGTCCCTCGTTGGGATTGTAGCTATCCTCGGAATCGTTGCCATTGGAGTCGTCGCTCAGACGTTGCCTCTGCCTGGCTCGGCGCGTGCGTGTCTGCTGGGGCGAACTGTCGTTGGACTGCGCTCTCTCCTCCTCATCGCTGCTGGCATCCGACGTGGCTTGCGCACTGGTCTCCTCCTCCTCTTCCTCTTCGCTGCTGCTGCTCTTAATGCGTCGCTGCTGGGCGGTCGATGATGAGGTCACGCGGTTCGAGCCAGAAGAACTAGCACTTACGGCCACACCGTTCCGACGACGGGATCGAACTCTTGTTGCTGCCGCCTCCTCGTCATCATCATCGTCGTCGTCATCATCCTCCTCCTCTTCGTCTTCTTCCTCGCTTGAGTTGGCAAGTGGCAATCTTCTGGCAGCTGCCGTTGGTTTTTGATTGCGACGCGTAGACCGCTCCTTATTCGTTCGCTTGTTGGGACTGCTACTCGAACCACCGCGTCCTCCGCCGCCACTACTTCCCGATTTGTTTTTATTTGCCCGCCTGCAAGCCGCCTTCCAGCTGGTGACCACCGTTTTAATATGCGACTCAAATAGCGCACTCAATCGCAAGGTCATGGAGTAAATCTGAAAAAATAAGTGGAAACAAACATTATTTTTTATAAACTTAATTTTTGATCAGTTAAATGTGTTAGTACCCCGAGCTGGGATATGGAAAACCTTACCGCTAGATTATCCTACATTAGATGATAGTCACGGAGATCGTCATTCATTAGTTCATTAGTCATTATATCAAAATGATTTATGGGTTATATTTTTTATTCGATTGGTTTTTTGTTTTTTACATTTTTAATGGTCATGAGTTGGGGTGGTTAATTTGAAGATATCGAGATTGAAGGCATGTTCACGAAAGGCAAAAGAAACGTAAAGAACAGATGGATGAGCTTGCATATGTGTCTAGGTGAGTGAGTGTGGGATGGGAGGGTAGTAACATAAACCGAAAAGGCAACAGCTGAGAGAGAGGGTTAATCTCAGTCTGGGAATGCAATAAATGACGATCTGCAACCGATCTGCCAATCTGCTTTCCACTCACCCTCGAGCGCTTGTTGGTGTTGTAGTTCTTTGAATTTTGAAAAATCAGTCGCACATCCTTGGCAAAGTCCAACGGATCGTCATAGTTGCCGCCCAGCAGATCCTCCTTCACAGTGCGCAAATCCATGGGCGTGGCAATGATTTCCAGGTAGTCGGGAAAGTCAATCGTGTCCACGGGCTCCCTGAACGGTACGGAATCCGTTCGTGCCCACATTAAATCCAGTAGTTGTCGGCAGTCGGCACGCCAGTCTCCTTCTGAGTGAATTCGAGTGGAGCTAAAAAATAGTATTTTTTAGTTAGTAAAATTAATTACATAAAGGGAAACATCTAATCAAGAATCATAACAAAACAATCTACAATTGATCTTACCGTCGTGCGGAAGCAACTCTTTGCCTGGCTGCTGCCGCAGCTGCCGAGGTCGTTGGTCCGGTGCTGGTCGATGGCACAACATCCGAGTCCGCCTCGTTTTCCGACTCGGACGAGTGGTACACATCTGCCAGCTGATGATAAACAGCAGCCACGTCTATTTCATCCGGCTCCCTATAAAATAATTTATTAAAGATAAATTCACAAACAACTAATAATCAGTATTCTCACCTGATGATCCTCAAACAAAGATCAGTGACAATCCGCGAATGCTTGACGATGATTGCATGCCGGCGGTTGTACTGCTCCGCATTGGTGGCCAAGTAGCGCACATCGAACTGGGCTGAGGTGATGCGTCGGTAGAAATGATTCTCAAAGCGCGACTTGACCGTGGTCAGATCGATGGGATACTCGATCAAGTAGGCATAGTCTGGATAAATGTTGAGGTCGACGGGCGCGAGGAAGTGCTCCGCTATTGACAGACGCATTACCTGGAATATAATCAATAATATTAATGAGATGCACATTATTCAATTTTTAATTTATTTACCTGTTCCAGTCCATTGATTATGCGCCTGCAAGTGCCATCCCGATCGCCGCGATGCCATTCTTCCGACTTGGGCTGGTACAGTGTGGCGCGTATCTCCTCCGGCAGCACAGGAACAGCACCGCCCACCTCATCCGGCACTCGTTGCTGGTCGATGGGCTCCATGTCCCAGGGACTCATGAACTCGTACTCGCCGTTGTCCCAACGCACGCGGAAGCACATGAACGACGAATCGGGAAAATCGGCGGAGAGGGCGTGGCGGGATTCGATCTGACCCATCCACCAGCCGTCGACAATCATGCAGCGGAACCTATCACCAATACTCCAGTTGCGCTGCACGGCAAGATCGAAGGTCTGGCGCAACACGAGAAAGTCCAGGACATCCGGCATGTCGTGGTACTTGATCTTGAACGTCGTCCCCGTCATGTTGCCCTCCTCATCGATGATGGCCAGCTTCAAGCAGCACAGCCGAGGTGGTCGGATCTCGTACTTGATTCCAATCACTCGAACCAACTCATGATCGCGCAGGGTGTGGAAGTTCCAGGGCTCCGAGCTGTGCGATAGCTTGTACACCTTCTTCAGGCGCACTGCATCCAAGTACTTGGCGTGTCCCTGGCGGAAGTAAACCACCTCGTCACCCATTTGCGGATAGTAGGGTGCCTTCCGTGGAATTACCTCCGACAACCATTCTGCAGGACGATATAGTTCCGGAATCTCGCCATTAGCATCTGTGGGCGGGATCAAAACGGTTTTACGTCCCACCTTTCGGGCCGTAACCTGACCACCTCTAGCTCTGCCTCCCGCTCTTTCGTCGTCGCTGCTATCATCGCTACTTCCAGGGCGCCGGGAGAGCGGTTTGCGTTTTGAGCGCTTCGGTGGCTCCAGATTCGGTCCGGGCGTATCAGCCACCCAGTCCGAATAGTCGGAGCTGTCCGTTTCCGATTCGTCGCTGCTGTCCTCCAAGTTCTCTTCCACATTCGAGTAGCTGGTGTCGCCGGACGAGTTGCTGGACACATCGTCCTCCTCTTCCTCGGGTGGCGGTGCCACTTCGTCAAAGCGCTCTGGCTCCTGATCCCGCACAGCACGTGTGCGATATGCCGGTTGCTGCTGCTGTTGTCCCGCTGCAGGTTGTGCGCCACGGCGTCTTCCACCAACTCTGGCACCGCCTCCATTGGCACGCGTGTTCCTCGGCCTGCCCACACTGCCCGGCTGCTGCGACGAAGCCGCACTGGCCGTGTTGATCATGATGGGTCGGCGTCGCATCTCGCGTTTGTACTCCTGCTTCTCAAACTGGCCTGCAGCGTAGATGGTCTGCTTGAGGTTCTGCAACTGGGGGTATTTCATGGGACGCACGTAGGTGCGACGGATGAACTTAAGTGGGAGAGCCTGCTGTGGCTGGCCAAGAGCTGCTGCCGCATCTGCTGGCCGTTGAGAAGGTCCTGGTTGCTCCTCAGCCGGCGGAGCAGCTGCCGCTCCCCATCCTTGTCGAGGCGTGCTCAGACGACTGCCCAGGACATTGCCACGTGAGGATTGTCTGCCATTTGAGTCAGGCAATTGACGATTGGTCAAACGCTCAAAAGACTGATTCGCATTGCTCGGATTGGCATCGTTGGCATTGGCATTTCCCGACTGTCGATTGGCCAGGGCTGCAATCATGCGGTCTATATGGGAGTAGTTCGCTCCCACTGCTCCTCCTGCAGCTCCTGGGGCGACTCCTGCCGGTGGGGCCTCAGCAGGAGCAGCAGGCACGGCAACATCACCACCTGCCCCTAAATCATCGATGAATACGCCATCCACTCCCACGGTAAGATTCGGAACCAATTGGTCTAAGCTACAGCTTTCCCGACCTGGAACAAAGCGTTGATACTTGGTTGGATGCGGGTTGCCATCTGCATCGACCAGAAAAGGCGGCGGCATCAGGTGGGGCATGATCTGCGTCTGCTCATCCACCACATGATGGTGGGCATCACGCACCAATGGTCGGAAATCCGTGTGAAAGAACAGCTCCGTGGGCAACTGATGTGGATATACATATTTATAGAACTGTCCCATATTGCAATTCGTTTTCAAAGCACTTACCATTTTGTATTTGTCAATGCAGACTCCCAGACCAAAGATCAAGATGTGTCCATGTGAATCGGTGGCAGCTATCATCGTGCCATCCGGAGACCACTTCGCGTCGAACACACTGCCATGTCCCTGGCCATCGATGTCGTTCAGGAAGTTGGCCACATAAACGCCCTGTTCAATGTCCCACAGGAACACCTGACCATCGTGTCCGGCGGAGAGCAGCACGTGCTCATCTCTAGGATTCGACTCAAGCACATACAGTTCATCCTTGTGGCCACGCAGAACACGATGCAGCTTGGCTGATTTCGAGTCCCATATTTTTATCTGAGTTTTGGATGAGATTATCAGTTATTAGTGGAGGTTTAGGACGAAGTTTCAGGATACTTACAGTAAAATCGTTGACGGCGGTGATAACGTAACGATCAGAGGCATCCCAAGCCACCATGGTGACCTTTAGCCTCTTCCCCTCTTCCGGTTCCGGACAGCTGAAATAAAGGTATACGTTTGTTAAATTTTTGATGCAAGTATTTATGAACCCGTGACTCACCTGGGTAGACGCTCCGTCATGCACAGCTTGACGCTCTTCCACTGCTGCGACTCAAATGTCCAGATGTGAGCAGTACCATCCTTACTGCCCGAGATAAACCTTAGCCCACGATGAGACCACTGCACCGAGTCCACGGCATCCGTGTATGCCTCCGTTTCCAAGATTCTCTTCGGTCCATCCTCGCCCATCATGTAGACTCGCACATGGTGATCGGCGGATCCGGCGGCCAAGAAAATACCGCCCGGCGAGAAGGTGGTACACATCATCTGGGCTTGTCCAGGCCTTAGTTTCTCGTGGTACTGCGTTGGCTTTGGGGCAAACGTTATCTTTTGGCCGCGCGGCGTCGAGTACTGCCAAAAGGCAATCGATCCATCCGTACTTGTGGTCACCAGATACTTGAGATCGCTGCGTGGCGACGGGCAAAAGTTCACCGACGTTATCATGCCCGTGTGGGCGGACAGAACGGCGATGGGCGAGGTGGTCTGCATGTCCCACACCCTAAGAATGTGATCCAGCGACCCGGCAGCTAGCATTGTATTGTCTAAGTTAATGGCTATGTCCGTAATCTCGGAGGAGGCGCCGCGCAGAGTGGCCAGAAGGCGTCCATCTGCCGCTGACCAGATCTTGATGAGCAAATCATCGGCTCCGGTGATGATGTAGCGGCCTGTGCGGTCGAAGAGTACGCAGTAAACCGAGGAAAGGTGACCCACGGTGCGACGGAGCAGCTTCGTCCGACGGTACAGATCCGTGGGCACGAGCAGCTTGCGACGCACATCTCCGCCATGTTCCCGACCAGTAAGAACGCGATCTGCAGAAATAAAAATGATTATGAATAAGCTTTATTCATCCAGGCTAGATTTCCTTTCTTTTTTTTTCAGTTCCTTCTTTAATAGACTAGAAAATACATAAATACTCACCTAAGTTGTGTGTGGGCTTAGTAAGGCTAGAATCCGGCAGCGACACCCCATGGAGGCGGGTGCAATAGTCCTTCAGGGAGCGGTGGCAGTAGTAGGTGTCCTTGGTACGCAGGAGGTTCTGCCGTCCTGTGCCCAGGAGCGAGTTGATGCCTGGAATACTAGACGGCAACTCACGGTCCACCAGCGGACCCAGGCGTGAGCATATTTCGAGCAGATGGTTGGCGCCAATGTGCTTGTACTTTCGTTCCTGTAGGTTTAAATTCAAAATTTAACGTCTTTTTATCGATAACAAGAGCGATAAGTCGAGTTTTGTATCGTTGTCTCGCTTTCGCGCCCGCAATTCAAGGCAAAGTGGTGGCTACTGGTGGTCATGTGTGCGCAGGGGCATGTATAAGTGTGCGAAAGCAAAATGTCGGCTGGCTGCAATTTATTGTTATAACTAAAATTACAACGCATTTGTTTAAAAATTATAGTTTTTCAAAAATTTCTTGTTTTTCGGGAGTTTGGGCATTTTTACTATCACCTTTTAGGTTCTTTTAAATTTATATATTTTTTTGTTTAAAAAGATAATAAGATTTATCGTTTTAGTTATTTTAGTTGCAAAATGATTGATGTCTTTAGTTTTAATGTTTTTGTAAAAGCAAATAACTAATTTTTGACGAGCAACTTTTTTCTCTATCCCCTGACCCGGTGACGTCACAAAGGCGCAAACACGAACGAGACGGAAGAACCAAGCAGCACACAAACACATTACACTTATGCAAGACTTGTGCCGATCAAAAGGCATCAAACGATAACTTTAACTAGTTAATTGACTAATTGCAAAAAGACTTACCAATTCCTCAAAGGTCTGTGCATGCTCGTTTCCCTGCCAATCGAGGCGACGCGGCAAAACCTGGGGATTGGAATGGGAACATTCATATAGGTATAGAGGGCAATATATATGACTGGCTGTTATCACTTGCACTCCGTGACGTCGTCGATGACGTAGCGGGGCATCCCTATGTTTTTAGTGTTTTTGTTGTTTTCTCTTTTTGGACGGACTATATCCCGTGGCCCCAGCAAACCCACAATTCAGTCTGATTTTCAACTCTGAGACACGCGGACGTATATATTGTGGGCTTTGTCGTCACTCGCTGCCGGCAGCAGAAACAACAACAACGACAAAACCAAAACAAAGCGTATAAACAAACGCGGTTTTCTTTTTTTAATCAAGTCCAGAACATATCCCACAACGAAAAATGCCCAACAAAAACTCACCTTCTTCTCCTCGAGTTCCCGGATTAGGACCTAAACGCATGGATGGGGGGATTGAACCAAAAATTAGTTAAATGTTTGTAAACAAAGCTGTGGGTCGCGAAATTGCGCTCTTTTTCGTTCCCCCGATTTTGTTGCGATCTCGAGAGCGTCGCTGGTTTTTAACCCACCTTTGCCGTTTCCTCCAGAGGCCCCGCAGCCAGAAACTTGGAGATGAGGAAGTACAGCTCTGTAAGATAGGGAATTTTACACGGGTTTTAGTGCAACAAGTTGCTGGTAATATATCTGCGGATATATCTGGCCAAAGGCGCTGTGCATTCACTCGGCCAAACGCAGTCGAACAAAAAAAACGCAGCCATTCGATTCGAAGGGCGAAACACAGACACACATTTCGAGAGCAGCGGGCCAAAAGGGGCTGCCTTTCGACGGCTTATTTCACACACTTGCTACGACCCCGGGCTGTACGCACCTGGTTTTATCTCATCACCGGAACTGGGCTGTCTAGTTTCCATTATTCATTGCGAATTGCAGCTACGATTATGACAAAATTGCATTTGCTTTCTTCTAAAATTCTTTTCGCTGCTTCTTCTTCCCGTGTGACACTGAATTGCCATTCGCCCCGAGCATTTGCGCAGGCGTATCGATAGTTGGAGCGGGGTTCGCAGGCGGACTATCGATTGCAGTTCGGGTTTGCAGTCGGGAAATTGAGCATTTGAATTTCGAAGCAGCAAAAAGGGAAATTTCAAAGCCTTTTAGGATCATTACTTCATACTGGGTTAATGTTTTTAACTTTGTAAGTGGAATTAGTAAAGTTTCATAGTTCCATATAAATTGGTAATTGAAAAAATTAAACAAAATGCATCAATAAGTATGGTTTGCCGGGGAGTCTTTTGTTTGATTACGAGCAGGAACCAAATGATACTGTTCTGTTTTGTATTTCCAATTTGTTAAATTTTTTGATATATAATTTCTTGATTTTCTTATAAGTTTAGCGAATTCGGTTCAGATGGCAAACGTTCAAATACCTTAACTATTTAAATTTGGCCAACAGTATCGATAACTTATATGTTTTTTTGTTTGGGGAATGTCAAGCGTTTTTTTTAATTATATGACTTTATTTTAGCTATAAAGTTTACTGAACTTCCACAACACGTGTTTCTTTTATATTTAACACAGTTTCTTAATTTGGATTTCCGATTAATAAAATAAGCAATGCTTTTAAGACAAGTATAAGCACCAATAAGAACGCCCCTAATGCCGACTGCACACCTCTAGTTCTGGATATCGGAGCAGCTGCGATAATTATTTTTGGGGAGATTTTGCTATTTTCTCATGTAATGTAACAAAAATTACAAGCAGCTACGAAATAGACGTCAACAAATAAATGACCCCGGAAACCGACCACTGGAACGGATAAAGAACTAACCGAACATGGAGTGCAATCTGGGCAGCGAGATTGGACAGAAGATGCGCGTAAGTGACTGTGGAAAATCAATGAACTCGTAATGCCATTTGAATAAAATACACCAAAAATAAATACTTTTATTACCCCTTAAATAGAGCGCCGTTAAGGCTAAGTTGCTAGAACTGGGAACCGGAGGGTCTGCCGGTTTTATAGACGACGAGCTGCCGGACTACGTGATGGTCATGGTGGCAAACAAGCGCACCAAACAGCAGATGAACGCCGAGCTAAATCTCTTTCTGGGCGACCAAACGGACCTCTTCGTTACCTGGCTGCACGAGGTGCTGCAAAAGCTCCAGGAGGTCACACTGCCTACATCTAGTGGTAAAGGGATATCTTTTGCTCGTAAACAATCCTACTAATAAACGTATTTTTTAAGCTTCCAGCAAGAGGCGGAAGTCGCGTGGCCAAGGAGAAGCTGTCAAGCCCAAGGAGAAGGACAAAAAGGGCTCCAAAAAGGACAAAAGGCAGCAGCGAAAGTCCGGCGATGAGTTGTCGGAGCCACAGTCCAGTTCCGCGGATGCCATGCCTGTCATCACCTCTATCACCGCTGTTTTCGCAGAAGAACTGCTCGAGAAGGCCAAGAAAACGATGGACATCGATCTAAATGCCAAAAACGAGATACTGCACAAAAAGAAGAATCGTAAGTCTATCGAAGATGAGGAGGCGTCGGTCGCCAAAGACTTGAACTTGCCGGGCGAGATAAGTTCAACCACCAGCGGGACCAATCGCCAAAAGGACCTTGCTGAGCTGGCCGAGATTCAGAAGAAAATTCACGCAGCCAAGAAGCATTTACGCCAGATTGGCGAAATCGGCGACGACAGCGATGAAGACGACGAGGACCTTTTGAACTTAAGTGCCCAGGAAGAGTCGGTGGATCAGGAACCCGAGGAGGAGCCGCCGCAAGCCGAAGCGCCACCACGCAAGGCCAAGAGTCCCATTATTTTTAACAGACGGGAGAGGACACCCGAAAAGCGCCCGGAAGATGAACCGCAGGTTGATTCTCGCCGTGAGGCTGTGGCTGCGGAAGAGGAGGAGCAGCATCATCACGAGCCTGAGCATGCGGCTGAAAAGCCTAAGGAAGACCGTTCTGAACGGCGATCTGTGCACGATCGTCTCGGTTTAAAGGCACAACAGCCGCCAGAGCGATCGCAGCGCAACCAAAAGGAGCTCTATGTGCCAGCACATCGGCGCCGGAATGAGCCTGAAGGCGGCAAGGAGCGTAGTCAGCGGGAACGCTCTCGGGAGCGACGCTCCAGCCGGGATACCTCGCGGGATACTAACCGTAATCACCGCCAACGTCGCTCCCCCAGTCCAGAGGCCCCCAGTTCAAAGCAACGCATTGGTTCCCGGGTAATTGTGGCAGTAAACAAGCCACCAGAGCCGTCAGACGATGAGGATTTGGCCGATAAGCCGGTGAACTCGGTGATCAAAATAAAGCCCCGGCCTCAGGTTTCTCCCAGGCGGCAGGCATGCAAGAACCTCCTTTTGCGAGCTGTGGCCGATGCCCAGCGCTCCACCATCCTGGCCAAGACTTCCTCGAAGAAGGAAACCGAGGAGGTGGCGAAGATTAGCAGCAGTTCGCTGGGCAAGCGCAAATCGCAGGATAAGAGCGAGGGAGTACGAGATCGCGATCGTGAGAGGGAGCGAGGCAAACGGAGTGCACCTGGCAACGAACTCTTCCGGCGAACCACTCGGGAATTGGTGGTGAATGTGACGCAGCGGGACGGCAAGCGTTCGCGTCGATCCAACGAAAGTCGGGCCGAGATAAAAGTCGTGGAGGAGGAATATACGCCTAGTTTGATGACTGAAGAGCTCGAACCGTATGTGCCGCAACTGCTGACCAATGTGGATGAATTGGACTTGCACATTAGTTCGCACGACGAGCCAAGTCCCAGTTCTGGAGCGCCCAAGACTCAGTTTGTGGTCACCTTGAACGGCGATAAAGCTCTGGGTGGAAACAACGGCAAGGGAGTTTCGTATCGCAAGCGACCGAGCAACTCGCGCCGGCGCTCCTCCTCACCAGTGTCCACGCCACAAGTGTCCTCCTCCAGTGCCGAGCCCACGTCGACGACGGCGGACAAGCGACGCCGATCGAATCGGGACAGGAGCTTCTCGCCCTCGCCCACACAGAACAGCAGATCGCCTTCCCTGCAGACGTCACGCAGTCTCAACCGCAATGAGGTTCTCCGGCAGCCGCAGGAGATCAAGAAGATCATTATTAAACCCGACACGGATGAGGATGACGAAATGCACGGTTTACAGAAGAAGCGCTCCCCAAGTAAGCGTCAACCAGTAGCGGCAGCAGCCACAAACTCGGCCAACGGCCTCAAAGACAATAAGGCTAAAGCTCCGATCGAAGATCGCTCCACCACTCCGCCTCTTCCGGCGAAGTCAAAGCCGCGGGCGGAAAGGAGGGCTTCCAGCAAGGATAAAACCACAAGATCCACTTCTGAAGGGGAGTCGGCGCCGGCTCCTTCCGGTGCCGGCGCTCCATCTTCTACAGCTACCAAAGCCAAGCACACGCCCATTCGCTTCACACTTAAAAACGAGGATGAGTCGAGTTCGAATAAGAAACGTCACTCCGGCAGCCCCGAACGCGATGCAGTGGCTCCGGAGAAACGCAGAGTTCCCATACGCAGTGCGGAGGACCGGAAGTACGACAACCTGCCGGCATGTAAGTTCAGTCTTGGGATTTGTTCCAACTTAAATATACAATAATACCTTTTGTTTTAGTGAGCGCCGTTAGCGTGGATTCTACTGTACTGAAGGTGAACAAGCCCAAGGAACGCTGCAAGTACCATCCGAACTGCACAAAACAGTTCTGCGAATACTACCACCCCACGGCGCCCTGCAAGTCGTTCCCGAACTGCAAGTTCGCAGACAAGTGCATGTACTCGCATCCCAAGTGCAAGTTCGACATGGCATGCATGAGCGTCGACTGCAATTACGCTCACAGTGGTCAAAGGGATCTTAGCCATGTGCAGCTTGCGGCGCCACCACTATGTAAGTTTTAATATTGACAAAGATCTTTTGTGTATCTTATAACTGGTATATTAATAAATTATTTTCTACTCGACAGCTTCTCACGTCATACCAGTTCAAAACTACAAGTCGATTTCGGCACCTGTGACCTCCACAACAGCCACTACGATGTGCAAGTACTATCCCAACTGCTCAAAGCTGGGCTGCACCTTCTATCACCCGAAGCCCTGCCGATTTGGCAAGAACTGCGTGAACAAGCTGGAGTGCATCTTCTACCATCCGGAGATGCAGAGCAAATTCAAATGGGTGGCTTCATTGGGTTGAAAGAACAGCCGAATACAAAATCACAATTCGCGTTAAAACGATATTTAGCTAATGTACTCTGGACTCCCGGCCATCGGCAACTATTCGATACCCCTCTTTTTCAATTGGATATTAAGGCGAGATTGGAGTTGTTTTTTTTATCTTTCTATATACACGGTGTTGTATAACTATTTAAACTTGATTATTATTTGCATTCATCCTATTGCTTATATTTAATAAATTTTATATTAGTCATTAGCGGCTCTCTCACTGAAATGATAAACAAAACTAAAGTTTGTTGCTCATGCGGATTTGTTTGCATTCAAACCATTAAGTACACGTCATGCTTAAGTTGACGAATAAATTTAGCAATAGTTGCTACAAATTGGAAAAAAGAAAGCATTTATTTCATTTATGTTTACTGTGGAAATAAATAGACTATCAGTTGGAAAAAAGTCGAAATATTTAATATTTATTATATAGTACAGTCTCTTAAGTTTACGCTTAGAAATTCTAGAGCAAAATATGTCTTTCATTTGATTTACTTAATATATAGTTTCTCATGTTCATTCTGGTTGTCATTGCTTTTCGTTACAATCATTTTTTTGTTATAAGGCCACATTTACTGATATATATACTCGCGTATATATAGGCATATAGGATTTTCAGTTTTCTTTTTTGATTACGGTTTTAGCTCAGCTAATTTTGTTTGAGAAACGGCAAACAAATCTATTTACAAAAATACTCGTACAATACATTTGAAGGGCTTCCGTGCGGAATGTAAATGGGGGAATCGGTGTCAGAGCTCAACTTTGTTCGCAGCTTTAGGATTACATATACGAGAAATCGAATACTGAATCTAAACTATCGGAACGTAACTACATAACGACTATAGGGCGATACGTCTGTCATCTAAATAACTAGAATAAATAGACAACGGCATTATTAACTAACTAAAGCGTAGGCAGAGGGAATCGAGGGATCGAGGGCGAGTCGAGGTGGAAGCCTGGCTGCTGCTGCTGCTGCTACTCTTGCTGCTATTGCTTTGAGCACCTTAAGATATGGACCGTAACTAGGGGCGAACTTAGTACAAAACATTGCGTTTCTCCTACATCTAGGTGTATATGGGCGGATTTAAAAATATCTCTTGTTTGCTTTGCTAATTCGTCGCTCATGCTCAAAACTTCAAAACTAAATGAGTCGCTCTTCCGGCGGTGGCTTCAGCACGTTGTCCATTTCCAGCCTCGGGTTGCAGTACTCCTGGGCACTGGGGCTGTAGGTGCCCCTGGTGGCCCGCTTGTTCCTGGCCATCACCAGGAAGGTGCCCAGCAGGGCTCCCGCGATGAGCAGCAGCACCACCACAACGGGTATAACAATAATCGCGATATCCGTCGTCGAGGGTCCATCCTCCTTAGCCGTGATCTTAAAAAATGCATACAAAAATAATTTGATTTTAGAAAATTTTAAATGGTTTTAAAACTCATAAAGACAAGTTGCCTTAAACATTAGGAAAAATAGTCGCCCAAACACAAAGTTTATAGTTGAAAAAAGTTTGCCTAAAAAGGGTTCAATTTTTTTAAACTAGTTTCTCAGCTATTACATATTTCATTGATTATAAATTGTTTTTATAAAAAAGCTATCAGCCATTACTCTCACAATTATACGTTCAAATACTACAAAATATATAGATTTTACAATATCTAATAAAGTTTTTACCCTGACAAAAGCTGTAATTTTTTTAAGCCTTTTCCAAGTGTTTTTATGTAATTTAATTGTCAACTCACCGGTGCCGTGCAGTTCTTTCCCGCGAATCCTTCGGGACACTCGCAATAGTAGTCCGGCTTGGCGCCGCAAGACTCCACACAGCGACCACCGTTGGCACAGATCTCCGTGCCGTTGCAGGGATCCGTGAAGTTGCAGTAGGCTCCGCAATAGGGCTTCTGGCAGATGCACTGGAAGGAGCCGCGCTTGTTGAAGCATCGACCCAATCCGCCGCAGTATTCGCCTTCTATGCTGCACTCGTCGATGTCGTTCTCACAGCGAAGGCCCTCGAATCCGGTGCCCTGGCAGTCACACTCGTACCTGCCTACCAGATCCCGGCACTTGCCTTCATTTTGGCAGGGATTCGACTCGCACTCATTGATGTCCTGCTCGCACAGGCGACCCGTGTAACCCAAACTGCACTTGCACATGGGAGTCTGAAGGGAGGAATATGTAGAGCTTAGTAAATAATTCATGGGGTATTCCTTTTAAAAATACTTACCAGTCCAGTGGTCAAGCAGAGTCCTCCATTGTCACACGGCGTCAGTTCACAGAAGGGAATATCGCACAAAGGACCCTCGAAACCCGGCACGCAGGTGCAGGTGAAATTATTGCCAGTTGAGGCATCTTTAAGAAAAGATTTGGTTAGTTAATAAAGATCATTTTGGATTTGAATATATTTATGATACTCACTAAATCCATTCTGGCAGGTGGATCCATTGCGGCAGGGTTCGTTTTCGCAGGTCATCTGCTTGAGCTGATCACACTGCGGACCCGTGTAGTCCTCCGGACAATCGCACAGATACGCCGCAATCAGATCCGTGCAGTTGCCTCCATTGTGGCACGGCTGATCCGCACACTCGTCGATGTTCTGCTCGCAGTGCTGACCCTCGAATCCCGGCAGGCATTGGCAGTAGAAGGCGGCCACCTGGTTGATGCAGGTACCATTGTTCAGGCACTCCGTATTCAGGCACTCATCGATGTCCGTGCCGCAGTCGTCGCCCTCGAATCCTGCCTGGCAGGTGCAGGCGTACTCATCCGACGGCGCCTGGCAGAAGCCATCATTCTTGCAGTCCGACTGGAAGCACAGGATGCATCCCTCCTCCGGACGCGTTGTGTTCAAACGGAACTGGGCCAGCAAATGCACGGAAACGTTTTCGGTGGGCGGATACAGCTCCGCATTGGTGAAGTACGGCAGCAGGAGATCACCTACTCGCGCCTCGCCCACACAGCCCTTGAACTGGGATCCCTGCTGGGCGGACAGAGTGGATCCGCGTGCTAGCCGAGATTCCGGCATACCACCCAGATACACCTGCGTACTGGTGGCGATCAGGGACTGGAACACCGCTTGGTCAATGTCCGTGGAGAAGGCCGGCGCCGGATCCACCATCGATTCCCAGCCCTTCCAGCCGCCCTCCAGTTTGCCATTGTGTGCTCTCAGATAAATCCGACTCCACTCTCCATCCGTGTTTTCCTTCTCGAAGCGAGCGGATTCCCCAAAGTGCAGTGCACTTAGCTTCCAGGTGATCGTGACTCTGCCACCGTTCACGCCAATCTCAAAGAATCCGTCCACATTGTCGATGTACAGGAGAGTTCCACCGGCACGAGTGCGGAAAGCTATATCGATGACCGGTTTTAGGACCTGCTTGGGAGCAGGTTCACCCACAGTGTCCTCGGATGCGGGCTCCTGGATGTAGAAGAAGGCCAGCGGCGAGCGCTCCTGACCCGTGAACGTGGTGTTGGTCATGCACTCGTATCCCGCGTCCAGATTTTGGCATATGCTCTTGCCGGGGCACGTGACATGCTGGCAGAACTCGATCTCCTGGCAATCCTTGCCCTTGTAGCCATTGGGGCAATTGCAAATGTAATCGTTCCATGTGTTCCGGCACTCTGCATTGTGCAGGCAGGGATTCTTGCGGCACAGATCATCTGACACCTCACCGGGCAGCACGGAGGCACGATCGATGGTCACGACGCCCAGGGGTTTGGCATTCACCTGGACGTCCGTCACATTCAGCGAATACATCTCCACAATCAGATTGAGCGAGCCGTTGCTCACTTTCACGTCCTGAATGATGCCCTTGAAGTAGTCTCTGCTGTCGTCCGCCTCCTTGGGCACCGTCGTGTCCTCGATGGGCACTACTCCCGCCCCGGGTACTGGCACCGGACCCGGTTCCGTGGTGGCTCCCAGAAGGGACTCCCGCGTGGGTGCAGGTCCGCCCAAGTAGAGCACCTGTGCGTCCAGCAGACCCGTCGTCGACAGCGTCTTGCGGAAGTACTCGGTGCCATTGAGCTTGACCTGCACGAGCGTCTGGTTGCGCACCACCTCGATCAGGTGGTTGTACCCGTTGTCCAGCTTTTGGCCACCGACGGTGTACGCCTCCGGGGTGCCGCTGAACTGCATTTTCACCAGCAGCTCGCCACCATGCAGCTTGGCTGCCACATACGAGTCGCCAACATCTGAGGGGGAATAACCATGAGATTTATATAAATCTTGAATCGAAAAAAGGTTATAATTTATACTCACTTTTAGTGGGAGCCTTTCGAGGATCGGTGCCCAAATAGAAAACTTGACCAGTGGGCTCACGAGTTCGGATGAACATGGAAATGTCCAGAATAGATCGAATGGCCCGCCTGGCCACATCCGTTGTCTCCACAATGACAGCCGAGTGGGTGGTGTTCTCATGGCCGAAAGTGGCAGCAGTCATATCTAAAATAATATACTCTCTTAAGAACAGAAACCACTAAGATAAAGCTTATAGGACTCACTATGCTGACAGGTGTGTCCAAAGAAGGGTCTGGGACAATGGCAAGCAAAAGTATGCCACAGATCCGTACACTCGCCATTCGAGTGACAAGGATTCGGTTTACATTGCTCGGTGCGTGGACATCCACTTTGGACATTCTCCAACTTCGTATACGAAACATTTGCACTCTGCTCGTCGGGGAAGATCCATTTCCCGTTGACCATGATGTCCTGCATGCAACCAACAAAAGCGGAAGGCTGATGGGTGAGATGGCGCAGATAGGACTTCAGATTGGGAATGGTGCCGCCGAGGTAAGTTCGCGGGAACGAGGGCTGACTGTTGTTGGCTGTTTCGTATGATCCCACCGGGAAGATGGCCTGCTCATCGTTGGCCGAAAGCACTAAATGCGATGTGTTTATGGCCACGAATACTTTGTGCCAGTTGCTGTCGTTCAGTTTGGAACCAATGAATACGCCTTCCCATTTGTTCAGTAGCGATGAGTGCAGATTCAGGCGTCCGTTTATCAGCTCTAGGATATAGCTAACCGGTTCATTCTTCTCGCCAGTGGTTCCAAAGGCCAGTACTCCATTCGGCAGAGTAGTTCGGAATTGCAGATTGATGTCGTAGCCCTCCTCGCGTTCCGTGGTAACCGAAATCAAGCTGGTGGCCACCATGGATAAGGTGGTAGTCTTCTCGCATTTGTCGCCTTGGAAACCATTTTCACAGGTGCAATTGTAGAGATGGGTTACCTCGTTGATCAAGTACGGCAGGCAGGTGCCGCCATTTAAACACGGCTGCAGAAGAGAATTAAGATTAGAAAAATTTGTGTTATTTATGGGGGTTTACTTTATGGGGTCTGACTGAAATTATAATATCTTCTGCAAGGGTATAACTAAATCATTGACTTACATTTTCGTCACAACCCTTGAGGAGCACGGAACAGTTTTTCCCTCCATAGTTCGCATCGCAGTCGCAATCGTAGTCATCGATCTGGTCATAGCAAGTGCCTCTCTGACAAGGATTATAGCGATCGCATTCATCTATGTTGATCTCGCAGTGGGTGCCCTCGAAACCAGGTTCGCATTCGCAGGTGTACGTGCCAATCTGCCAAGGAAAAACAATTAGGGATTAGATTACTTCGAAGGAGATTAATTGGAAAATTAATTACTTACTCCATCGTTACAACTTCCGTGTTTACTACATGGATTGCTATCACATTCGTTGATGTTGATCTCACAGTTTTTGCCAATGATTCCAGGAACGCAAACGCAGACGTATCTAAAGATAAGAAGGTATTATTTCAGTATCCCAGATATATTAAGCTCATAAGATGACTTACCCGCTGGCGTTCTCGAAGCTAAATGGTTGGCTAAACACTTCGGGCAGATCAGTAACCCTGCTCATTTGATACAAAGTCAGGTTTGAAAGTTCGAGACAGTTGCTGTTGTACTGGCAAGGATTACTCTCGCACTCGTTGATGTCCTGTTCGCAGTTCTTTCCCTTGTAACCCGTATGACACTCGCACAAGTAATCCTTCACCTGATCCACACACTTGGCGCCATTCGTGCAGGGATTCGAGATGCATTCATCGATGTTCAGTTCACAGTTCTCGCCCTCGTATCCAGTGTCACTGCAATCGCAGCGGAATCCACCCAACTGGTCGATGCACTGACCTCCATTCAAGCAGGGATCTCCCACGCAGTCATCGATGTCGATGTCGCAGATGCGACCCGTCATTCCTGGGATGCAGTTGCAGGTGAAGTTGTTGATCCTGTCGATGCAGGTGGATCCGTTCGAGCAGGGATTGCTGAAGCACTCGTCGATGTCCACTTCGCAGTTGTCGCCCTGATAACCCGGCTGGCAAACGCATTCGTAGGCATTGATCTGTAGGGAAGTCAAGTAGGTGGTTTAAATGGTTTCTTTAAAGGGAAGTAAATTAAAATTGATCACGCATAATAAGCAAAACTAGCTGATACTTCCAAGGAAGGGAAATATTATTCATTTAGCATACTCCTAATAACAATCATGGATATTGGATCAGTAATCAGGGAAGAACAGGAACTGATACCCAAACGACAACTGTCACTCACTTGTTTCAATATCCGATGCTTTCCGAATTTAAAGAAAAACAACTAATTACACTTTAGTAACTAATTAAACTTCACTCATTGAATTAGACTCAGATACAAATCCGACTGCCTTCTACCTACCTTGTTGTGGCACGTGGCTCCATTGAGGCAGGGAAAGCTGAGGCACTCGTCCACATCGGAATCGCAGTGCATTCCCGTGAATCCCGGAGTGCAGTAGCACTTGTACGATCCCTTCTCGTTCTTGCAGATTCCATTGCCGCAGATCTTCGGGTGAACGGTGCACTCATCCACGTCGTTGCCACAAGTCCTGCCGGTCCATCCGCGGGTGCACTTGCACTCGTAGTCCCCGTTGGGAAGGTCAACGCACTCGCCGCCATTCTGACACGGTTGAGTGGCGCACTGGTTGCACACCTTGTTCTCCGGACAGATGCACTGATTCTGGACACAGACCATCGGCTCCTGGCAGTTGAGTGGCGTGCAGTTCTCGGCCTTCTCGCAACGATCTCCGGAAAAGCCCAGGGCACAATAGCAGTGGGTTCCGTTCATGGAGCAAGTGCCTCCATTCAAGCACTTTCCATTGGTGGCATTACAATTGATGGGGGTCAAAGCCAAAGCAGCTGCTCCATCGCCCGTGCTCGTTTGACAGTTGTAACCTGCGGAAACATAACTCAAGATTAGTATTTCATATCAAACTTAGCTTTAAACAATTTAAGTATATTTTATTACTTTAAGGATTTGCTTCAGTGTTTACCAAATATCAATTGTTTAACTAGGTCTACTTTACTACGTATTTACAGTTAGTTTATCGGGGGTTGCACTAAAAGATTTTATACTAAATTAAAGTTTAAACTAGAGCCTAGATGGAATCCGTTATCGCAATTAAATATATAACAAGTTTCGGTTCTTTAAATTATCGTTGTCGTTAGGTTGTTTGCATTTATTAAATATTATCATATCTTTTTTAAAAAAATATCTACTTATGCAAATATTTAAGTCAAGATTATGTGTGTAATAAAAAAAGATAAACTGTTCAAAAAATAAAGATAACTAAATTTGTGGCAAAGTTCTCTTACTTTCTACTTTAATGCAGATAGTAGATATGGATTAAAGTTTTGTACTGTTTAAAGTTAAGTTTGGTTAAAATAAACCATAAACTTATTGTCTCAAAAAAACTTGTTTATAATTATTAAATAATTAGGATCCCAGCAGGACTCTAGACGAAATCAATAGAACTTAAATCCGACAACCACCTGGGCCAATTAACCGCATGCAAAGTGAAGCCAATTCAAGTGGATCATCAGTGGCATGCACTCTTTTAGGACAACCCCGGATAACCCGATATGTATGCCAAACCTGTGTATCCACTAGCACAACTACAGGTATAATTGCCACTAAAGCCCAGACAGGTGCCACCGTTTAGGCAGTTTTCTTGGGGACATGCATTCAGGGAGGCCGAGCGTTGGGTCGCCGATTGTTGCACAGGTTTTTTGCTACTTGCCACCGCCGCCGTTCTGCTTGTTGTTGTTGTTGTTGTTATTGTAGGTAACTTTGTTGTTGTTAGGGTATTTTGACTAGCTGGGTTAGGGATTGCTGTGGTTCTGGTCGTTATCGTTGTCGTTGGAGTTGTTGTTGTTGTTGTGGCTGTTGTTGGCTCTTGTTCTGGTGTCGGTGTGGTTGTTGTCGGCAGGCAGTGACCAATGGGGCCTACGTTTATTACCCATCAAAAACGCCATTGTGGTTTTGTACAATACAAGATTGGGGCATTAGGTTATAGCATATAGATAGTGTGGTATATATATACAGTTAGTTTTGGTGGTTGTGGGGGTTTGTCAATGAAGCAGATGTCTACATTTAATGGGGTATTGGGGTTTAAGGAAATATTTAATAATTAAAGCTTCCTTTAAACCCCAAAACCCCTGTGAAAATAGCTTATGGAAACCCTTTTAGCCAGCTACTTGTCCACACACCCTACTGACATACTCAGTTTTAGCTCACAACGCTTGCGTTTGAGCCACTCGGGCGATATGTAGCGCTTTTTCTTTTCACTGGCACACAGCGTCGAGTCGAAAATGTCCAGCTCGAGCGAAGTCAGCGGCTCCAAATCGGAAGCTTTGATCACCATTTTTGGATAGGTATTAAATAGAGAAAACCAAGACCGTTAAGCGAATGACATGCAATGCCCAATGATCCCCGTAACCAAAGAAAATAAAACCAATATAGGACTCACCCGAGGATCCTGGCTTACACACGCACTTGCCGGCCACGCACTCCGAATCGATGGGACATTGCTGGGCACAACTGGGTGCAATTTGGCACAGTTCACCGGTGAATTCCGGCGGACAGAGGCACTGGAACCCGATGGGTTTGTCCAGGCAGGTGCCGCCATTCAAGCACTGCTGCGTTTGGCAGGTCATCGGACGATCACAGATCTCGCCACCCCAGCCATCCAGACACTGGCAGGTGTACCATCCGTAGGTATCGAAGCACCTGCCGCCATTCAGGCAGGGATTCTTGTCGCACTCATCCACGTTCGTCTGGCAGAAGGCTCCCGTGTATCCGGTTCCACTGCAATCGCAGCTAAATCCATTGATCCGATCGATGCAGCTCCCGTTGTTCTGGCACGGCTGCGAGGCACACTCGTCGGTGTCCACCTCGCACCTGGCACCCGCATATCCCTTGGGACACTCGCAGGCGATCGCTCCACTGCCGCCGAGCACGACACACGCTCCATTGTTCAGGCAGGGATTCGTTTGGCAGAGCGGGTGGATGTTCACCTCCGTTTCGCAGTGGTCGCCACTGTGGTTGGCATCGCAGAAGCACTGGTAATCCCCGCGGGAGTTCTCCGAGCAGGAGCCTCCGTTCTCGCAGGGATTCTTCGCACACGGCGAACCATTGTCCTGCTGACAGTTCTTTCCCGAATATCGCGCAGTGCATCTGCACACGTATCCCTCAGGTCCGGAGGAGCAGGTGCCATGGCCCATGCAAGGATCAGTGAGACAGAAGTTGTCCGGCAGGCGGGTGAACAGATCGTGATCGCTGCAGGGACCGGGAGTCAGTGGACAAACCCCGAAGACCACATTCTGCACCGTGGAGTTGTTCACGAACTGCAGACCAGGTCCATCGAGGAGGCAGCCGGAGAAGGAGTTGCCCAGGATCAAGATGGCATCCTTGTAGCCAATGTCCTGGTTCGTCAGGAACTGACTGTTGTACGTGGAATTAGCTAAAAAAAATAAAGGTAGCTCAATTAGCTAATGATGTTGTTAACCTCTTGAAAGCTTTTAAATTATTTTTAAAGTACAATAATGACCTTTAATTACTTTTGTGAGTTGCTTACTTCAGAACCATTAAATTTTAATTCATTTTTAATTTGTTCTTTTGGAACTTTCTTTTCAGTTAACGTTTTTCATAGACCGAAGATTTTTATGCTTGTTTAACATTTGTGTTTGGCCTTTCAACTGAGTTAATTATCTTTTGATAACCATTTAATTGTTTTAAATGGCCTGAAAATTCAACTTTTCATTTTCCGGTTCTAATTCTCAAATTATTAGCTCTTCACACGTATTCTCTCTTAATCGTTCAATTGATTTTCCGAATGAGTTCATCGTTACCCGTTCCCCTGTTCCATTTAACCGACACAATTGCATTACTTAACCCTCGTGATGTGATTCACTCCTATGTGCTTTAGCCACATTTCACGTTTGGCCACGATTGAGTGGACTATGGAACTCATTCCGCTAGTAATCCAATGTGGGGCAGTTCGGGGGGATGGCTACTTACCAAATATGCTTGCCGCACGATCCACATGCAAATAGAGATTGCCGTACTCGTACTTGAATTGCAGTGTATGCCAGCGATTGTCCAGCAGTTGGAAGGGCAACTTGACATCCAGACGATTGTTCGGTCCATGGACCGCCGGTCCCGCCAACGATATTTGCAGAAAGTCGTTGAGCACTGAGATTACGATGGAGTTCTTGTTGTACTGCTGGGCGAGGATCTCGCCGCCGCGGCACGACCGGAAACTAATCGCCGAGTGGTCCCAAATGGGCATCGGCGTGGTCAGGCGGAGGTAAGTGGAGCCATTAAAGTACGCCTCCTTCGTCGGCACCGCCACAGAGGCGACATCTGCAAGAGAAGATCAAGATGGCCAGGGTTAGTTGGATTAAGGTTTGCACTAGGAAAAAAATAATGTAAGATATTACAAGAAAATCAAACCATTCTTGGGTAAAATAAAATAATACTGAATATAAAAACCTTCCTAAAAAAACCTACTTTAGAAAAAGATTTGATTTTCAACAGTATTCTCTTTGGGAAAAGTTTTAAATAAATTTCAAACTTTAAAGTAACTCAGTGTAGTTTTTTCAACGAATGCAATAAAGACGACTGATGGGTGAAATGAATGAAATAAAAGCATGACAAGGCCAGGTCGTTTGGGTTCGGGCCAAGTCGGGCTCCCATTTAACTAATCGCATTTCATTCGCATTTGGCCAACGCATTTGTAACCGTAGACTTCCTCATTTCGCGTATTTGGCACACGGCAAATGGCCAATTGGTTTACTTTGGCTTACATTTTCCCAGTGCTGTTTAGTTCAGCATTTTCGCCGCCTCTCTGTCCATTGCTCTCTGGGCGGCTAAGAAAGTGTTTTGTCTTTCGAGTAGCATTGACCAAATTAGACGATTTGCCATGGCCTGGCACATGCCACTTAAATGGTAATCAGTTAAAGGCCCCCCCTCTTTTCAACTTTCATTTGCGCTGATCACCAAAGCGCAGAATCAATTCCCGCAACAGTGGCTCAAAAAAAAAAAAAAAAACAGCAAAAGTAGAGAAAAACAGCTGCCGCAGACCAGAAGACTCCATAACTGTCTTCGAGTGGTTTTCTTCAACATTTTCAAAACAAAAACGAAATAAAAGTGAGGCGAAATTAACAAGCTTTCTTGGTCTGAGTGCACAAGGCGTTAAGTCAGGCAAAAAGCCAACTCTTAATGTACCATATGTACAAAAACAATAAACAGACTGGCATGTTCATAAGCTGGTTTTCATCAATAGTCTACCGATCGAAGAAAAAACCACAAGCAAAAATCTTAAAACGGAAAGAAAGTGGAGCAGGGAAAAAGTTACCAACGAAAGGAAATCGGAACAAAAAACAGGAAAAAAGTTCGTGTTTTAAAAAAATCTAATTAATAGAAAATTTGTGTACTAATAAGTTAATTATAAAAAACCAGGAAGTTGCTTTTGGCAGATTCAAAAACAAAATAAACGAAAGCCATTTTATACAAAATTACAATATATATAATCATTAAGTCAGCTAAAAACATATTGAAGTTTTTTTTTTAAAGTTCAAATAAAAGAGTTCAATTGTTTACTGGTACAATTTTATATAATTTGTAATCCCCTTTTATCATGCCCATTATATGACAGTTAACCATTTTGTATCTTTAATAAACTTAAAAACCCAATGTTATTTCTTCAATGGCACTGTCCAAGTTAAGGTCTACTACCAAAAACAAATTGTGTGTTATTGCTTTTTGGCGTCAATAAAGCTGGCACATGTGTAGGGGAGATGTGGGGGTTGTGGGCATAGTTTTGTTTTTGGCTTATAATTACCGAACTAGTGCATATTATTTGGACATATGGGTATCTGTGTAAAGCTAGAGATTTAAGCTAACCAATTGTGAAGAAACATACTTGATTTTGTCATGCGAAAAAATTTCATATGGACTTTTGTAAAATCGTAATTTTTAGCTAAAATTTTTTTTTGGGGGGGTTGTGGGCACCCTGGGAAAAAATGCTGCAAATGGAATAATATGGAAAAAAAAACCGCAACCAATATCAACAAAATGACAATTTATTTATTTCACGAATATTCTGAAAGCCGAAATACAAAGAATAAAGCGTGGAATTCTTTGTGATAATCTATATCTTACGAATATTCTGGAAGCCGAAAAATGAAGAATAAAGTGTGAAAATCTTAGTTATAATCCCTCTCAGCGGGAGAGGATCCTTTTCCAAGAGCCTAAGATTTCTACAAGAATGTTCTAGAGGGTTCCAAACAAATTTTGAAAACAATTTTAAAAGAAATTGTAGGTAATAAAAAAATTTGCCAAAAAAAAACGGGTGCCCACAACCCACCCAATTTTGGTGCCCACAACCAACTTTCGCAGACATTTTAAGAAGTAATTAAAAAATGTGTTTGCATAAATTTTTTGGTTCAAATCGATATTGTTCCATTTAGTATAATGCTTTGACTAAATAAAAATGCATTACACTGACCTTTTTAATCGATTCACTTTAATTGATACACTATTGAAAATCTTTGAATAAAGTTTCACCACCTTTTCCAAGCACAAGAAAAACCAATTCGTTAATTTCAAAAAGCAAACGCGTTCGTTTACTTTGATATTTGGCATAAATCATACATAGGGTAATTGCTTGCGAATGACATTACCAAAAAAATTCAATCTTCATTTTCTGAAGATATACGTAGGGGTGCCCACAACCGACCCATGCCCACAACCCCCACTTCTCCCCTACTTATTTTTGCACTTCCCCATCGGGAGAAGAGATCGTTTTAACACCTTCTGGCTCCGGTGAACCCGTCTGTGGTCCGGCGTGCCCTTTGGGCTGCCCTGACCCATGGCTGCCACGGGCTTAGAAAGCGCCTTGGGGGACCTCGACAGAACCCGAACGTTGTTAACATAAAACAACTGGCCGAACAACGTACTCGCATGTACATTAGTTTATGAGGCCATCGATTTTGCCGCCTCTTTTGCGCGGTCTTCACAAACATTTTATTTCGTATTTAAAGGCGATTTGCTATTTGCATTGACAGTTCGGTTTTGTTGTCGTTTCTGTGATTATGTGTGCCAGGTGAGAAAGGGGAGTGGCCGGGGCAGCCAAGGTGTAGTCAGTGAGCAAGTAAATAAGTCGCCAGCAAAGTGGCTCATAATTATATTATACTCACGTACGAAACTATGCAGAAAAGTATTCAAAAGTTAAACGGCTAAAATGCTATAAAAATCGTACACACGTACACCGAAAAAACGGAATTTGAAAATGTTTTGAGGAAAATATTAATTATAAGAAAAAATAGATTACAACTATATTTTTCTTATAAAAAAATAATATCTAAATTTGCTTTCTGACAAATAGATTTTTACATATTTTAAATACATTTTTCGTTACATTTTTTCTGAAACATAGACACCCTATAAACCCACCTATAGAACCTGATTTATAGATTTAACTCGTGGTTTGGCAATCGCCGTAAACAAACGGAACGGAAATTTCATAATCATAACCACCGGCAAGAATTCTAATTCTCTTTCGCATATTTTTCCGTTCCTTCGCGGATCTGTTTATTATTTTATTTCAGTCATGAATGACTCGACTTTGGCTTCGAACTGGAACTGCAAACTCTGGTTTAATTCTGCTCAAGAGAGCCCGCGAATTCTTTTTAGCGGTGCCATAAAAGAAACAGTTTAATAGTGTCTTTCGTCTTTTGACAAAAGCGAGCGTTAGCGTTCTACTGAAAATGCTTTTTAAGCTTTTAATGATGTCTCGCTTCGAGTTTTTTTTGGGGACAAAGAATGTTTTGTGCCGGTTCTTAAGAAGGGGCGTGGCCAATAGCCGGGACCAAAGAAATTTAAATGACCTCTACAGCATTGTTGTGACAGCTTGGAGATTCTAAACTTTTTTCGGACATTTAATTGCCACGGAAATATCCATTGTCCTCTTTTTGGAAAAAGTTGTTCTGACATAACTAATTTGAATAGTTTTGAAAGGTAACGGTTATTGCAAAATCACATTGTAATATTAACCCTGAAGAGTTCGTAAACATTTTTAGTTACTGTTTAGTTTGACTGACTGTTTTTCCCCTATAATTAAATGATTTATTTTTATGAACGATGAGTTTACCAAAATAGCAAGTTAATTATTTTGTTGGTTAGTTTGCTAAAAAAAAACAATAGTAAGCCCCTATGGTTTAGAAAATCTTCCAATTTAAAAGAGAAAACACTCGAGATCTTCACTCCGAGATAATTACTCATTTTAAGTTCCCCATTTCGAGTTTCCCATGGCATAGTATTTACCAGTCGAAGGAAAAAAGTGATTTATGCAAAACGTGTTGTGCGAAACACACACAAAACTTTTGCAGAAGGAAACGGTAACTGCAGCTACTGCTTATTCCTGTCCCGCCCACTATCACACGTTAAGTTGGCCAAAGTGAGAGGCTCTCTTCGGCAGACCCAGTTAACAAAACATTCAGCCAACTCAACTCAACTCATTGCCACACTCGCCCGCAGTGCAAGGCACAACATAAGTAGATGTATGCAAATTAGCTCAGCTCGCTTTGCTTTGGTTTTCCCTCTGGCTTGCCAGTGCATTTTACATTTCGTATTTTGCACGGAATTCTGTTGGTATGACTAATCAGCGGCAGCATATGCAAAACAACACCAAGTACAATACCAACGTGGAGTGTCTACACACAGCTGCGGCCAGAAGAATAGCAGTGTTAATGAGAAGATTAAACAGAATGTCTGTATGCTGTATAAGAGTGTTACTATGTTTTTTTTTTGCACATCCCGGATTTACAATCTCCTTTAAAAAGATAGATCCAATAATATTAATCTCTAATTTGTCTCAAAAATTATATGTATTAGATTTTTTTACAGACCTTGAACTGTTTTTGTTTTTGTTTTAAATACAGCTGTGTAAACTTTACACACTTACATCGTTAACAATGTCGCCTTAGTCATTTTAAGTTAGCAATTTTAAACTAATTATTTTTGTAATGCGAGGCTCGTTTTCAACAGTATTGCACTGTTTGCTGCTGCAACTTAAGTTTTTTACCCCACCAACTTCCCCTTTTTGATGAGATCCAACCCCTATCCCAAATCGTGTGTCCGATGTTTGGCCACAACAAAACAGGTTGCACGTTGCTAACTGGGCGAACATAAACGGTTGCCGGGGATTGTTTACTGCATGTTTTCGGCTTTTCTCTCCCACACTAAATCAAAATTTAAATCTTTATTTTACTTCACACCTTATAAAAAATAATGTACCTATGTCTTTTAAATGACATTGATATTCACAAAGTAAAGGTATTAAAAAATAAATAAAAGTAGTA